CTGTCTTCTCTGCATCTTCTCGCCTACCTCCTTGTCTCCCCTCGCAGAGGCCACGGCTCCAGTTCGCAATGCCTTTCCACTACCGGTACTGCTTCGGGTACTTCCTGTGTTCCAACAGTACTCGGTGCTACTAACCTCCCTACCCTCCCTCCCCTCCCTCAGGATCGCATTCGGGAGGAGCAGGCGCGGGCGGCTGCCAAGGTCGCCCCCGCGGCGTTTGTCACGTTCAGGTGGGGGAAGGGGCCAGGGGGCTGGGGCCTGGGGGCTGGGTCGCCAGCACGTGTGGCAGGGTATCACCGTACCGCAGCCGGCCAGGTTAAGAGTCGGTTCCCCTCCCACCCTACCTTCCCCTACCCAGCCCTCCCTCTCCCTCCGTCCCCCCCTCCCCCCCCTCTTCCCTCCCCCCCCCTCCCAGCACCCGCATGTCCCAGGCCGTTGCCGCCAACTCGCTGCTCTCCCACGACGAAACCTACTGGCGCGTGCAGAACGCCCCCGCGCCCTTCGAGGTGGTGTGGAAGAACCTGGCGCTCACGCTGCCCGTCAAGAGCGGCCGGGTGTACGGCATTTGGGCGGCCTTCTGGGCCATGGCGCTGTTCTTCATGATACCCGTCACGGCCATTCAGGTGGGTGCCGTACCGTAGCCGTACAGCACCTGACAAGGCTGCTTTTGGATTTCATTGATAGCTTACGTTGGGAGGGCGAGCTTCTTCCGAGAAAGGTGCTCTGGGGTCGGGCTCGCAGTCACATCCAACGATCCAAGTGTATTCTTACGATGTTCTCCCACCTTTCCCATACGCCTCCTCGCTACCTCATTCCTGCATGCCCCCCCCCGTTCACTCCCACTCTTCCCTGCAGGCGCTGATCGAGGTCCCCAAGCTGGCCAAGGTGCCGGTGTTGGGCGCGATCGTGACCGCCCCCGCCGTACGACAGATCCTGGAGGCCATCGTACCGGGTCTGGCGCTCAAGATCTTCCTGGCGCTGGTGCCGCTGCTGCTGCGCGTCATGGCGCTGCTGTCGGGCGCAACGTCGCAGTCGGAGATCGACTTCGGGGTCACCAAACGCTTCTTCCTGTTCCAGGTCATTGTGGTGTTCTTCGGAAACATCATCGCGGGATCCTTCTTCAACCAGGTGGGGTGGGGTGGGGTAAAAATAAGGAAAACTGACGAACTGGTGGGGTGGGAGGGTGGTAGTGTTCTGCTGGGTATAGGGTTGAGAGGGTTGAAGAGGGTCGGCGGAGAGGGTTGGCTCGCGCATGGGCCCATGACTGACCCATGGGTCACCCCTTAGCTCTTGGGCCCTCGCCTGGAACTAGGATCGTCCACGGCTGCATCCCCATCACCACCATCTGCCTGACTACCCACATACTTGGCCCCCCACATACACGCTCCTCCTTCTGTCTGCCCCCGCACACATGCCCCCGCCTGCCACCTCGCACCGCTCTCTCCCACTTCCATGCAGCTGAACCAGTGGGTCAAGAACCCCTCCAGTGTTGTCCCCACGCTGGGCAAATCCATCCCCATGACCTCCACCTTCTTCATCACGTACGTCCTCACAAACGTGAGTACGACACAAGGCTACATGCCTAGGGCTCACAGGGCGTACGACGGCATTTGCTCGCTGGCTGTGTGTTTAGATGCGCTAAAGAGAGCCCACGCGTACCCTTGACACCGTTTCTCCCATGCACTTGTCCCATTTACCTGCCTACGTCTATTCATGCAGGGCTTGGGCGTCAAGGCCATCGCCTTCTTCCGCCCGCCCGCCTTCGTTCTGTTCTGGGTGCTGTCCCGCTTCGCCGGCAGCCCCCGCGCCCGGCAGCGCATCTGGATGTACCAGTACACGGACAACGGCACGACGGTGGTGGATCACACCATTACCATGCTCATAGGCTTGGTGCGTGGGTGGGTGAGGGCGAGGGTGAAGAGGGGGCGCGGAGGGAGTGAGTGAGCGCATTGGCTGCTGGCGCATTTGTAGGATATATTCCTCTGAAGACACACCTCATACTTGCATTCTTGCATTCGTGGTACGTCCAGTCCCTCCGTAGCCCTTGCAACCGTTTTGTACTGCCCGGCCTTCCAATCCCTCATGGCCACATTCAAAACATGTCTTCGCCCACCAGTGCTCCCCGCCCTGCTTCCTCCTACCTATCCCCTCCCGACCTCAGACCTTCTCCTGCATGAACCCCATCGTGTGCCCCGCCGCGCTCGCCTACTTCCTGGTAACCTCCATTGGGGAGCGCTACAACAACATCTACGTCTTCAGGCGCACTTACGAGAGCGGGGGAAGGCTGTGGAAGACGGTGCGTGCAGGCTGAGGGCGTGGGAGGTGTAGGAGGACGCGTGCAAAGGGGGCCTTTGCTGCGCTTACCCCTGCCTCCCGCCCCCCGCCTCTGCCCCCATTCCACCGTTGGCCCAGTTCCCCCACCCCCTGCGTCTGCCGCCCCGCCCTCCTCCTGCGCCCTCGCTCCTTCCCTTTCCAGGTTTACAACCAGGTGATGGTGGGTCTGTACATCATGCAGCTCGCCATGCTGGGCCTGCTGAGCATCAAGAAGTTCCCCTTTGCGCCGCTCATCATTCCGCTGCTCATCTCCTCCATCGCGTCGCACATCAGCACGCTTAAGCTGTACAGGAGGCCATGGTAAGATTACAGGAGGAGTAGGAATGCCGAAATTAGGGCGTCATACGCCTCATACCGGATGCTAACCATGAAATGCCCGTCAAAGGCTTTCTGGAGCGGCGCAAACGCATGACCCATGGGTCACTTCCCCCCCACACACACAGGTCCGTGGCTGCGCTGCATGACGCGGCTGAGATGGACTTGCTGGAGGCCGACCAGCGCAGGATGCAGCTGCTGGAGGCGGCGAAGAAGGCAGGTGGCGGGTGGCGGCGACTGGGAAGGGTGGCGAAGGGAAGGCTAAGAGAACGGACGGAAGTACCGTATAAGGGCTCCAGGCTGTGAGGGGAGGGGTAGCCCACCATTCGCAAAAGGGCTAGGATTCGATTGGGTCGGGGAGAGGGCTGGAGACTACACCATGTATTTTGGTTGTCATAATATAACCGCATGCCGCTTCCACTGGCGTTCTCTGTCGCCGTGACGCTGCGCTCTGCGTTTCGCCGTTCAGCTGCATGCTTTAATCCGGCATGCTACATACCTCTGCATAGCCATAGCCTCTTATCCTGACCCCTTCAACCTTCGTCAGGAACGGCGACTCGCCGTCCGTAAGGCCCGCCTTCTTGCCGCAACCGCATCGGCGGCAACCGCGGCAGCCGGGCAGTCGACGGTGGCGGCGGATGAGAGGCGGACGCTGCTCGGCACTGCCTCCACCTCCTCCATCTCCATCACGCCGGGTAAGAGCGGCCGCATGCAAGTAGTGGCGTGTCACGGACAGCATGTGTGTCAACCCTAACCCGGCAAGAAACCCGAACGCGTGTTGAAGTGAGAAGCCTTTCTTCTTGCCATGCGCCTCCCGGCCGCCCGGCTCCCCCCCGCGCCTAGGCCCGCACGAGCGGATGCTGCTGGCGGTGCTGCGGGAGGGCGCTGGCAGCGGCTGCGGGGCGGCGGTGGCGCCCGTGATGACGCCCGAGGAGCAGGCGGAGGTGGCGGACATGTACAAGAACCCCTGCTTCAAGGTGAGGGCAGGCGGCGGCTGGCGGCGGCTACTAGATAGCCACAGTGTGTGCTTGTGTGCATGTGCAAGGCATTGGGGCATGCATGCGTGTGCACGGGCTGCGAAATCTGCTGGCAGGAGCCGGTTGCTGTGTTCATGATTGCCCTGAACCATCATGTCCGACGAGAATCCAGCCGCGAGGAAAAGCTGACCGCGGGACTCTCTCTTTCTTACCGCCCTCTACCCGTACCCAGCTGCCCCTGGACGATTTGGAGTCGCTGGAGGCGCTGGCTGCCGACCTGCGTCCCCGTCTGGACCTGCTCAACGAGTGGACCGCCAAGCTCAAGAAGCAGGGCAGGAAGCCGGCAGCAGCAGCAGCAGCGGGAGAAGGAGGAGAAGCAAGGACAACGAAGGGAAGAATAGGAGGCGGGGGTGGGGCGGTGGCCCCGGCGCCTGCAGGCGTGTATGATGTGGAGATGCAGCGGATGATCCAGGGCGATGGTGGCGGTACGGCAAGTACGGCTGCAGGAGTAGTTGATGGCAGCGGCAGGAGGGTGCTGACTGGGGAGGAGGAGGCGGAGGTGCCCGTACAGCCGCCGCCTGAGCTGACCAAGTACGACAGCAGGCCTCCACTGGATGCGACGGATGAGGAGGATTGAGGTGAAGGATGGTAGATGTTAGAAGCGGGGATGATGTGGAGGGCGAGGTTGAGATATCACTGTCGGATGGCCAGGGTGCTTTGCCGGTAGTTCGGGCACTCTAGGGTGACAATAATTACAGTATCGTACCTGCTGTCCACTTGCCAGCGCTGTATGCTCGTATCCTTCGTGTGTCCCCGCCACGCGGATGGTAGGTACCTGCCGGGATGATGTGTTGTGTGTTGCCTCGCTGGTTGTGTTGCGTTCCGTGTTGTTGCAGCACATCCGCAGCCCGTTTTGTTGGAGCAGGGCTGTGTCTAATGGTTGTTAATTGCATGAACTGGGTGGTTGTCGAAAGTGCTCGCGTGCCATAATCACGACAGTTGCGTTCTGCCGTTGCGTTCAAATGGAATAACTGTTGTACTCGTTCGCTTTCCGTAACGTGGCATCATACTCCTGGTGTGAACAGCAGCCTGTCAGGATGAGGTCAACCTATGAGCGCGGTCATCCCTCAGAATATTGTGGGCTTGGTGGTACAGCACCTCATAATCGTACGGCGTTGGATGACTGTGTTCATAAAATGGGGTTTGAGAGATCACCGTTGTCGGCTTGGGCTGGCCCTACGGCTTCATGGCTGGCAGTTAGCAGCAACACCTCGAAAAGTGACCCGTGGGTCATCTGTGTTTCTGTGCGCCCTGCTGCCGCACGTACATACAAGGAGTGAGTCCATTTCTCACTGCGAATCTTTTAACGTACATCTTCACTCGATTTCCTGGCTATTTAGGAATGAAACGACTGTAACTGCTGGTAACGAGAACAGCCGACCTGCAATATCCCGCAATTTGGGACACGTGTGGAGGTGTCCTCGAAAACGTCCCCTCTTTAGTACTGCCCATGCTCTCTGAACTACTGCACAGCTAGGGTCGTAAATGCAAAACGACTGTCGAGGTGGCCGTCCGGACACTGCACACCTACTGATACCCAGAGCCGCGTCGGGTGTAGATTGGAGCGTGTGCAAGACGGAAAGCCCTTCATCGTCCCTAACCCGCGCAAACGAGGACATTAAGAAAGCTCCACAAGACATCTATAGTTCTATGGATACATGATGTGCCCTCAACCTGCCTCTGACCCGTTAAGACGGCGGCACAGTACTGCACGCCGACGCGCTCGTCGAACAAAACACACTCTACACAGGGGCTGCGCAACGCCAAGCGCCGCTGACCCTCAGAATCACCAAGACTTAAGAGCGTGCAAGGAGTTACGCCCCTGAAGCTGCATGCAAACAGCTCCGCAAGGCGCCGGGGCATGCGCACCTGCACATGCTTTGCACCTAAAAACAGACCCGTCACCATCGCCGGTGTCCGTTATACCACATTACGCCCGAAGGCGATACATCATGGCACCAGCGGCGGCGGCGCTGGCGACATCGCAACGGCCCAATTTGACCAGCGTGTTGATCAGCAGCTTGGCGGACAGGGTGGTCAGCGACAGAGCCTCCACGTCAGCCACGGAGAAGCACCTATCACTGCCAGTGTCAGGCGGCCTGCGCACCGCGTGAAGGTAAGGCATGGATGCAGTTGGCTTGTGTCATGACTCATGCAAAAGACAGGACATGCCACCCGCAGCCGTACACAACGTCTGGGGGGCCCGCTCTTACCAATCCTCAGCCAGAAACCTAATGCATGGAGTACGTACCGGTACAGATGCTCAGGCGCCTGCACCCACTGATAAACTCCCAGATCATGAATGGGGACTTGCTAAGAAAGTGAAAAAGAAACCTCCTTACCTGGATGCCACCACCTGTGCCAGCGAGCGCAAGTGCTGGTTGAGCACCTCCAGGCGGAAGGCCTGCTGCGTGCGGGCCGGCAGCCCTCGCCACTCCTCCTCACTACAGAGCTCAACTTCGCAAGGCAGGGGCGTCGCGGCAGCAGCCGCAACTGCGGCTGCAGCCTCAGCGGGAGCTGCAGCGGAAGGCAGCCGGCTGGTGAGTGCCCCTGAGCCACCGCCGATGCCGCTGCGTGGGCCCGGAGAGGTTGATGGGACGGGACAAGGGCCAGCAGTTGGAGGCCTGCCCAGGGGTCCGGACGCCGGCACGGGAATGCGCGAGCTGAGGTTGCCCACGGCAGCAGAGGAGGGCCTGCGGAGGGCGTGCAGTAAGAAACTCTAAGTCTGCATGCGGCGGGGAGAGAGACGGGATGATGCAGGCATGCAGGCGAGTATGGTCCGTTTCTTGCGCCGAGCCCCAAGTTCTCACCGGATTTGGCCCATAAAGCCTTCGCCTAGAGCGCGTGACACCATTCTAGTGGTCGTTGGCGACAATCCTGGCGTTACGGTGGTGGTCGCAGCCACGGCCGCCGGACAGGCAATTGAGGTTGCAACGCTGGAGCTAGGAATACCCCGCCCCGGCGTCGAACCCCTGGGCGATTGCACACCTCCCTGCGCCCCCGGTGATTGCGGCACAGCTGGAGGCATTCCGAGCGTCACATCATCGGACCGACGAGCCGGTGCGAAGCGGGCACTGGCTTGCTGGTCGCCCTCAGGCGCCCTGCGTGAAAGCGGGAAACCCTGCCAGCTACCATCGGGCTTGGCGCCACCGTTACCACATGCATCTGCCCGCACACCGGCCTTAGCTTGCAGCTGCGAAAGCCCAGACGGGGGCAGAGCCTCCGTTGCCTTGAAGCCCGCATTGCGAGCATCCGGTACAGGGACACGGCCAGGGGTACGGTTTGAGGCGCCAGCTACCGCCCTGCCTGCGCGCGGAGTCACTGCTGAAGCCTCAGCCTCAGCAACCGCTGCTGCCGCAGCCGCTGCCATTCCCGGCAACACGGCAGCGCACGACTGGCGGTGCGGCGGTGTAAGCCGTGAGGCCCGGGCGCTAAGTGGCGCGGCACCAGCTCCTGCAGCGACTCCTCGTGTGACGCGGCTAGGGGTGGCGGCTCCATTGTCGCGGCTGGATGGCAGGATAGGGCTACTAGTCTTTTGCGGACCCTTAAGTGGGTTGACACCGGCACCGGTGCTGCTGGTGTTGCTGTTGCTGGGAACAGGCCTAGGGACCCGACCGGGAGTGCCGCGCTGCGCCAGAGCACCAGCGCGCTTGGGTGTGGTGGTCGGCGCTGCACGGCCATTAACGTCACCGGCATGGGTGTTTTCGTGGCGAGGCGTCGTGACTGCTACACCTACGACGGTCGTAGGTTCGGGTGACGCAGTCGGCAGGGGAAGTCGGCTGACGCGCGAAGCGCGACTTGGCGTGTTCATGGGCTGCGCGTCGTTCGAGGACACTTGCTGCACCTGCGACAGCACACGGCCGCAATCGGCCGGCTCAGGGACAGGATCCGCCCGGGAGTATGCCTGCCGTGGCTGCAGCGCATCCTGCTGACGCAGTTGCTGTTGCGGAGCAACGAAAGCAGCCGTCGCTGGTGCAGCGGGCTTAGCGTCTACAGCCGCGGGTGGCCCCGCGAGGATTGCTTCGGCAGCGGCCGCTGCCTCAAGTGCGGCGCGAGAGGGGCCAGGTGACTTTGCACGCAGGTTCATGAGCGCCGCCGCCGAGGGTCCAGCGACGTTGGCGGCGATGCCAGCGTCATTATTTTGGATTAAGCTCCTGCGCACAGGTGACTGGCCCCAAGCCTGCTTCAGGCCCGACAGCCGCTCTGTAAGCCCCTCAAACTTTTCATTAAGCAGCTTGTCATGGGCTTGGAACTGGGTCCGCTGGACGGACCTGGGGGTCACGGAGCGCGCGCGTGCGGTCATGGGCGGCGGTGTGCCGTCTGTAGCACCAGATGCGCCATCTGGCACAGGGCCCTTGCTGGGTGATGCCGACGCCATCGGTGCACCAGGGAAGGACATGCTCCGCGGCGCCTGGGTGGGTTGCGGCTGAGGGACGGGCTCCGCGGGTTCTGGCTTTGGCGGCAGCTGCCGGGGGCGTGGCGGGACCAGACTCGAGGGCACGTGCTGCGAGCGGATGAGCTGTTTGTACAGGACGCACGTGTCCTCGTCTGCAGGTGGACGTCGGAACTCTTGCGATGGAGGCTGTTGGGCCACAGATGCGAGTGGTGCGGGCTTGGGTGCTTCTACTGCTGCCACCGTTGGCGCTGCGACGGGTGCTCGTGATGGCAACTTTGGCTGCAGGTCCGGGGCAGGCAGCGCTTCTTTTCTCCCGAATGGCGCCATGTTGTGCATGCTGGTGACAAGCTCATCAGACACAAGCGCGTCGCCAGATCTAGGGGCAACGGGGTCAGCTGCCATGGCGGCGGGCGGCGGAACAGGGCTAGATCCGCTGGGAGGGTTGTACTTGGCCAGCAGCTCGGCCATAGAGGGGGACAACAGCATTGGCTCGGGAGTGTTTGACGCGTGGCTGTCAACGCTAGGTCGTGGGGCTTTGCGTGCTGAGGCCGCGACGTTGAGAGCTGCAAGCAACAGGGAGTAGAGCCTGGATCACAGCATTGCAGCGTGTTTTCAACGTTATGCAGCCAAACGACAACAAAGCCCAGAGTTCCTGGTGGAATAAAATGAAAAACTGTGCTTGCGACCACGTTTGGAGCCCTCCCTAACCGGGCGATCCATCCCGGATGCCCACCTGAGGTATAGCTGGACGCCTGAGCAGCTGCCAGTAAGTTACCCTTGCTCGCTAGTGAACCCGTGGGCTTGGCGAAAGAAGTCCCTGCCGCGGCATGCGTAACCATCCGCTGCTGGTTGAGCGCTCGCTCTTCCAATTCGTCATCTGAGCAGCCTCCGGCCGAGTCCTCGTCTCCGTGGCGGGCCCCATCTTCATCGCTGGAGCAGTCCATAGAGTTCTGTGGTGCAACCCAAACAAACACATCACAACACCGCAGTAAGCCACATGTCCTACCCTGCAAGCATAGCCACACTCGAAGGATAGTAACAGTGCCGCACACGATAGAGAAAGTCCCCACAAGTTGTCTTACTGTGCCCAGCTTGCTGCCCGGTGTTGCTTTGCGAAGGTTGTGCCGCTTTGGTTCAGCCGCCAAAGCATCGCCAGGAGTCATCATGACGACGTGCTTGCCCTCCTTGTTGTGCCCTAGCGACCGCATGCTCTTAGACGGTCCAGCGACGTTAATGGACGGTGCTTTCGCGAGAGCAGACCGGATGCCGACGCTTGGCGCGCCCAGGCCGATGCAGTCCTCTTCGTCCTCGTTATCAATCGCCCCATCACGCCTGTTTCCATCACCTGTTAAAGTACATGACAACTCATGACGTTTCAGTGGATGCGCAACCCTGACTTGCATATGTGTGCGTTCATGGACAATACTGATTTCTTTGCCCCGACCCACTCCCCATGCAATGTGGACATCCCAAAAAGCCTCCCCATCACCATAACGTGCCTGCACGACGTGCCTTGACGGCTGCAACCGCCGCTGCTGACACCGGGTTCTCAGGTTCTTGCACGACACCAGGCGGCTGCTGATAGCCGTATTGTTGCAGGTGTTCCTCTAGCAGTTGTATGGTGCTGCGGTTAGCCTGATATAACCCCACGCAGTGGCCGAGCAGCTCCTGTGCAAACGGCAACACACGTGGAGTAGCAAGTGCAAATCATTAGAGGGATACAACAAGGGTTCTGGGCTCGAAGAACCCCAGTTCAGGAACAACGGACAGGAAGAGGAAAGTCAAGTGGCGAGGCAGAAAGCGGGATTTGGGGAAGGCGAGCGATCGACGTCTGCGGAACCTCGTTGTGCGTAACCCATCCAGGAGCCACAATATGTCCACCAGTACCAACCTCAAAGGAGATGGTGTCAACCGTGAAGCGCTCCAAGTTTTCAACCTCCGTTGTTAGGTCTGACACCTCGTCTTGCAAATCGGACAGCACTTGCCGAAACTCCCGAGCTGCGCAATCAGCATTGCCATTCAAGCAACCAGGTTACATTCCGCAAACAAAAACATCTCCAGCTGGGGGTTCTATGCGTATATGGTAACTTACGCCCTACGCATGGCTTGTGCTGTGTAGCCCGGCTGAGGAACGTTACGCTGTCGTTCAGCTGCTGTGTCACGCTCCGCAGGTCGTCAGCAAAGCGAGCAACAGCGCTACGTAGTGTTCGGCGCTTTGGAGCCATGTTACCCAGGACAGGGCAACTCGAGCTAGCAACGCATTAAGATTTACAGCAGAACTTTTTACACCACGGCGACGTAACTGTGGAAAGGTAAATGATGAAAATATGCTGTATGCCTTGGTTGAAAACGTCTCTTTAATTCACCCTAGGGCCCTGAGACTGCTGCTCGAGCAGCTCAACCCTGGCTGTCGACAGGTATGGATCCGCCGTACTTCTTGAAGACGAGGCGTTCCTTACCGCAGAGAGGTGTAGACACCCTTGATAGCAGATAACCTGAAAGGGGTCATACTTCTTGTCCTTTATAATTGTTCTCACCTTGTCTGACAGCAACTTCGCCTGTTTCCGTCAGCCTGTTCCCGTCCACGGCCGATCTTCTTTACGTTAACTGTATACCGTTCGAACGTCGTTTGGGAGCATTTATAGCAGCTTTTTAAGAAGTTCTACACTGAGTGCCCTCAATAAGTTCACACGCGTAGAGCGGTCCTGTCCTCTTCTTCATCCACCGTGCACATAGAAAAAGGCAGACATGTGGCAATACTGATCAGCTTACTACCCTTTAGCTAACTCCCGGCGTAGTCGCGAGGCCGCGGCATCCGCGGTGTCATGGCAAGTAGGCCACCACGCTCCTTGTCGCGTCCACGCAGCGCGAATGACCGGGGTGAAAATGAGAGTGTTTACGCTCTGGGGAAGATGGCCGGGGCCATACCTGGGGCTACACCCAAGGTCAAAGTGTACAACATAGCACCGGAAACTCCGGGAACGCCGACGGCAGGCGGCCCAGGAACACCTGGCGTGCCGCCCAAGCCGCGGGTGAACAGCGCGGCGGATAGCTCGCAGGTGGGTTTGCGTTGCGGGGTTGAAAACGATCGCAGGCGGGGTTCAGTTTGCTCTGTATGCGGCTGGAGTTCAGTCAGTCCTTCGTGTTTCAGTAAGTTGAACGTGTGTTTTAGGCATGTGGTGAGATACCCGCATCAAATGCCACCTTGTACGGGGTGTCCAGATATCCTCAGTTAAACACTGCATAGGGAATTAGGGATGTTCATGCTCTCCTTGGAATGTTACAGGAAGGGGCTAGTGGCTACAAGATGCAGCGTTGCGATACCAGCATCCCTTTACAGTTGACGCTGAGCCTGTACGATTTGCCCATCTTTGCAGATCGAGAGCCTTATCAACCCGGTGCGAGGAGTGCGGGATGCCCAGGCCCGCGCCGGCATCACGCCTACCAACCATGCCAGGAACAACGCTATGGCCGTTCGTGAACAAAGCCAGATGAACGCGCTGCGGAAGCAGGCCGACCAGCAGCCGGAGAGCAGCAAAGGACTCAAGCTCCCACCCGGTAGGATGGCTGGTCACTCTCTACTGCCAGCGTGTCGATCGGGCATTGGCGTACGTGATTGCGTCCTGCCTGTGGCAAATTGGTCCGTTAGTCGCCGCAGGCCTCGTTCCACCAGGATCCAAATCCAGATTCCACCAGATCCTAAAGACGTTGCTTCACCCACAACAATGCCCCTTGGTGTTGTTTGTAATGCAGTTCGCAGCACCTCAGCGCCTACACAGAGGCCCCTGCAGCGGCTCAGCAGCGGCGGTGGAGGCGGTCGTGACTTCGTCAACGAGAACAAGCTCGGGGCAGCCGCCCCCACGCGTCCGCCGCGGCCGGAAAAGCGTGACTCGTCCGACAAGTACCTGAACAAGAAGGACTACGGGCAGGTATGGAGTGGCACCTGAAGCTGGATCAGGGTCAAGTAGGTGCTTAATCCACAGCGCGCCGGATGCCGATGCCTGGAGACTTAGGAGCGGTTATGCCTAGCACCTGTGTTGCTCATGCAGCGTGGGTTCGAGGTTGCACATGCCGGCATGTCATGGTATGACCGTTCCTACGAGCTGCCAAGGAACTCCCAAAATAGCGCAATGTAGGGGTGGTTTTCATTCGGCCACGTCCGAGCTCAGGAGCTCACGTTCCATGGATGGTGTACTGCCAGCACCACGTTACTTGGGACCTATTGGTGTAGCTGTACCCATCCCATGCCGTGCTATTCCCCACACAATTGTGGCCCGTTGCCCTGCAGGTGCCGCAGTACATCTTGGAACGAAAGATGCAAATGGCGGCTGATATCGAGGCGGCCGCCCGCGCCAAGGAGGCAGCTCTCATACCGCCAGGTGCGAACGTTTCGCTTGTAGCGGCTCTGTTTGTAGGCCAGCATGTAACCGGCATTTGCCGGTCCTGCCTATCTTACCTGTCTTTACATGTACCTGTGTTGCTGTGTACGGCACCCAAACTGTTGCCACTGCATCTTTACTTGTACGTAGGAATGCGTCTGATGCCGGACGATGAGCGCCTTGAGACATTGGACGTTCTGAAAAAGAACCGGGAGGAGGTCGAGCGCGCCATCCAGGGGCTCCCACTGCGGATAGAGACCCCATCGGCAGTTCGCCGCAAGGAGGAACTGGAGCGGCGGTTAAAGGAAATCGAGGACGCGATCAAGATCTTCTCTCGACCGAAGGTCCTGGTCCACCTGTGATTTGGTTATCAGGGTGCTCGTATAGCCACGGCCTGTACATACATGAGGGGCTGCATGAAGGCCTTCGCCTGCCTGCCTGCATATGTAGAAGTAGCCATTGCGTATGTACGCAAGATGGCGTTAGTAACGTAGGGGCAACCTCCCGACAGCTATCCAGGAAGCTAGATAGGTACTAATGAGGATCAGACAGTATGCTCCTACGGTGACGAGCTAAGTGTATCACCGCTGGCTTTCGTTACCCTCTTCCGCGGTATCAAATACTGCATGGGCAACTGCCCTACTGCCGTAGCCGTTGTAAGCTGCGTAATCATCTACCAACCATGTGTGGGTAGACTATTTGATGCATTGTGTAATCAGCAGCTTTGTCATCGCCACACCTGTGTCTACTTATCGCTTTACGATACGATTTCCTACGAACTCCCACCGTGACTATCCCCAAGATATTTCACTTTGACGTTCTGGTAGCTTCATATGGGTATGGGTTACCAAAGATAATTCACTCCTCCTAGCAGACCTAGCTTGATAGTTGGGCCCTTCACTGCGACCGCAGCTTGCAGACGCACACCAAGACGAGTGCCTGTAAAACATTGTTGGGCACAACAATTACATCATGAGCAGGACATCAAACCAGTTGTGACGGTGGAGCTTCTCTCTGATTTGTTGGCACCATTGACGAAAGTTAGCGAAAAATGGGGCAAATGACGAAGGGATAGAACTCTTCTGGCGTCGAGCTTAGCCTTCATTACCTCTTCGGAGGCAGGCGACTTGGAGGATGCAAGGGTGAGGATGCCGTAGGGGAAAATATTGCAGGCACGCGCCGTTGGCAGGTCGACAAATAACTTCTCTTTATGGCAGGTTCCCGTCGCGCCTTTTGGCGCTTTGCGAGAATTGCCCACGGGCCATGCTTAACAGGGAGTACTGGTGAGTATGCTGTTTCGTGCCGGCTTTCCGAGCGCTTATGTCTGTTTATGCTGCATAAGGCAGAAGCTATACGCCTTGGGGGGTGCATTGGTATCTTGGTACGTCACGCGTAGCGACACTGGCCTTGGGTTCAAGCTGGGAGCACACTCGTATCCTGCCACTCTTATTACCACAACACCCCCCTTGTTCGTACGCAGGTCCATTAAGGACTTTGCCCTTGTCAAGGAGGTCGGAAGTGGCGCAGCTTCGACGGTATACTATGCCCTTTGCCGAAAGAGCACCAAGCCGGTGGCGATAAAGATGTACAATAAGTCAAAGCTCAGCAAGCTTAACCGTCGGCAGGTAAGATGCTCGTGTGGGGTGGCTAAGGGGAAACGCAAATTGGTTGGTGGTTGGGATGGGGTAAGAGCGCACCAGGCTTCCGGTGTTGCATGCTTTGGCCGGCTGGCTGCATGCATGGTTTACGACCTTCCATAGCAATCAGGCCCTTATTCATTGATCACTTGCAGGTGGAGCGAGAGATTAACATCCACTCATCGCTGAGTCACCCCCACATCATCGACTTTGTAAGTAGCTAGGACCAGGACCAGGATGCCGGGGCATCTGGCGGGTAGAACGGGGGTCCTACGCTGGAATGGGGTACGGGCAGACGGAAGAAAAGCAACTGGATGGGTAAAGATTAAGCACAGTGTACGAGCTGACATGGGAGCCTACACGAAATTGCGTTGGGGTCTTGGGCGCTCGCTTGTGAACATGGACAACCTTAACTATCATGCATACACAGGAAGACACCTGCACACCTTACCTTATTGCCACGATTGGCAAAACCTCGCACCGTGCCTCTTTCTGACGTTTGCCGTACACACCTGGCATGCCGCAGTACGCTGCGTTCGAGGACGATGAGCGGATATACCTGGTGCAGGAGTATGCAGCAGGGGTAAGTCCACCACGTGACCATGCATCCAGTTGTGGGTTATCAACGTAGACGTCGCAAGCAGCACGGCGGCACCCGACAGTAGCGTACAGGATGCTGCTGAAGTTGTAATCACAGGAAGGATCATGCGTCCCAGACGGATGCCCAATCCTGTCTTGCACAATTGCCCTAGAAACTGGCAAGCTTCACGTAAGAAACAAGGCACATGCATGCCTCAAGCCCTCGTTACCGTAGTACTAGCTACACTGTGTTCCGCCTCCCCATGCGGCTGGCGGCGTAGGGCGACCTGTTTGACGACGTGAAGCGGCGGGGCGGGCGGCTGCCGGAGCGCGAGGTGGTGCAGCAGGTGCTCTACCCCTACCTCACAGCGCTGGCCTACCTGCATGCGCGGGGCATCATACACAGGTGGGAAGGCAGGAGGTGGCGGACGGCTGGGCAGAGGGCTGTGTGGGTGGAAGAGTCGATGACGCTGGGGTTAAGTGGGATTACCGGTAGGTGTGGGGGGGAGAAACTTTATATAAACGCCCGAACTCGTATTTGTTAGGGCCCTGAATCCCTATCTCTTCTTGCTGCCTTCAACGCATGCTGCCTTCCATGCTGCCTTCAACGCATGCTTACCATCGCCACTCCTCCCTCCTCCAACAGGGACATCAAGCCCGAGAACACGGTGTTCACTCGCGAGCGGGTGATGAAGGTGACGGACTTTGGTCTGGCCATCAACGCCACCACGGAGCGACCCGTCACGCGGCTGGGCACGCTGGACTACATGGCGCCGGAGGTGAGGGCGGGGGTGGTGAAGACGAAGGTGATGTGCGTGGAGCATTGGGCGGCCAGGGTTGGATCCAATTCACCCAAACAACGACGACACGTCTGGGGCCTTAGACGGAGTTGCAGGGGTAGAGGGGGCTGCGCATCACCCCATCGCAGCTCACCCCCACCCCATCTTGCCGCACCCTACTGCCCCAGGTCCTACGCTGCCCCGACAAGCACGCCCCCGAGGACAACAAGGACCGGGTGGACCTGGAGTACGACACCTCGGTGGACGCCTGGGCCATGGGGGTGCTGGCGTACGAACTGGTGGTGGGCCGCCCGCCCTTCGGCATGGTAAGGTGGAGTGGAGCCCGCGGGCTGCGACCCCTGAGGGGTAGGCTAGGAGCTATGGGGCATCCCTGCATCCGGCCATGCCGAAGGGTACCGGTACTACCCCTTCCATCACCCCCCTCCTCATGTACCCCTCCATGGCTCCATGCACCACTTCAGTTACCGGCACTCCAGTCCCACCTCTTTCCCACCTCATTCCCACCTTCGTTCCCGCCCTTCAGAGCTGCCGCGAGGCCACCATGCGCGCCATCGTGTCCGCCGCGCCCTCGCTGCCCGACTGGATGTCGCCCGCCGCCGCCGACTTCATCCGGACGGCGCTGCAGCGCACCCCCGGCCGGCGCTCGCCCGTGGCGCAGCTGCTGGAGCACCCCTGGATTGTGGGGCACATGAGGTGGGGCCGTTGGAAACAGGCTTTCGTCCTCGGTTTTGCCCGGTCAAGATGGGGGGTTGCTAAAGAGCTGGGCACCTGGCCGGTCATGGACTAACTGAGGCGCGGGGTGAGGGAAGTGCGCATGGTGGGTAGGCGTGCTGCAGTCAGCATGCGCCATGACTGTCTCCATTCTCATGGCAATTAGATGTCTAGGTCGCTGGGTCGGAAAGCCACCCGGACCAATCCCATCTTCACCGCGCCTACCACAGGTCTCTCCAGCCGCAGCACACGCCACGCGGCCTGTTCTGCGGCGCTCAGGCCTCTGCGGCCTCTGTGTACACTAGCTCTGTTGCCGCCGCCACCAGCACCACCACCACCTCCGCAATCACGGCCGCAGTGGGCTTTGCCTCATCCGGCGGAGCCCCGTGCGGCCCTGCCTCCGCCGCCAGCGCTCGCTCGCTCTACTACCACCCAGGCGGGCTAGACACACATCCCCACCCGCACTACAACCACCCGCACCACCGCCAGCATTACCAGCACCAACACCACCTCCTGGTCCCCTCCCAAAACAACGCGTGTTCGGTCTCCAATAGCGACTTGGGCGTCATGGCAGTGGCTAGTGGCGGCGGGACCGCTAGCGCCGCCAGCATGTACGGCAACGTAGCAGCGGCTGCGGCGGCGGTGGTGGAAGCGGCAGCGGCTTCCGCAATGGTTGGCACGGTGTACAACAGCGACCAGCGGCCCGCCAAGCGGCAGGTGCAGCGGTGTCAGAGTGCTCAGCTAGGGGGAGGCGACGTTGGCGTCGGCAGCAGCAGCAGCACCCTCGCCGCTATGGATGGTGGCGGGCTAGCGGCAGGCATGCATCAGGGACACACCGCGGCAGCAGCAGCAGCGTCAGGACACCGTCCGTACGACGCGATGTCGTACTGGGTAACTGACGGCAACGGCTTCTGCCGAGATCCTTTCGTAGGCCTGGGCGGAGGCGGTGGCGGTGGCTTTGGCGCCAATGCAGGCGATAGTGCAAGTAGGACTCACGAGCCCTATGCACCAGCGGGGGCAGCAGCCGCAGCGGATGTTGCGGGTGCGGCTGGGGGCTCTGTGGCGCGGGAATTTTACCAGTCCCAGCTGGCACGGGCAGGTAGCAGTTGTTTGGCAACCCAGCAGCAGCAACACCTGTTGGACCAGCGGATTAGTCTGGTCCAACAGCAGGATCAGCAGCAGCAACGAGTATTGCAGCAACAGCAACAGTTAGCATCACAGCAGCGATCCGATCAGCAGTATTTAGTTCAGGAGCAACAGAACCTGCAGTTCCAGCAGCGGTACTATCGCGAGCAGCAGCAACAGCAGCAAGCGCAGCAACAGCAAGTGCAGCAGCAGCAGCAGCAACATGCATACCAGGTTAGTCAACAGCGACTTCAGCAGCAGCAACAGCAAAGGAACATGCAGGAAGCGCCCCTAGCAACCGCCGCATCCACCGCCGCGGTGCAGGCGCCCTCTCCTAATGCGCATCTATCACAAATGCCCCCATGCTCGTTGTCTGTATCGGGTGAAAGCGGCGGCGGCAGCGCAAACGGTGTCGAACCGTCCGTACCACCCCTAACGGCGGCCGACTACTATCGGCTGCACTTGGAGGACGTAAGAAGCATGTGGGACAGCGGCAGTCGCGGTGAGCCGGGACCTGCGAGCGCCCGAAGCCCCATCAACCGTGGCTTGTCGCGTTCCTTTGCAGCGCGACCCACGGGTCACCGCTCGGGAAGCGTCACTGGCGGGAACGGCAGCAACGACTCCCATACTGACATGGCAGGGGCAGCTGTGGGTGCCAACCCGGCGTACGTTGATACCCGCGGATCGCCGTTAAAGTCGGCACGGCTGTTGTACCGTACGGGCAGCGGCGGCGCCATGAAGCGTCGTACACCGGACACGCGTGATTGGGACATGCCGGCGCCGCCAGGGATGCCCCTGATGTCCCACCAGCTGCAGTACACGTCGCCACAGAAGCAGCCGTCGCCGTCTGGACAACTTGCGGGTCCAGTGCAGCTGACTGAGCATGGCCTGGTGGCATCTGGGTCAGCGGCGGCGGCAACGCTGGTGGCCCATTCGTCGGATGCGTTCGTATCGCCGGGCGGTGCAGCAGCCTTCTACACCGGTAGCTTAGCAGGGCTTGCCGGCGGGGTGACCGCGCAACAGCTGGCGGCGGCGGCACCGCAGCCGTCTTCTCCTGCGGCCATGCTGGAAGGGTGCTTAGGCGCAGGTGGCTTGGCCGCAGCGGCTGCTGCAATGACGCCGTCGACGTCCCTGGCATGGCAGTTAAGTGGTTCGTTGTCGTTTACAGCCCGAGGATCACATGGAGCCAGGCCGAGTCGGTTGTCGAGGGCTTTCAGGAGGGTAGAATCCATGGAACATCGTGACCATGGAAGGGGCAGTGACGATTGTCCTGGAAGCAGCGCCGCTGTCGGCGGCGGTGCAGGGTGCTCACTGCCGCTGCCTGCGATGGCCTGTAACAGCGCCGCCTCCGCTGCTATGGCTGCAATGGACCAGCTGTCCCTAGCGCCGACTGCGGTGTCAGGTGACAATCGCGGAGGCGGAGGGGGCGTCGCTGCTGCTGCCACCGCGGCACCCACAGACGCATCCGCTACCCAGCCAGCGGGCACAAGCATGGGTGCCACAACTGCAGGCGGCACCTTCAGCAGCAGCATGTGCAGCTACGGCTTTTCGGCTGGTAGCGGTGCCAGCACCGTCACCGCAGCGCCGTCAGCCGGTGCTTCTGTCGGCGGCAGCGGCGGATGTACGGTATATCGTGCGCCGTCTGTAACCACGACGGGTACATCGTACACGACTGCGAACGCGGCTGCCCAGAGCATGACCGCACTGGGGCTTCTGCTTCCGACCATACTTACAAGCGCCAGCGGACTGACGCATGCAGCATGCAGCAGCAGCGGTGGGGTCGGAGGTGCAGGCGAGCTGCGCTCCCACCCGATAAGCAGTCCGCTGATGACACCCTGGGCCACGCCAGTCAACTCACCCGCCGCCTCACGCGGCGGGGCCGGCGGAGGCGCGCTTTTCAGGGCGACGTCGCAGTCGCCTGCGTTCGACGCGCTGCTTGAGTACATGCAGGCCGAGGGCATGTTAACGAGCAGTGATGAGGCTGGCGCTGCCGCGGCGGGGGCAACAACAACGGCGGCATCGGCTGCTGGAGGCCCGCTGCCAGGGCTTAGACTCGCACCTGGGAGCAGCCGGGACGCCGGTGGAGGCATGGAGGGGGCCTTCTGGGGCCCGGCACAAAGCGGCGGTGGATCTGCTAGAGCTGCTGCTGCCATTCCTTGCGACTGGCCGACGCCGATGAACGTAGATGGGGGCTCGGGCATCGGAGCTCATGCTGCGGTGGCGGTGCCGATGGGTCAACAGCCGACAACGCCAAAGGACGGCTGGGCAGCCGCATGGGCGGCCGCTATGGCAAGTGGCGGCAATGCAAGCTCCGGCTACCCTCGTGCAACCACCACCTCGCCCACTCAAGCGACGACATCGTCACCCTTTGCACGGTCCTTCAGCATACCCACGCATGGCGGTAGCGGCGGTGCCACCGGCGCCGCTGGCGGCGGCATGGGACCGTCCATGCACATGCCATCACCCCTGGGCCGCGACCAGCCCCAGCAGCAGGCCAGGGCCGCAGCCGTGCAGCAGCTCCTGCGCAGCAGGTCCCTCAACCGCTTCCAACTGGAGCAAATGGGCCTGGGGACGGCGGGCGCCGGCACCGGTGTTTGCGGCCCACAAGGGCCGATGGCCCCTGCTGCTGTTGCTGGCTTGTCGCTTTGTTGCGCATCACCGACTGGTGCTGTTGCCGCCTCCGGCGGCTTTGCAGGCACTGCACCTTTCGGCGTAAATGCTGGCGTGGCAGGGACGGCGGGGACAGCGATGGATGGAGATACGAGAGCGACCGGCGGGGTTCCTGATGCATCCACAGCTGCTACCGCCTCTTGGAGTCAGCAGTCCGAGATGTGCGTCGCTACCGAGGGCGGCGGTGGAGGCGAGGGATGCAGCAGCGTTGGCTTTGGAAACAGGCACGGTCCGCAGGCGTTTGCCATTTCGGCTGGCGCGACGCCGCTGCGGGGACTGTCGTACGCCCAGCATCCATACCATAGCAGCCAGCCCCATCATCAGCCCAACATGGGGCCGCCCAGTGCATCCCAGCGGTATCCGGGGGCAGTGGGGGATGGACACATGGGCATGGGTATGAGCAGCAATGCTGGCTGCTTCCACACCCCTGGCAGCACTCTCCCCTCTGTCCCGAGTCCGCTGGGGCTGCGTTGCAGCTCTGGTAGCCAGCCTAGCAGTAGCAGCGAGGAGATGACGGGCACGCCTCAAGGGAAAGGAACGGCGTCTGGCTCGTGATGTGGATTGAAAGCGCAGCAATCGTGATGGGCACATGCGGACATAGGTACATCATTAGTATGCCCGTAGCCTGGGCGGAAAGGAATGCCTGAAAATGCCTTTAATTAGGAGGCTTTGCGGGCCTGAGTCGTTGTGGTGGCAATGCCCTTACCATGCATTGGCAGGAGTACGCCTAAAGAGGTGTTGCATGAGCATTGCCGTTGAACCTTACAACTAGGGAGCTTTGACAGGGGCTCTGGAGTTGCGATACAGACTGCAGAATGACGCTGGATAAGCTGTTCGTAGGAGTTATGTAGGAGTTCTGGGGGACCCGCGTCAGGATAAGGTGACACAAGGGGGCGACAGGGCACGCAGCACAGGCTTTTGCTCCTTGGAATGTAGGAGGCATGTAGTTCCGAGTTCATTCTACAGCTGGCAGGGGCGTCTGTTGCACGGGGGCCAGCGTTCTAGCTGTGCCAGGGTTTCCGATGCCTTGCTCCCATCGCGACCATTGTGTTGTCCCCCGCATAAGGAGGGGCGCTGTTACCGGCTTCACGCACTTAGGTGACTACTCGCGCATGCTGCTATTTTACGCGGTTGACTTATGGGTTGGTTCATCCTGGCCCCTATGCATTTGTTGCTCCAAGTTGTGAACTCTTGTGATCTGGTGCGCCTTGACGGTAGGCGGCGTGCGAGCAAGGGGACTCCATCTTTGTTCCTATTATAGGGCTACTTTGCACGCTTGGGGCGTGCATAGTTATGTTCACAAAACTTGCCGCGAGTTGGAACATAATGTGATTGCACAGTTGTGTGTACGTGCACCGGTTAGCGCTCGCGTAGTTGAATCGGACTGCATTACGGAAGGTGTGAAGGCTCTCGAGCTTTGCATGGCTTTGGAATTGCAGGTTTGGTGGGCGTGGCCATGTCCATAGGTTTGTCCTCACAACGCCAGGAGATGCGTTGTGATGTGTTGCCGTTTGTGTACATAAGTAGCGCTGCAGACCTAGGGACCTGTACGGCAAGTATCCCGACCAGGCTTGGCAGAGGGCACGTCAGGCCCCAAAAGCTATGCGCCTTTAGATTGTTGCCTACAAGTTGATCTTTTTTGTGATTGATTCCTTTTGGGCGTTTCCCTTCCGTCAAGTTCGGGTTCTTATGGAAGTACGGCATTTCTAAAGAGGGATCTGAACGCTGGCGGCGTGGATTTGCTTTGTGCGATGTTTATTTGGATAGGGGTCTCGTAGTTTTTGTTGGGGGTGGGTGGGTTCAATATGGGCTGGTCGTTACTTATCACACCCGCTTGCCCGACAGCAGTCAGGGGGGAGGTCCGTGTGCATACTTGGTCACACCATCAGCCATGCTGCTTTATGCGTAACCGTATGCAACTGACCGCGAGCTGGTTTCCTACATGCGAGGAGATTTGTTGACGGCGTTAGAAAGCCAAGGGTGAAGGCTTGCAAGCAAGCTTGTGGCTTTCCAACCCGTTTCGGTTTGTAGTGTCTTAACAATGTTCGGCACAGGCGCAGTGGCTTTTGGAAAAGTGACCTTTCGCTTGGTTGTATCTACACGGTAAGAGAGAGGAAAGCCAATGCATCGGGATGTAGTCTTTCTTGTTTTGTACGCGTGTCTGCATGCTATTATCAGTCATTTTGCTTACCGTTCGTTTTAGTTGCGACGTTTGGCCGGTATATGCCCTAGACGTGAACCGCAGACAGTCTGCCAAGTGTAGTCCAGCATACTTACATTGTTTGTGGTGAGTCCTCTCCACTGCGCGCTGGCTATGTTGCCGCGCGATTCCCGTACTGAGCTTGTACGCGTGTGCATACGTTTTAAGGCCTCCCGGTGCCCCGCTCGTGACTCAAGCAGATTTCAGCGGCAGTGAACGTGGTTCGTGGCCGGTTCCGCACTTTGAGGACTTGGCTCTGGCGGTGCGAATGGGTTTTAGTCCTTACGTCCGTTAATGACATCGTTGCTAGCATCGGATAGGCACTGTTGCGCTGATGATACATGGAAATGTGCGTTATGAAAGCACTGGCTGGTGCCATGGATGTTACGCTACTGTTGCCTGAGGCAGGTAATCACATCATGCTGGGACGCGTGCGACTCCCTGTTGGCAGCTACATCCTCTGTTCCCCACATATTAACGTTGCTCTCAAGGTGTATATCCAACCTGAGTGGTGTCTGCCAACTCCTGGGCTGTGATAAAGGAGGCCACCGCACAAGGCGTACACCGCTAGTCGCCGTTGGCATGCCGCCGTGGGCCTTCCATAATGAGAGTGTAGCCCTGCAACAACACTAGATCGTGTATAATAAGTACGGCATACTAAGTACGGATACCCGGTAGGGCCACTGACTCCCTAGTGTCCGCGTGACACACGCACAGGACAGAACAGAGCGCCCAGTAGCGGGCTGTACGGCATGTACGATTCTCAGCGGGGTAACCTCTCAAATCGATAAGATGAAATAGCGGGAGATTGACCGTCCCGGCAGCCGGCATACCAGTGCCGCAACGCAGTTAAGCGCGTTAAGGGTGATGTGGAGCCCACCTCACTGACACAATGTCATCAGATTGCATTGTAACATGCGTTTCTTAGGCTGGCGACCAGTCTTGGCCTGCATAGACCAGGATACCGGTAGAAGGAACGCATTTATCAGACGTTCTGGACGACTGAGTTGCAGGACTGTTTTCCTTACGACCAGCCCAGTACGAACGGAACAGATCCGCGCAGTTTGTCAGATAGGGCTCAGGTTCCCAAGAGTCATACTCAGGCCCCTGACACTTCCAGCGCATCAGGTAGTACCGCTGACTGTGACTTTGTGCTTGACCTCAGGATGAGTCCGCGCACAGGGGTACGGTGCCATACGCTACAAGGTCAAAGAAAGAGGGCAGGGCAAACCAGGCAACTCTGGCAGAAGGAACGGGGGCCACTTTGCTGGGTTTTATAACTGAATGCCACCTTGGGTATCCATGCCCTAAGCGACCCGTGGGTCCTTTAGAGCCCTTCGTGCCCGGCAGTGATACCCTTAATAGGATGCATTGCTTTCGCACTGTTACCTTGACATGCTGTGTTTCCGTCTAGTGGTCGCGATCCTTGATAACATACGAGGTTCTGTACATGCTGCATTGCAAGGGCTTCCCGAATGGGCTATTAGGAAGGAACGGATGCGTTTGCGAGGTTAAATTACAGCTTGAGGGCGGTGCAAGTCCGAACTGTGCTCCAACAGGTAACCTGCTGAGACCAAAAGTACCATTTGGTGGTCTGTCCTCGCAAGACGTCGAAACACAAAATAACAAACCGACACGTGACAAGCAGCAGTGCTGAACTGATATCCCATGCAATGCGTAGGCAGCGCGTTGCGGGGTCACGGTAGCAGCTATCCGGCAGGCGCACGTGCTGTCGGTTGTTAACACCCAACCGTCCATGCTTATACCGGGATGCCGGTGTTGACCACGAATAATAACGAAGGATTGCAAATCACGGAAGATAGCGGCAAACACGAATGTCTCCACACCCGCACGAGCACGTATCACACTGCAACACTGAGCGAAAGCTCCTGCGCGCTCATACACTGCCATACACACAGACACATCAATCAGGCACATTCCATCCCCAGCCACTGCTTGATTACATCTCACACACAAAGGTCCACGTCCAAGAGTTTGTAGGCTGCACGCATGCAGAGCCCCCCGGGTGAATAAAGACGTAGTTAATGGCGCACCCCTGCAGCGGATGCCAAGTTGTTCCAGTCCTCTTTGCACCTTGCTCACATAAGCCACAGCATCACCACAACAGGCATGGAGAATGCGAAACTAGTTCAGTGCGTATCTACAACGTCTGCAGGTTACTACCTAGCTCGCTCACACATGCGCGCATGACACGGAAGAGAAGGGTACAACAACAACGAAGCCCAAGCCAAAGAAGTCAGTATCGTCGCGGGACGCCTATCACATGGGCGCATTTCCGTTTGCAGTTAAGTAGAACGCAAGACAGTAGACGCAATACGTGTGTAAGTAATTACGCGCAACCCTAACGGACGACAGTTAAAGCGATGCATGCATACCCTTGGCATGCCAACCTAATGCCAACCCTATCGTTCCCTTACTCGCTGGCGTTCTACCCAATGCATGCTTGCACTATTAATATCTAATCCCTTCCTAACCCATAAAAGCCTAGTCCCTTCTACGATCCTATTCCAAACCCAAGACATGTTCACTTTCATCGCTCCCACAAGAATACGCAAAAGTAAGCAACTCATCCTATCTATCACGGCCTACGTGAGATCACTACTACGGCTGATCCCGGGAGCGGGGAACACCTCCGGCGCGGCGCGATCCAACACCCGGCCGCGGCGCAATGCCGGCTGAGCTGGCCGGAGTACTGGAGACGACAGGTGCGATGTAGTTAGGGCTGGGGTCATACAGGGGGTTGTAAGGACCGCCCACGGCCGCCGCCTGAGCGGCGCCGCCACCACTAGACCTGCCAGCAGGCCTTACGACTGCGTTGCCGCCCGTGTTACTGCCAGCTCTTGTGCCGGACCTGGCAGCTGCATGGGCGCCAGTACTGCCGGCAGCCCGGCCTCCTGCGGCGCCGCCGGCCCTGCCTCCACCGCCTGGCCGGGAGCCAGTGCTGCCTCCATTGCCGCCGCTGGCTCGTGTGCCGGCGTGGCCGCTACTGCTTACGCTAGCACCGCCTCGTGCGGGGGCGCTGCCTCCGGCGCTGAGGCTGCTGGCCGTCCGACCCCTTCCCACGCCGCTGGCACCCCCGCTGGAACCTCCGCTTGAGCGGGCAATGGGTGGCCCGCTGGTCCGGGTTGTCGTGCTGGGAACAATGCTTGGGACAACGGTACCGACATAGGCCGCAGCGCTCACATTGGCGTCCGTGTCGAAGTCCTCCTCCAGCAGGTCATCGTCCGGTTGCTCCGGCAGCGAGTACGTGGCGTCCAGAGGAAGCGCTGGAAGGCGCCCGGAAGCCGTGGCCAAGCTGAGGGTGCCGCCGCCGCCGATCCCCATGCCCGACGAGCGCCGGTTGGGGGCACGGGGTGGCAGGTCCGAAAAGGCGGATCCGGGCGTCCTAGACGCTGCTGCCGCCGCAGCGGCAACCCCGACGGCGGTGGCAAAGGGACCCATGTTGGGCCTTGCCGGCTCGGCGGCGCCAGCTCCAGAGCGTCGGGCTGAGAAGCTTGCGCGCGGAGTTGTGTAGGCGCCACCGTCGCTGGTGCCCTCTGCCTGCCAAGCCATATCCACAATGTCCCGGGGCCGAGTGGCAGCTGCATGGGCTGCAGACCGCTGCATTGCGGCGACGGGAGTTGCGTCTGCTCCGACGCCATCCCTGCCCACAATGTCCGTCGTCCAGGCGTACGTCGTGAACATGGTGGGCTGTTGTCCGCCGTGCTGGGGGGCCCCCCGGGACGCCGGGGCCACGGAGTCGACACCAGGCGGTGAGGAGTCAAACGGCACGACAACGTCGGCTTCACGGGGAGACTCAAACGGCACACGCGGTGAGGGGTACCCACAGGCACCGCCAGCCTCCGCGCCTCCCCTGCTCTTGCCGCCCACATCGAACAGCACGTTGGCATAGTGGGTAACCACTTCGCTGGACCTGGCGCGCGGGTTGGCGGACCCTGACGCAACACTGGTGGCTGCCAGGCCGCCCTCCTGCTGCCCTCCCGCGCTGTCGTAGCGCTGCTGCATTCGTCCAACAGGCGCGGTTCCAGGCGTTCCACCGGCATTCGCGCGCGGGCCGCCTGCAGGCACTGGAGGCTTGGTTCCACCGCTCGATGGCACCATTTCGCCCTCGTACAGCGCATTGTACGCTGCGCGCATCCTGCCGCCTGGATTGTTGGCAGCCGCAAGTGCCGTGGGTGGATACGGCAACAACGGCACTTCCCGGTCGGGATGGCTGCTGACACCGCTGAGGCGGCGGCTGATGGACAGGTCGTCGCTGCGGAAAGACATGTCGTCGCCACGCTGGACATGACCGTCATCAGGCAGCTGCGTGGAGAACGCGTCCGCCTTGCAGCTGCGCTTGTAAACGAAGTAGCCAGTGCCGCATGCGAGGATAAGCATGACCGGCACGACTACAACCAATACAATGAAGGTACCGACGTTCGATACGACCCAAGACTCGTGGGCGCTGGCAGGGGTAGGCGCCTCTTTGTTCGGTGGTGGCTGTGCTGGCGGCGGCGCAGGGACAATCTTGTCTGGGATGGTGGGCCCAACGACAGAGACCTTGGTGGCGGCGCTCGACAGACTGCTGGTCGAAGTGGCGTTGACAAAGTCGGTGACGCTGGTGGCTGGCGTGGCCAGCTGGCGGAGCGCCTGGGTGACGTTGTACTGGGCAATGAGCGCGGCGGCAGCGACCTGTAGGCGAATGTACGTGGGGCAACTGAACGTGAGGTAGGTTCGAGGCATACGCAACAATTCCTAAAGACTACTCTTGTCAAGCAGATCGCAGCACGTTCGTAAGCGCTGCGTTACGCACCTGTGTAAGGTTGCCGCTGCTTACAGTCGCCCCTACCAACTGCAGAGAGTTGGCCATGCCCTGCAGTGCGGCGTCCAGGCGAGCGGAGTCGTTCACGCCGACCAGGTTGGCAGTGAGCGCCGAGGAGCTGTTGCCACCGGTGGCGATGGCCAGCAGAGTCAAGGCATTCTGCAGCAAGCCGTTCAGCGCCTGGATGTTGGTCAGGTCCAACAGCGGGGTACCCGATGAAGAGTTGTTTTGCAGCATCGTGCGGCGAATGTACGACGGGGAGATGACGGGGCCTGCATCAGCCTCCTCAGGATCCGCAGCTGCAGGGCTGCCGCCGGCGGTCTGTGCCAGCCGGCGGTGCCCGCCGCCGCTCAAGCTGGTGGTGGAGAAGATGTCCTCTACCGAGTGACCCAGGGCGGACCAGACAATCCGGCCCATGGCCGGCAGATCTGCAGGTTTGTTGATGAGGAAGGATGTTGCCTGTACGACAGCCGCCATGACCTGCTGCTCAGCGCGCATCAGCTGCTCGGCCTGGTGGGATTGGTGGTAAGGTTTGGGGCGCGGGCGGAACAAGGGTGCGAGCGGCCCGCAAAGCGGTTTTGAGTGCTATGGGGTGGGACCAGAAAAGGGAGGACATCGGGACAAGCAGGCAATTGTAAGCATACAGTACCATACAAGAAGGACAGTTGGAGGGCCCTTCACCTATTCCTTATGCAGCTTACCCCACTCTCGTGGTTAAAGTACGCTTTAATGGGGTCCGTTGAACCCAGCGTGAAGGCGCTGGCGTTGATGCCGAAGGCAGCCTGGAAGGCAGCGGGAACGTAGTTACAAGCAGAGAAAGCCGAGCACCGACCCAGCGAAAGGGACAACTAAAAGCATGTGCATATGCACTTACTTTAAGGGCATCAGTGTCAGGAACCGGGGGAACCTCTTGGGAAGGAAAGCCCATCGAGCTAGCTAATCTGAAGCTTACCTTGACCTTAGCTTCAGCTTGCGTGAAACCACTCTGCTGCATCGCGGCGACCAGCGTCGTCAATGGGCTGATCACCTTGGACCCTGCCGGAGCAGCAAGCTCCACATAGAGCTTGAGCATTGAGGTCGCATCATGACATTCGTCCGTTGAACCGGTTGCCATGCGATTGGAGTCGTACGATGAAGGCGATGCAGGCACGACACGCAGGGGTGCTGCTACGCTGGCTGCTGTGGGCAAAGTGAGCGTCCAGCCGTCGGCAAATGTCGTGACGTTTGAGGGCTCCGTGGTGCCAAGGACGCCGTCTCCGTCGGTGTCGGCGTAGACGACGCAATTGTCCAGGTAGCCGTCCAGGGCGCGGCCAGAGAGTGTGAGAGGAACGAAGGGCTCCGGCGGTGGCGGTGACGGAGCACTCAGTGCAGGGGATGGCGGCGGCGACAGAGGCGATGGGACAGGCGGCGACAGCAAAGGCAGCGGTGACGGTGGCAATGGCGTTGGCGGCGAAGGCACTCTTGTTGGTGATGGCGGTGATGGCGGGACGGGCGGCGGTGGTGAGGGTGATGGTGGTCGTGGAGGCGGCGATGGAGGTAAAGGCGGGGGCATCGGAGGAGACGGTGGCGATGGGGGGGCGGGTGGTCGTGGAGGCGGCGATGGAGGTAAAGGCGGGGGCATCGGAGGAGACGGTGGCGACGGGGGGGCGGGTGGGAGTGGAGGCGGCGATGATGGTGCAGGCGGAGTCAGGGTCGAGGAAGGGGGCGGTGACAGAGGTGCGGGCGGTGGCGATGGCAGTGCTGTTGATGGCGGCAAAGGCTGCGGGATGACTGGGAGGGGTGGCGATGGAGGGGGCCGAGGCACGAGATTTGGAGGAGAGGGCGGCGATGGGAGGAGTTGCAGGGGTGACGGTGGGGCAGGAGGGGAAGGTGGGATCCGGGCTGGGGAAGGCGACGGTGGTGACAGCGCTGGGGTGGGCGGCGGCAATGGCGGCGGCAACGGCGGGACGGGCGGCGGCGGAGGGAGAGGAACTGGAACTGGAGACGGGGGTGGTGAAGGTGGTGAAGGAGTGGAAGTCGGCGGGACGGGAGAAGAAGGAGGAGTGGACGTTGGTGGGACAGGTGCTGAAGGAGTGGTTGTTGGCGGGGCGGGAGATGAAGGAGGAGTGGATGCTGGTGGGACAGGAGCCGAAGGAGTGGTTGTTGGCGGGGCGGGAGATGAAGGAGTGGATGTCGGCGGGGCGGGAGATGATGGAGTGGACGTCGGCGGGGCGGGAGATGAAGGAGGAGTGGACGTTGGTGGGACAGGTGCTGAAGGAGTGGAAGTCGGCGGGACGGGAGAAGAAGGAGGAGTGGATGCTGGTGGGACAGGTGCTGAAGGAGTGGTTGTTGGCGGGGCGGGAGATGAAGGAGGAGTGGATGCTGGTGGGACAGGAGCCGAAGGAGTGGTTGTTGGCGGGGCGGGAGATGAAGGAGTGGATGTCGGCGGGGCGGGAGATGATGGAGTGGACGTCGGCGGGGCGGGAGATGAAGGAGGAGTGGACGTTGGTGGGACAGGTGCTGAAGGAGTGGACGTTGGCGGGGCGGGAGATGAAGGAGGAGTGGATGTTGGTGGGACAGGAGCCGAAGGAGTGGTTGTTGGCGGGGCGGGAGATGGAGTCGGTGTCGGTGTGGCGGGAGGTGAAGGCCAAGGAGGGGGCTGGGATGTTGGGGTTGCTGCAGAGGAAGGAGGCTGTGTAGGGTGGGACAGAGGATCGGGGCTGGGTGAAGGCGTAGGCAACGTTGGAATGGGCAATGGTGAGGGCAAAGGCGGTGACGCAGGAGACTGCATGGGTTGTGGATGAGGTGGAGAAGCACCAGACGGCGAGGGCGGCCCAGACAGTGGAAGTGGACTTGGAGGCGAAGGCGACAGCGGCTGTAAATATGAAGGAGGATGTCCTGACGGTGCTGGCAATGGTAAGCTTGGTGGTTGAGGAACTGGCTCAGGTGATGGCGGCTGCGGGCTTGGCGGTTGCCACGGCGATGGCTGAAGGCTTTGTGGTTCAGGTGAAGGCACCTGGAATGGCGGAGGCGGTAGGCTTGGCACTTCAGGTGACGGTGATGGGCTTGGGGTCTCAGGTGGCGGCGACGATGAGCTTGGCATGTCAGGTGACGGCAGCGGAGGGTTGGGTTGGACCAGCATGCTAGGCGGTGCCGAGGTCGGTGGCTCAGGAGGCAACGTCACAGGCGGCAGTGGCTGCGGGCTTGGATGATCGGGTGGCAATGGCGATGGCGGGCTTCGCGGCTCTGGTAAGGGAAGGGCGGGGATGGGTGGCTCGGGCGACGTCTGTAGTGGACCTGGAGGCTCTGGTAATGGGGGCGATGGCTTTGGTGACTGGGGTGACTGCAATGCAGGCGATGGCAACTGAGGGCCTGGATATTGAGGGAGCGGTTGGGGTGGGCTTGGCGGTGGAGGCGACGGTGGCTCAAGCGAGGGCGGCTGAGGGCTTGGTGGTGCGGGTGAGGGCGGCTCAGGTGACGGTGGCTCGGGCGAGGGCGGCTGAGGGCTTGGTGGTGCGGGTGAGGGCGGCTCGGGCGAGAGCGGCTGAGGGCTTGGTGGTGCGGGTGAGGGCGGCTCAGGTGACGGTGGCTCGGGCGAGGGCGGCTGAGGGCTTGGTGGTGCGGGTGAGGGCGGCTCAGGTGACGGTGGCTCGGGCGAGAGCGGCTGAGGGCTTGGTGGCGCGGGTGAGGGCGGCTCAGGTGACGGTGGCTCGGGCGAGGGCGGCTGAGGGCTTGGTGGTGCGGGTGAGGGTGGCTCAGGTGACGGTGGCTCGGGCGAGAGCGGCTGAGGGCTTGGTGGTGCGGGTGAGGGCGGCTCAGGTGACGGTGGCTCGGGCGAGGGCGGCTGAGGGCTTGGTGGTGCGGGTGAGGGCGGCTCAGGTGACGGTGGCTCGGGCGAGGGCGGCTGAGGGCTTGGTGGTGCGGGTGAGGGCGGCTCAGGTGACGGTGGCTCGGGCGAGGGCGGCTGAGGGCTTGGTGGTGCGGGTGAGGGCGGCTCAGGTGACGGTGGCTCGGGCGAAGGCGGCTGAGGGCTTGGTGGCGCGGGTGAGGGTGGCTCAGGTGACGGTGGCTCGGGCGAGGGCGGCTGAGGGCTTGGTGGTGCGGGTGAGGGCGGCTCAGGTGACGGTGGCTCGGGCGAGGGCGGCTGAGGGCTTGGTGGCGCGGGTGAGGGTGGCTCAGGTGACGGTGGCTCGGGCGAGGGCGGCTGAGGGCTTGGTGGTGCGGGTGAGGGTGGCTCAGGTGACGGTGGCTCGGGCGAGAGCGGCTGAGGGCTTGGTGGTGCGGGTGAGGGCGGCTCAGGTGACGGTGGCTCGGGCGAGGGCGGCTGAGGGCTTGATGGTGCGGGTGAGGGCGGCTCAGGTGACGGTGGCTCGGGCGAGAGCGGCTGAGGGCTTGGTGGTGCGGGTGAGGGCGGCTCAGGTGACGGTGGCTCGGGCGAGGGCGGCTGAGGGCTTGGTGGTGCGGGTGAGGGCGGCTCAGGTGACGGTGGCTCGGGCGAGGGCGGCTGAGGGCTTGGTGGCGCGGGTGAGGGTGGCTCAGGTGACGGTGGCTCGGGCGAGGGCGGCTGAGGGCTTGGTGGCGCGGGTGAGGGTGGCTCAGGTGACGGTGGCTCGGGAGAGGGTGGCTGAGGGCTTGGTGGCGCGGGTGAGGGTGGCTCAGGTGACGGTGGCTCGGGCGAGGGCGGCTGAGGGCTTGGTGGTGCGGGTGAGGGCGGCTCAGGTGACGGTGGCTCGGGAGAGGGTGGCTGAGGGCTTGGCGGTGCAGGGGACGGTGGTTGAGGACTTGGCGGCGCAGGGGATGGTGGGTGAGGGCTTGGCGGTGCGGGAGAGGGTGGCTGAGGGCTTGGCGGTGCAGGGGATGGTGGTTGAGGACTTGGCGGCGCAGGGGATGGTGGGTGAGGGCTTGGCGGTGCGGGAGAGGGTGGCTGTGGGCTTGGTGGTGCAGGGGATGGTGGGTGAGGGCTTGGCGGTGCGGGAGAGGGTGGCTGAGGGCTTGGCGGTGCAGGAGATGGTGGCTGAGGGCTTGGCGGTGCAGGGGATGGTGGTTGAGGACTTGGCGGTGCGGGAGAGGGTGGCTCAGGTGACGGTGGCTCGGGCGAGAGCGGCTGAGGACTTGGCGGTGCGGGAGAGGGTGGCCCAGGTGACGGTGGCTCGGGAGAGGGTGGCTGAGGGCTTGGTGGTGCGGGGGACGGTGGTTGAGGACTTGGCGGCGCAGGGGATGGTGGGTGAGGGCTTGGCGGTGCGGGAGAGGGTGGCTGTGGGCTTGGTGGTGCAGGGGATGGTGGGTGAGGGCTTGGCGGTGCGGGAGAGGGTGGCTGAGGGCTTGGCGGTGCAGGGGATGGTGGCTGAGGGCTTGGCGGTGCAGGGGATGGTGGTTGAGGACTTGGCGGTGCGGGAGAGGGTGGCTCAGGTGACGGTGGCTCGGGAGAGGGTGGCTGTGGGCTTGGTGGTGCGGGAGAGGGTGGCTGAGGGCTTGGCGGTGCTGGGGACGGTGGTTGAGGACTTGGCGGTGCAGGGGATGGTGGGTGAGGGCTTGGCGGTGCGGGTGAGGGCGGCAGGGGTGAAGGTGGTTGTGGGCTTGGTGGGGCGGGTGCGGGCGGCTGAGGGCTTGGCGGTGCGGGTGAGGGCGGCTGAGGGCTTGGCGGTGCGGGTGAGGGCGGCTGAGGGCTTGGCGGTGCAGGGGATGGTGGTTGAGGGCTTGGCGGTGCGGGAGAGGGTGGCTCAGGTGACGGTGGCTCGGGAGAGGGTGGCTGTGGGCTTGGCGGTGCAGGGGATGGTGGTTGAGGACTTGGCGGTGCGGGGGAGGGTGGCTGAGGGCTTGGCGGTGCAGGGGATGGTGGTTGAGGACTTGGCGGTGCGGGGGAGGGTGGCTGAGGGCTTGGTGGCTCGGGAGAGGGTGGCTGAGGTGACGGTGGTGCGGGGGACGGCGGCAGGGGTGAGGGTGGTTGTGGGCTTGGTGGGGCGGGTGAGGGAGGCAATGGATTAGGTGGGGTGGGCGACGGAGGCTTGGGGCTTGGTGGCTTGGGCGACGGCGGTGTGGGCGACGGTGGCTTTGGGCTTGGTGGTGAGGGTGACGGAGGATGCGGGCTCGGGGGAATCGGCGACGGTGGCTGTGGGCTTGGTGGAGAGGGTGGAGGTGGCTGTGGGCTTGGGGGAACTGGTGATGGCGGTTGTGGGCTTGGCGGCATGGGCGATGGAGGTTCAGGACTGGGAGCCGTAGGTGACGGGGGCTGTGGGTATAGAGGCGGAGAAGGAAAGGGGCTTGGTGGTACCGGCGACGGCGGCTGCGGCCACAACGGATACAAAGGTGGAGGTGATGGGCTCGGAGGTTCCGGTGATGGTGGCGCGGGGCTTGGAGGGTACGGTGATGGCGGGACTGGATTGGGCGAAGGGGGCAGCGCTGGGGGCGCTGAGGGTGGCGGCAGTGCAAAGACCGGAAAGCCTGGAGGATACAACAGCGGAGCTGGGAAGGGTGCAGAATGGCTGGGTGGGTGCTGCACTACGGGTGACGGCGACAGCTGGGGGCTGCTCGGCGAGCCAGCCGGCGGTGAAGCGGGAGGCGGTATGAGAAGTGGCTGTGGGCTAGGTGGTACGGCAGTTGGCGGTGCAGGGCTTGGAGGGTAGCTTGGTGGATGTGGTGATGGATAGATTGGTGGCGATGGGGCAGGGGGATCGGGCGATGTAGGCATATTAACTGCGTTCGGCGGCGCAGGTACAGGCGAAGGCGCATTAGGCGGGTATGGCGATCCAGGATGAGCAGGATGAGGTTGGGGCTGGGTGGCAGGGGCTGGGAACTGTGGTGGCAATGGCAATGGTGGCGCTGGCAATGGTGGCAGCGGCTTGCTCGGCTGGGTAGGAGGCGGCGGAACTGGTGGCGATGGCGGCTGGGGCCAATCTGGTGGAAGTGGAGTGTCGGGTGGCAGAGGCGGTGAAGAGGGCCAACCTGGATGTGGCGGGGACCTCCCTGGCGGGCTGGGGTTCGGTGTTGCTGGGGGCAGTCCAGGCGGTCCTTGTGGCGGAGGCGAGTGGGATGCAGGTGATGGGGGCTCCGGTGAAGGCGGCGACGGGGCTGGGGGCTCAGGAGAAGGTGGCTTCGGCGGAGGAAATGGGATAGGTGATGGCGGTTCCGGTGACGGCGGCGCCGGTGAAGGGGGCGATAGTGGCATTGGTGACGGTGGGAGCGGTGATACTGGTGAGGGTGGCAGAGGTGAAGGCGGCATAGGTGACGGCAGGGGTGGGACAGGAGGCTCTGGCGAAGGTGGTGGGAATGACGGTGGAGGACTCGGACTTGGAGGTTTGGGAGACCTAGGTGCCCGTGGAGGTTTCGGGGATGGCGGCGATGGTGGCGGCAACGGCGGCGGTCTTGGCGGCGGCCTTGGAGGCTTGGGAGAAGGCGGCGGAGGTGAAGGTGGAGGCGATGGCAGCGGCGGCGGCGCAGGAGATGCCGGTGGTGGGGCAACATAGACATACCCAACCTTGACGAACAAGCCCACGCAGGCAGTGGTAGATCCCTCGACGACGTCCAGGTCCAGTGCCGGTTCGGGGTAACGGGCCTTGCCGACTGGAGTGGAAACCATCCGGCCGAGAGTGTCAAAGGCGCCGCACAGGAGAGCATCGTCGCCCCAGGTGCAGCCGTAATCGGCTGCATCTGCATCGCCCGTCTCATCGAGGACCGTGCAGAGGCCCTGAGTGCATGCAAGGTCAAAGGATGAGGCGGGGTAAAACTTGTAGCCCGACTTCTCGCACTGGATAGGCGGTGGCGGCGACGGCGGAGGGGGCAGTGGCGATGGTGGCCTCGGCGAGGGAGGGAGCGGAGATGGAGGCAGAGGTGAGGGCGGCGAAGGTGACGGAGGCAACGGGGGATTCAGCGGCGGCCTCATGACTTGAGAAACATTAGATGCACCTGCGTGGTGAGAAGGGAGACGCGGGGAGGGTCAAGAAACTTTCCAGCAGGATGGATGCAACTAAGGAGCCCTTGAGTGTCCGATCAGTACCAATTGCTGCATTCTGTCACTTCTATCCCTGCCTACCTGTAGCCTCTGACAGCGCGGTAAGGTTTACTGGCGGAGGGGGCGACGGCACGGGGGGCGAAGGTGGAGGGTGCGGGGGTGAGGATGGCGGGGGCGGTGGCGGCGGCAGTGCTGGTGGAGGCGGGGACGGTGACGGTGGTAACGGCGGCGGAGACGGTGGCGCAAGGATGCCAGGCGGAGGCGGAGGCGGGGAGGGCGGCGAGGGCGACGGAGGGCTTGGAGAGGAGGGCGGCTCAGTCGGTTGTGGTGAAGGAGGCAGGGGAACTGTATGGGTTGTGATGATGGTGATGTTGATGCTAGCGCTTCCACCAGAGGAATCAGCAAGTCGGCGGCGAATGTCATCTGCGTTGTCGCCGTCAGACACATCTTTGCCCACAGGCCCCGGGTGTTCAGCCTTGGATTCCATCTGGGAGCGGGCAGTAGAGGTAAGGTTAGCAACTGCAGTGAGCAAGCAAAGCAAGCCATTCATGCGTACTGGAATGGAGCGGATCCTGCTTACCTCCATAACTACGGCGTTGGTTGCAAGGCGCGTGCGAAGGTGCGTCAGGGCCAGTGGAAGTAGTCCTGGAGTGGACGATGAAACAATGGAAGCCAGTTCTTTGCCGTGCCACGAGCGCCTGGGGCTGCGCTGCTGCACTGCGGGGACCGAAGCCATCATGCGGCGGCTGGCTGTGGGGCTGGCGGTAGGCGGCATCTCAAACCCGGTGATAATAACCTGCGCAAAACGAGGATGTGAAGGCTCAGGTGATGTGATGATAGCACGTAGGACACAAAATGTGCATGGCTATCAACAGCTCTGGACCATAGCAAACACCAAGCAAGGAAAGCAGCATCGACCTACCGACTCGACTGGCACGCCGAAGAACTCCGCCAAGCTAATCCTGAGGTTCATGATGAACTCCGCCATTGCTGTTGCGTTGCCCCAGACACCTGGGTCAACGCTGAAGGTCAGCTCGTAATCGTGCAATTGCATGGCTATTCCCGGAGGGAATGGCGGCGGTGGAGGAGGTGGAGACGGTCGCGCTGGGGGGTCCGGAGGGGGCGTCGTGGGAGGCGAGGGCACGGGCGGCGATGGGCTCGTTGGTGGCGCTGGCGATTGAGGCATAGACGGTGGGCGGGGTGGAGGCCGTGGCGGCGGACGAGGCGGGCGAGGAGGGGGTCTTGGTGGTGCAGGTGGAGGGCTAGGCAGTCGTGGCGGCGGTGGAGAAGAAGGGGGGAGCAGAGGCGGCGGCGTAGGGGGTTGGTCTGGCGGGAATGGCGCGTTCGGTGGTGGAGGAGCGTCAGGTGTCATCGGCGCACCGGGCGTGCCAGGAGCCAAGGGCGGATCCATTGGCAAGCCTGGCGGCTGGAGGGGTGAGTCGGGAACTCCAGGCGAAGGTGGCGAGGGCCGGGCTGGGGACAGAGGAGAAGCAGGGCTCATTGGACTGTCTGGCCTTGCGGGTGGGTGAGGCGGAGGAAGGCTCGGGGGCTGCTGCGGAGGGTTTGACGGGGATGACGGTAGTGGGGGAGATGGGGATGACGGTGGCGAAGGGCTGGGTGGCGGCTGAGGGGGGGGAGAACCTGGGGGTTGAGGCGGAGGGTTTGAGGGTGAAGATGGCGGCGGTAAGGATGGCGGCGAGGGCTGGGCTGGGCTGGAAGGATTGAGGGGCGGCGAAGGACTTGGGGGCTGCTGCGGAGGGTATGACGGAGGTGACGGTAGCGGGGGAGACGGGGATAAGGGTGGCGCGGGGCTGTGGGGCGGAAGAGGCGGAGGAGGACTTGGGGGTTGTGGTGGAGGGCTGGGTGGAGGAGGCGATGGGGGTCCTGGCGGCGAGGGCGGCTTCGGGCTGGCGGGAGGTCGCGGCGGTGAAGGGCTTGGAGGCGATGGCGGAGACGGCGATGGAGGGACAGGTGGTAGTGGACTGGGAGGCCTTGGGGGTGGTAGGGGGCTAGGGGGCCTAGGCGATGGAGGTGTAGGTGGCGGAGGCAGAGGAGAAGGCGGGTTCGGTGAAGGTGGGGTGGGTGAAGGCGGACGGGGTGGGCGGGGTGCGCCAGGGGGCACGTATGGAGGCCTGGGCGATGGAGAAAGCGGCATTGGAGGGCGAGGAGAACGCGGAGGCGTGGCGGGAGGACGCGGGGAAGGTGGTTGCGGCTGCGGCGGTGGGAACGGGGGTGAGGGTTGCGGAGGCGCCGGCGGGGGAGGCGGTCGCGGGTAAGGCGGCGGCGGTGAGAATGATGGCGGGGTTGACGGTGGCGACGCAGTGGGAGGCAACGGGGATGGTGGTGGATACGTGGGTGACCGTGGTGATCGCATTGGAGGCAATGGCGCCGGCGATGGCGGCATGGGCGGCGGCAGGCGAGGCGCACGCGGTGGGAACGGAGGAGGTGGCGGAGAAGGGGATGGTGGAGTGGGTGTCCTAGGCGACCGTGGCGGCATCAAAGGGGGGCGAGGCTGTGGTGATGGGGGGCGAGGGGAAGGCGGCTGCGGCGGCGGCGGAGCAGGCGATGGCGAAGTCGGTTGTGGCGAAGGTGGGATTGGAGATGGAGGCTTTGGAAGAGAAGGGTGCGGCGATGGCGGCTCGGGTGAAGGCGGCAACGGTGAGAATGGACTTGGAAGAGGTGGTGACGGCGATGAAGGTGATGGCGGCGTCTGCGAAGGCGGCTGAGGCAAGGGCGGCTTCGGGGAGGGCGGTGGGGGCAATGGAGGAAGCTTCTTGGGAGGAAGGTGGGGAGATGAAGGTACATCAGGTACCGTAGGGGCTGGGGGGTCCGGTGGCGCTGGCGTGTCCGGTATTGAGGGTGCTCCTGGATGGCCGGGTGGAGGCGGAGACCGCAACGGCTGTGGAGGCCTTGGAGGAAGGCGTGGGGCACGAGGATTCGGCGGACTTGCTAATATGGCTGGCGAAGGCGAAAGGGGTGGCAGTAGCGGTCTTGGAGGCTGTGGCGAAGGCGGCAGCGGGCCGGGCGGGTATGAAGGAGGTGGAGAAGAGGGATCCTGCGGTGTAGGCGACGGGGTTGAAGGGGAGGCCGGCAGCATTGGTGAGAGTGGTGCAGGGCTGGATGGACGCGTTGACGGCGGCATCTGGGTGGGCGGGTATGAAGGAGGCTGAGCGTTTGGAGGAGAAGAAGGCGCCGGGGAGGGTGGCCCAGGGCTAGGCGGTAACGGTGAAGGAAAATGGATAGAAGGAGAAGATGGTATCGCAACGGGCTGTGCAGGGCTGGGCGGTACCGGTGAAGGCGGCTCCAGAGTGGGCGGATATGAAGGAGGCGGCGAAGCGGGGCTAGGTGGTTGGGGCGAGGGCGATAGAGGGCTGGATGGGTATGATGGCGGTGGCGAAGCGGGGCTTGGAGGCTGCGGCGACAGAGGCGGCGTCGGAAACTGCGGACTCGGTGGTACAGGTGATGGAGGGTATGATGTAGCAGCAGGCGAAGGTGGCATTGGGCTGGGAGGTACCGGCGAAGGCGGATCCAGAGTGGGCGGATATGAAGGAGGCGGCGAAGCGGGGCTAGGTGGTTGGGGCGAGGGCGATAGAGGGCTGGATGGGTATGATGGCGGTGGCGAAGCGGGGCTTGGAGGCTGCGGCGACAGAGGCGGCGTCGGCAGCTGCGGACTCGGTGGTACAGGTGATGGAGGGTATGATGTAGCAGCAGGCGAAGGTGGCATTGGGCTGGGAGGTACCGGCGAAGGCGGATCCAGAGTGGGCGGATATGAAGGAGGCGGCGAAGCGGGGCTAGGTGGTTGAGGCGAGGGCGATAGAGGGCTGGATGGGTCTGATGGCGGTGGCGAAGCGGGGCCTGGAGGCTGCGTCGGCAGCTGCGGGCTTGGCGGCGAAGGCGATGGCTGGTGGGGGAATGACGGGTATGATGGAGCAGCAGGCGAGGGTGGCATTGGGCTGGGAGGTACCGGTGAAGGCGGCTCCAGAGTGGGCGGATATGAAGGAGGCGGCGAAGCGGGGCTAGGTGGTTGAGGCGAGGGCGATAGAGGGCTGGATGGGTCTGATGGCGGTGGCGAAGCAGGGCTTGGAGATTGCGGCGACAGAGGCGGCGGCGGCAGCTGAGGGCTTGGCGGTACAGGCGTTGGAGGGTATGATTGTGCAACAGGCGAGGGTGGCATTGGGCTGGGAGGTACCGGCGAAGGCGGATCCAGAGTGGGCGGATATGAAGGAGGCGGCGAAGCGGGGCTAGGTGGTTGGGGCGAGGGCGATAGAGGGCTGGATGGGTATGATGGCGGTGGCGAAGCGGGGCTTGGAGGCTGCGGCGACAGAGGCGGCGTCGGCAACTGCGGACTCGGTACAGGCGATGGAGGGTATAATGTAGCAGCAGGCGAGGGTGGCATTGGGCTGGGATGGACCGGTGAAGGCGGCTCCAGAGTGGGCGGATATGAAGGAGGCGGCGAAGCGGGTCTAGGTGGTTGAGGCGAGGGCGATAGAGGGCTGGATGGGTATGATGGCGGCGGCGAAGCGGGGCCTAGAGGCTGCGTCGGCAGCTGCGGGCTTGGCGGCGAAGGCGATGGCTGGTGGGGGAATGACGGGTATGATGGAGCAGCAGGCGAGGGTGGCATTGGGCTGGGAGGTACCGGTGAAGGCGGCTCCAGAGTGGGCGGATATGAAGGAGGCGGCGAAGCCGGGCTAGGTGGTTGGGGCGAGGGCGATTGAGGGCTGGATGGGTATGCTGGAGGCGGCGAAGCGGGGCTTGGAGGCTGCGACGGCAGCTGCGGGCTTGGCGGCGAGGGCGATGGCTGGTGGGGGAATGACGGGTATGACGGAGCGGTAGGCGAGGGTGGCATTGGGCTGGGTGGTACCGGTGATGGCGGCTCCAGAGTGGGCGGATATGAAGGAGGCGGCGAAGCGGGGCTAGGTGGTTGGGGCGAGGGCGATAGAGGGCTGGATGGGTATGATGGCGGTGGCGAAGCGGGGCTTGGAGGCTGCGGCGACAGAGGCGGCGTCGGCAACTGCGGACTCGGTACAGGCGATGGAGGGTATAATGTAGCAGCAGGCGAAGGTGGCATTGGGCTGGGATGTACCGGTGAAGGCGGCTCCAGAGTGGGCGGATATGAAGGAGGCGGCGAAGCGGGGCTAGGTGGTTGAGGCGAGGGCGATGGTGGGTATGCTGGAGCCGGCGAAGCGGGGCTTGGAGGCTGCGACGGCAGCTGCGGGCTTGGCGGCGAGGGCGATGGCTGGTGGGGGAATGACGGGTATGGAGCGGCCGGCGAGGGCGGCATTGGGCTGGGAGGTAACGGTGATGGCGGCTCCAGAGTGGGCGAATGGGAAGGAGGCTGCGAGGCGGGGCTAGGTGGTTGGGGCGAGGGCGATAGAGGGCTGGATGGGTATGATGGCGGTGGCGAAGCAGGGCTTGGAGATTGCGGCGACAGAGGCGGCGGCGGCAGCTGAGGGCTTGGCGGTACAGGCGTTGGAGGGTGTGATGGTGCAGCAGGCGAGGGTGGCATTGGGCTGGGAGGTACCGGTGAAGGCGGCTCCAGAGTGGGCGGATAGGAAGGAGGCGGCGAAGCGGGGCTAGGTGGCTGAGGCGAGGGCGATGGTGGGTATGCTGGAGGCGGCGAAGCGGGGCTTGGAGGCTGCGACGGCAGCTGCGGGCTTGGCGGCGAGGGCGATGGCTGGTGGGGGAATGACGGGTATGGAGTAGCCGGCGAGGGTGGCATTGTGCTGGGAGGTACCGGTGAAGGCGGCTCCAGACTGGGCGGATATGAAGGAGGCTGCGAGGCGGGGCTAGGTGGTTGGGGCGAGGGCGATAGAGGGCTGGATGGGTATGATGGCGGTGGCGAAGCAGGGCTTGGAGATTGCGGCGACAGAGGCGGCGGCGGCAGCTGAGGGCTTGGCGGTACAGGCGTTGGAGGGTGTGATGGTGCAGCAGGCGAGGGTGGCATTGGGCTGGGAGGTACCGGTGAAGGCGGCTCCAGAGTGGGCGGATATGAAGGAGGCGGCGAAGCGGGGCTAGGTGGTTGGGGCGAGGCCGATGGTGGGTATGCTGGAGGCAGCGAAGCGGGGCTTGGAGGCTGCGACGGCAGCTGCGGGCTTGGCGGCGAGGGCGATGGCTGGTGGGGGAATGACGGGTATGGAGTAGCCGGCGAGGGTGGCATTGGGCTGGGAGGTACCGGTGAAGGCGGCTCCAGAGTGGGCGGATAGGAAGGAGGCTGCGAGGCGGGGCTAGGTGGTTGGGGCGAGGGCGATAGAGGGCTGGATGGGTATGATGGCGGTGGCGAAGCAGGGCTTGGAGATTGCGGCGACAGAGGCGGCGGCGGCAGCTGAGGGCTTGGCGGTACAGGCGTTGGAGGGTATGATGGTGCAGCAGGCGAGGGTGGCATTGGGCTGGGAGGTAACGGTGATGGCGGCTCCAGAGTGGGCGGATAGGAAGGAGGCTGCGAGGCGGGGCTAGGTGGTGGTGGCGAGGGCGATAGAGGGCTGGATGGGTATGATGGCGGTGGCGAAGCAGGGCTCGGAGATTGCGGCGACAGAGGCGGCGGCGGCAGCTGAGGACTTGGCGGTACAGGCGTTGGAGGGTATGATGGTGCAGCAGGCGAGGGCGGCATTGGGCTGGGAGGTAACGGTGATGGCGGCTCCAGAGTGGGCGGATGGGAAGGAGGCTGCGAGGCGGGGCTAGGTGGTTGGGGCGAGGGCGATGGTGGGTATGCTGGAGGCGGCGAAGCGGGGCTTGGAGGCTGCGGCGGCAGCTGCGGGCTTGGCGGCGAAGGCGATGGCTGGTGGGGGAATGACGGGTATGATGGACCGGTAGGCGAGGGTGGCATTGGGCTGGGAGGTACCGGCGAAGGCGGCTCCAGACTGGGCGGATATGAAGGAGGCTGCGAGGCGGGGCTAGGTGGTTGGGGCGAGGGCGATGGTGGGTATGCTGGAGGCGGCGAAGCGGGGCTTGGAGGCTGCGGCGGCAGCTGCGGGCTTGGCGGCGAAGGCGATGGCTGGTGGGGGAATGACGGGTATGATGGAGCAGCAGGCGAGGGTGGCATTGGGCTTGGAGGTACCGGTGAAGGCGGCTCCAGAGTGGGCGGATATGAAGGAGGCGGCGAAGCCGGGCTAGGTGGTTGGGGCGAGGGCGATAGAGGGCTGGATGGGTATGATGGCGGTGGCGAAGCAGGGCTTGGAGATTGCGGCGACAGAGGCGGCGGCGGCAGCTCAGGGCTTGGCGGTACAGGCGTTGGAGGGTATGTAGGAGCAGCAGGCGAGGGTGGCATTGGGCTGGGAGGTACCGGTGAAGGCGGCTCCAGAGTGGGCGGATATGAAGGAGGCGGCGAAGCGGGGCTAGGTGGTTGGGGCGAGGGCGATAGAGGGCTGATTGGGTATGATGGCGGTGGCGAAGCAGGGCTTGGAGATGGCGGCGACAGAGGCGGCGGCGGCAGCTGAGGGCTTGGCGATACAGGCGATGTAGGGTATGATGGAGCAGCAGGCGAGAGTGGCATTGGGCTGGGAGGTACCGGTGAAGGCGGCTCCAGAGTGGGCGGATGGGAAGGAGGCTGCGAGGCGGGGCTAGGTGGTTGGGGCGAGGGCGATGGTGGGTATGCTGGAGGCGGCGAAGCGGGGCTTGGAGGCTGCGGCGGCAGCTGCGGGCTTGGCGGCGAACGCGATGGCTGGTGGGGGAAAGACGGGTATGATGGACCGGTAGGCGAGGGTGGCATTGGGCTGGGAGGTACCGGCGAAGGCGGCTCCAGAGTGGGCGGATAGGAAAGAGGCTGCGAGGCGGGGCTAGGTGGTTGGGGCGAGGGCGATGGTAAGTATGCTGGAGGCGGTGAAGCGGGGCTTGGAGGCGTCGGCGGCTGCGGGCTTGGCGGCGAAGGCGATGGCTGGTGGGGGAATGACGGGTATGATGGAGCAGCAGGCGAGGGTGGCATTGGGCTTGGAGGTACCGGTGAAGGCGGCTCCAGAGTGGGCGGATATGAAGGAGGCGGCGAAGCCGGGCTAGGTGGTTGGGGCGAGGGCGATAGAGGGCTGGATGGGTATGATGGCGGTGGCGAAGCAGGGCTTGGAGATTGCGGCGACAGAGGCGGCGGCGGCAGCTCAGGGCTTGGCGGTACAGGCGTTGGAGGGTATGTAGGAGCAGCAGGCGAGGGTGGCATTGGGCTGGGAGGTACCGGTGAAGGCGGCTCCAGAGTGGGCGGATATGAAGGAGGCGGCGAAGCGGGGCTAGGTGGTTGGGGCGAGGCCGATGGTGGGTATGCTGGAGGCGGCGAAGCGGGGCTTGGAGGCTGCGTCGGCAGCTGCGGGCTTGGCGGCGAAGGCGACGGCTGGTGGGGGAATGACGGGTATGATGGAGCAGCCGGCGAGGGTGGCATTGAGCTTGGAGGTACCGGTGAAGGCGGCTCCAGAGTGGGCGGATATGAAGGAGGCGGCGAAGCGGGGCTAGGTGGTTGGGGCGAGGGCGATAGAGGGCTGGATGGGTATGATGGCGGTGGCGAAGCAGGGCTTGGAGATGGCGGCGACAGAGGCGGCGGCGGCAGCTGAGGGCTTGGCGGTACAGGCGATGTAGGGTATGATGGAGCAGCAGGCGTGGGTGGCATTGGGCTGGGAGGTACCGGTGAAGGCGGCTCCAGAGTGGGCGGATATGAAAGAGGCGGCGAAGCGGGGCTAGGTGGTTGAGGCGAGGGCGATGGTGGGTATGCTCGAGCCGGCGAAGCGGGGCTTGGAGGCTGCGTCGGCGGCTGCGGGCTTGGCGGTGAAGGCGATGGCTGCTGGGGGAATGACGGGTATGATGGAGCAGCAGGGGAGGGTGGCATTGGGCTGGGCGGTACCGGTGAAGGCGGCTCCAGAGTGGGCGGATATGAAGGAGGCGGCGAAGCGGGGCTAGGTGGTTGGGGCGAGGGCGATAGAGGGCTGGATGGGTATGCTGGAGGCGGCGAAGCGGGGCTTGGAGGCTGCGTCGGCAGCTGCGGGCTTGGCGGCGAAGGCGACGGCTGGTGGGGGAATGACGGGTATGATGGAGCAGCAGGCGTGGGTGGCATTGGGCTGGGCGGTACCGGTGAAGGCGGCTCCAGAGTGGGCGGATATGAAAGAGGCGGCGAAGCGGGGCTAGGTGGTTGAGGCGAGGGCGATGGTGGGTATGCTGGTGCCGGCAAAGCGGGGCTTGGAGGCTGCGTCGGCGGCTGCGGGCTTGGCGGCGAAGGCGATGGCTGCTGGGGGAATGACGGGTATGATGGAGCAGCAGGGGAGGGTGGCATTGGGCTGGGCGGTACCGGTGAAGGCGGCTCCAGAGTGGGCGGATATGAAGGAGGCGGCGAAGCGGGGCTAGGTGGTTGGGGCGAGGGCGATAGAGGGCTGGATGGGTATGCTGGAGGCGGCGAAGCGGGGCTTGGAGGCTGCGACGGCAGCTGCGGGCTTGGCGGCGAAGGCGACGGCTGGTGGGGGAATGACGGGTATGATGGAGCAGCCGGCGAGGGTGGCATTGGGCTGGGAGGTAACGGTGATGGCGGCTCCAGACTGGGCGGATATGAAAGAGGCGGCGAAGCGGGGCCAGGTGGTTGGGGCGAGGGCGATAGAGGGCTGGATGGGTATGATGGCGGTGGCGAAGCAGGGCTTGGAGATGGCGGCGACAGAGGCGGCGGCGGCAGCTGAGGGCTTGGCGGTACAGGCGATGTAGGGTATGATGGAGCAGCAGGCGAGGTTGGCATTGGGCTGGGAGGTACCGGTGAAGGCGGCTCCAGAGTGGGCGGATATGAAGGAGGCGGCGAAGCGGGGCTAGGTGGTTGGGGCGAGGGCGATAGAGGGCTGGATGGGTATGCTGGAGGCGGCGAAGCGGGGCTTGGAGGCTGCGACGGCAGCTGCGGGCTTGGCGGCGAGGGCGATGGCTGCTGGGGGAATGACGGGTATGATGGAGCGGTAGGCGAGGGTGGCATTGGGCTGGGTGGTACCGGTGATGGCGGCTCAAGAGTGGGCGGATATGAAGGAGGCGGCGAAGCGGGGCTAGGTGGTTGGGGCGAGGGCGATTGAGGGCTGGATGGGTATGCTGGAGGCGGCGAAGCGGGGCTTGGAGGCTGCGACGGCAGCTGCGGGCTTGGCGGCGAGGGCGATGGCTGGTGGGGGAATGACGGATATGATGGAGCAGCAGGCGAGGTTGGCATTGGGCTGGGTGGTACCGGTGAAGGCGGCTCCAGAGTGGGCGGATATGAAGGAGGCGGCGAAGCGGGGCTAGGTGGTTGGGGCGAGGGCGATTGAGGGCTGGATGGGTATGCTGGAGGCGGCGAAGCGGGGCTTGGAGGCTGCGACGGCAGCTGCGGGCTTGGCGGCGAGGGCGATGGCTGGTGGGGGAATGACGGGTATGACGGAGCGGTAGGCGAGGGTGGCATTGGGCTGGGTGGTACCGGTGATGGCGGCTCCAGAGTGGGCGGATATGAAGGAGGCGGCGAAGCGGGGCTAGGTGGTTGGGGCGAGGGCGATTGAGGGCTGGATGGGTATGCTGGAGGCGGCGAAGCGGGGCTTGGAGGCTGCGACGGCAGCTGCGGGCTTGGCGGCGAGGACGATGGCTGGTGGGGGAATGACGGGTATGATGGAGCAGCAGGCGAGGTTGGCATCGGGCTGGGTGGTACCGGTGAAGGCGGCTCCAGAGTGGGCGGATAGGAAGGAGGCGGCGAAGCGGGGCTAGGTGGTTGAGGCGAGGGCGATGGTGGGTATGCTGGAGCCGGCGAAGCGGGGCTTGGAGGCTGCGTCGGCGGCTGCGGGCTTGGCGGCGAAGGCGATGGCTGGTGGGGGAATGACGGGTATGATGGAGCAGCAGGGGAGGGTGGCATTGGGCTGGGCGGTACCGGTGAAGGCGGCTCCAGAGTGGGCGGATATGAAGGAGGCGGCGAAGCGGGGCTAGGTGGTTGGGGCGAGGGCGATAGAGGGCTGGATGGGTATGCTGGAGGCGGCGAAGCGGGGCTTGGAGGCTGCGTCGGCAGCTGCGGGCTTGGCGGCGAAGGCGACGGCTGGTGGGGGAATGACGGGTATGATGGAGCAGCCGGCGAGGGTGGCATTGAGCTTGGAGGTACCGGTGAAGGCGGCTCCAGAGTGGGCGGATATGAAGGAGGCGGCGAAGCGGGGCTAGGTGGTTGAGGCGAGGGCGATGGTGGGTATGCTGGTGCCGGCAAAGCGGGGCTTGGAGGCTGCGTCGGCGGCTGCGGGCTTGGCGGCGAAGGCGATGGCTGGTGGGGGAATGACGGGTATGATGGAGCAGCAGGGGAGGGTGGCATTGGGCTGGGCGGTACCGGTGAAGGCGGCTCCAGAGTGGGCGGATATGAAGGAGGCGGCGAAGCGGGGCTAGGTGGTTGGGGCGAGGGCGATAGAGGGCTGGATGGGTATGCTGGAGGCGGCGAAGCGGGGCTTGGAGGCTGCGACGGCAGCTGCGGGCTTGGCGGCGAAGGCGACGGCTGGTGGGGGAATGACGGGTATGATGGAGCATCAGGCGAGGGTGGCATTGGGCTTGGAGGTACCGGTGAAGGCGGCTCCAGAGTGGGCGGATATGAAAGAGGCGGCGAAGCGGGGCTAGGTGGTTGAGGCGAGGGCGATGGTGGGTATGCTGGAGCCGGCGAAGCGGGGCTTGGAGGCTGCGTCGGCAGCTGCGGGCTTGGCGGCGAGGGCGATGGCTGCTGGGGGAATGACGGGTATGATGGAGCAGCAGGAGAGGGTGGCATTGGGCTGGGAGGTACCGGTGAAGGCGGCTCCAGACTGAGCGGATATGAAGGAGGCGGCGAAGCGGGGCTAGGTGGTTGGGGCGAGAGCGATGGTGGGTATGCTGGAGGCGGCGAAGCGGGGCTTGGAGGCTGCGACGGCAGCTGCGGGCTAGGCGGCGAGGGCGATGGCTGGTGGGGGAATGACGGGTATGGAGCAGCCGGCGAGGGTGGCATTGGGCTGGGCGGTACCGGTGAAGGCGGCTCCAGAGTGGGCGGATATGAAGGAGGCGGCGAAGCGGGGCTAGGTGGTTGGGGCGAGGGCGATAGAGAGCTGGATGGGTATGCTGGAGGCGGCGAAGCGGGGCTTGGAGGCTGCGTCGGCGGCTGCGGGCTTGGCGGCGAAGGCGATGGCTGGTGGGGGAATGACGGGTATGATGGAGCAGCCGGCGAGGGTGGCATTGAGCTTGGAGGTACCGGTGAAGGCGGCTCCAGAGTGGGCGGATATGAAGGAGGCGGCGAAGCGGGGCTAGGTGGTTGAGGCGAGGGCGATGGTGGGTATGCTGGTGCCGGCAAAGCGGGGCTTGGAGGCTGCGTCGGCGGCTGCGGGCTTGGCGGCGAAGGCGATGGCTGGTGGGGGAATGACGGGTATGATGGAGCAGCAGGGGAGGGTGGCATTGGGCTGGGCGGTACCGGTGAAGGCGGCTCCAGAGTGGGCGGATATGAAGGAGGCGGCGAAGCGGGGCTAGGTGGTTGGGGCGAGGGCGATAGAGGGCTGGATGGGTATGCTGGAGGCGGCGAAGCGGGGCTTGGAGGCTGCGACGGCAGCTGCGGGCTTGGCGGCGAAGGCGACGGCTGGTGGGGGAATGACGGGTATGATGGAGCATCAGGCGAGGGTGGCATTGGGCTTGGAGGTACCGGTGAAGGCGGCTCCAGAGTGGGCGGATATGAAAGAGGCGGCGAAGCGGGGCTAGGTGGTTGAGGCGAGGGCGATGGTGGGTATGCTGGAGCCGGCGAAGCGGGGCTTGGAGGCTGCGTCGGCAGCTGCGGGCTTGGCGGCGAGGGCGATGGCTGCTGGGGGAATGACGGGTATGATGGAGCAGCAGGAGAGGGTGGCATTGGGCTGGGCGGTACCGGTGAAGGCGGCTCCAGAGTGGGCGGATATGAAGGAGGCGGCGAAGCGGGGCTAGGTGGTTGGGGCGAGAGCGATGGTGGGTATGCTGGAGGCGGCGAAGCGGGGCTTGGAGGCTGCAACGGCAGCTGCGGGCTAGGCGGCGAGGGCGATGGCTGGTGGGGGAATGACGGGTATGGAGCAGCCGGCGAGGGTGGCATTGGGCTGGGCGGTACCGGTGAAGGCGGCTCCAGAGTGGGCGGATGGGAAGGAGGCTGCGAGGCGGGGCTAGGTGGTTGGGGCGAGGGCGATAGAGAGCTGGATGGGTATGCTGGAGGCGGCGAAGCGGGGCTTGGAGGCTGCGTCGGCGGCTGCGGGCTTGGCGGCGAAGGCGATGGCTGGTGGGGGAATGACGGGTATGATGGAGCAGCCGGCGAGGGTGGCATTGAGCTTGGAGGTACCGGTGAAGGCGGCTCCAGAGTGGGCGGATATGAAGGAGGCGGCGAAGCGGGGCTAGGTGGTTGAGGCGAGGGCGATGGTGGGTATGCTGGAGGCGGCGAAGCGGGGCTTGGAGGCTGCGACGGCAGCTGCGGGCTTGGCGGCGAAGGCGATGGCTGGTGGGGGAATGACGGGTATGATGGAGCATCAGGCGAGGGTGGCATTGGGCTTGGAGGTACCGGTGAAGGCGGCTCCAGAGTGGGCGGATATGAAGGAGGCGGCGAAGCGGGGCTAGGTGGTTGAGGCGAGGGCGATGGTGGGTATGCTGGTGCCGGCAAAGCGGGGCTTGGAGGCTGCGTCGGCGGCTGCGGGCTTGGCGGCGAAGGCGATGGCTGCTGGGGGAATGACGGGTATGATGGAGCAGCAGGTGAGGGTGGCATTGGGCTGGGCGGTACCGGTGAAGGCGGCTCCAGAGTGGGCGGATATGAAGGAGGCGGCGAAGCGGGGCTAGGTGGTTGGGGCGAGGGCGATAGAGGGCTGGATGGGTATGCTAGAGGCGGCGAAGCGGGGCTTGGAGGCTGCGACGGCAGCTGCGGGCTTGGCGGCGAAGGCGACGGCTGGTGGGGGAATGACGGGTATGATGGAGCAGCCGGCGAGGGTGGCATTGGGCTGGGAGGTAACGGTGATGGCGGCTCCAGACTGGGCGGATATGAAAGAGGCGGCGAAGCGGGGCCAGGTGGTTGGGGCGAGGGCGATAGAGGGCTGGATGGGTATGATGGCGGTGGCGAAGCAGGGCTTGGAGATGGCGGCGACAGAGGCGGCGGCGGCAGCTGAGGGCTTGGCGGTACAGGCGATGTAGGGTATGATGGAGCAGCAGGCGAGGTTGGCATTGGGCTGGGAGGTACCGGTGAAGGCGGCTCCAGACTGAGCGGATATGAAGGAGGCGGCGAAGCGGGGCTAGGTGGTTGGGGCAAGGGCGATAGAGGGCTGGATGGGTATGCTGGAGGCGGCGAAGCGGGGCTTGGAGGCTGCGACGGCAGCTGCGGGCTTGGCGGCGAGGGCGATGGCTGCTGGGGGAATGACGGGTATGATGGAGCGGTAGGCGAGGGTGGCATTGGGCTGGGTGGTACCGGTGATGGCGGCTCCAGAGTGGGCGGATATGAAGGAGGCGGCGAAGCGGGGCTAGGTGGTTGGGGCGAGGGCGATTGAGGGCTGGATGGGTATGATGGCGGTGGCGAAGCAGGGCTTGGAGATGGCGGCGACAGAGGCGGCGGCGGCAGCTGAGGGCTTGGCGGTACAGGCGATGTAGGGTATGATGGAGCAGCAGGCGAGGTTGGCATTGGGCTGGGAGGTACCGGTGAAGGCGGCTCCAGACTGAGCGGATATGAAGGAGGCGGCGAAGCGGGGCTAGGTGGTTGGGGCAAGGGCGATAGAGGGCTGGATGGGTATGCTGGAGGCGGCGAAGCGGGGCTTGGAGGCTGCGTCGGCGGCTGCGGGCTTGGCGGCGAAGGCGATGGCTGGTGGGGGAATGACGGGTATGATGGAGCAGCCGGCGAGGGTGGCATTGAGCTTGGAGGTACCGGTGAAGGCGGCTCCAGAGTGGGCGGATATGAAGGAGGCGGCGAAGCGGGGCTAGGTGGTTGGGGCGAGAGCGATGGTGGGTATGCTGGAGGCGGCGAAGCGGGGCTTGGAGGCTGCAACGGCAGCTGCGGGCTAGGCGGCGAGGGCGATGGCTGGTGGGGGAATGACGGGTATGGAGCAGCCGGCGAGGGTGGCATTGGGCTGGGCGGTACCGGTGAAGGCGGCTCCAGAGTGGGCGGATGGGAAGGAGGCTGCGAGGCGGGGCTAGGTGGTTGGGGCGAGGGCGATAGAGAGCTGGATGGGTATGCTGGAGGCGGCGAAGCGGGGCTTGGAGGCTGCGTCGGCGGCTGCGGGCTTGGCGGCGAAGGCGATGGCTGGTGGGGGAATGACGGGTATGATGGAGCAGCCGGCGAGGGTGGCATTGAGCTTGGAGGTACCGGTGAAGGCGGCTCCAGAGTGGGCGGATATGAAGGAGGCGGCGAAGCGGGGCTAGGTGGTTGAGGCGAGGGCGATGGTGGGTATGCTGGAGGCGGCGAAGCGGGGCTTGGAGGCTGCGACGGCAGCTGCGGGCTTGGCGGCGAAGGCGATGGCTGGTGGGGGAATGACGGGTATGATGGAGCATCAGGCGAGGGTGGCATTGGGCTTGGAGGTACCGGTGAAGGCGGCTCCAGAGTGGGCGGATATGAAGGAGGCGGCGAAGCGGGGCTAGGTGGTTGAGGCGAGGGCGATGGTGGGTATGCTGGTGCCGGCAAAGCGGGGCTTGGAGGCTGCGTCGGCGGCTGCGGGCTTGGCGGCGAAGGCGATGGCTGCTGGGGGAATGACGGGTATGATGGAGCAGCAGGTGAGGGTGGCATTGGGCTGGGCGGTACCGGTGAAGGCGGCTCCAGAGTGGGCGGATATGAAGGAGGCGGCGAAGCGGGGCTAGGTGGTTGGGGCGAGGGCGATAGAGGGCTGGATGGGTATGCTAGAGGCGGCGAAGCGGGGCTTGGAGGCTGCGACGGCAGCTGCGGGCTTGGCGGCGAAGGCGACGGCTGGTGGGGGAATGACGGGTATGATGGAGCAGCCGGCGAGGGTGGCATTGGGCTGGGAGGTAACGGTGATGGCGGCTCCAGACTGGGCGGATATGAAAGAGGCGGCGAAGCGGGGCCAGGTGGTTGGGGCGAGGGCGATAGAGGGCTGGATGGGTATGATGGCGGTGGCGAAGCAGGGCTTGGAGATGGCGGCGACAGAGGCGGCGGCGGCAGCTGAGGGCTTGGCGGTACAGGCGATGTAGGGTATGATGGAGCAGCAGGCGAGGTTGGCATTGGGCTGGGAGGTACCGGTGAAGGCGGCTCCAGACTGAGCGGATATGAAGGAGGCGGCGAAGCGGGGCTAGGTGGTTGGGGCAAGGGCGATAGAGGGCTGGATGGGTATGCTGGAGGCGGCGAAGCGGGGCTTGGAGGCTGCGACGGCAGCTGCGGGCTTGGCGGCGAGGGCGATGGCTGCTGGGGGAATGACGGGTATGATGGAGCGGTAGGCGAGGGTGGCATTGGGCTGGGTGGTACCGGTGATGGCGGCTCCAGAGTGGGCGGATATGAAGGAGGCGGCGAAGCGGGGCTAGGTGGTTGGGGCGAGGGCGATTGAGGGCTGGATGGGTATGATGGCGGTGGCGAAGCAGGGCTTGGAGATGGCGGCGACAGAGGCGGCGGCGGCAGCTGAGGGCTTGGCGGTACAGGCGATGTAGGGTATGATGGAGCAGCAGGCGAGGTTGGCATTGGGCTGGGAGGTACCGGTGAAGGCGGCTCCAGACTGAGCGGATATGAAGGAGGCGGCGAAGCGGGGCTAGGTGGTTGGGGCAAGGGCGATAGAGGGCTGGATGGGTATGCTGGAGGCGGCGAAGCGGGGCTTGGAGGCTGCGTCGGCGGCTGCGGGCTTGGCGGCGAAGGCGATGGCTGGTGGGGGAATGACGGGTATGATGGAGCAGCCGGCGAGGGTGGCATTGAGCTTGGAGGTACCGGTGAAGGCGGCTCCAGAGTGGGCGGATATGAAGGAGGCGGCGAAGCGGGGCTAGGTGGTTGGGGCGAGGGCGATGGTGGGTATGCTGGAGGCGGCGAAGCGGGGCTTGGAGGCTGCGACGGCAGCTGCGGGCTTGGCGGCGAAGGCGATGGCTGGTGGGGGAATGACGGGTATGATGGAGCATCAGGCGAGGGTGGCATTGGGCTTGGAGGTACCGGTGAAGGCGGCTCCAGAGTGGGCGGATATGAAGGAGGCGGCGAAGCGGGGCTAGGTGGTTGAGGCGAGGGCGATGGTGGGTATGCTGGTGCCGGCAAAGCGGGGCTTGGAGGCTGCGTCGGCGGCTGCGGGCTTGGCGGCGAAGGCGATGGCTGCTGGGGGAATGACGGGTATGATGGAGCAGCAGGTGAGGGTGGCATTGGGCTGGGCGGTACCGGTGAAGGCGGCTCCAGAGTGGGCGGATATGAAGGAGGCGGCGAAGCGGGGCTAGGTGGTTGGGGCGAGGGCGATAGAGGGCTGGATGGGTATGCTGGAGGCGGCGAAGCGGGGCTTGGAGGCTGCGACGGCAGCTGCGGGCTTGGCGGCGAAGGCGACGGCTGGTGGGGGAATGACGGGTATGATGGAGCGGTAGGCGAGGGTGGCATTGGGCTGGGTGGTACCGGTGATGGCGGCTCCAGAGTGGGCGGATATGAAGGAGGCGGCGAAGCGGGGCTAGGTGGTTGGGGCGAGGGCGATAGAGGGCTGGATGGGTATGATGGCGGTGGCGAAGCAGGGCTTGGAGATGGCGGCGACAGAGGCGGCGGCGGCAGCTGAGGGCTTGGCGGTACAGGCGATGTAGGGTATGATGGAGCAGCAGGCGAGGTTGGCATTGGGCTGGGAGGTACCGGTGAAGGCGGCTCCAGACTGAGCGGATATGAAGGAGGCGGCGAAGCGGGGCTAGGTGGTTGGGGCAAGGGCGATAGAGGGCTGGATGGGTATGCTGGAGGCGGCGAAGCGGGGCTTGGAGGCTGCGACGGCAGCTGCGGGCTTGGCGGCGAGGGCGATGGCTGCTGGGGGAATGACGGGTATGATGGAGCGGTAGGCGAGGGTGGCATTGGGCTGGGTGGTACCGGTGATGGCGGCTCCAGAGTGGGCGGATATGAAGGAGGCGGCGAAGCGGGGCTAGGTGGTTGGGGCGAGGGCGATTGAGGGCTGGATGGGTATGCTGGAGGCGGCGAAGCGGGGCTTGGAGGCTGCGACGGCAGCTGCGGGCTTGGCGGCGAGGGCGATGGCTGGTGGGGGAATGACGGGTATGATGGAGCAGCAGGCGAGGTTGGCATTGGGCTGGGTGGTACCGGTGAAGGCGGCTCCAGAGTGGGCGGATATGAAGGAGGCGGCGAAGCGGGGCTAGGTGGTTGGGGCGAGGGCGATTGAGGGCTGGATGGGTATGCTGGAGGCGGCGAAGCGGGGCTTGGAGGCTGCGACGGCAGCTGCGGGCTTGGCGGCGAGGGCGATGGCTGGTGGGGGAATGACGGGTATGTAGGAGCAGCAGGCGAGGGTGGCATTGGGCTGGGAGGTACCGGTGAAGGCGGCTCCAGAGTGGGCGGATATAAAGGAGGCGGCGAAGCGGGGCTAGGTGGTTGGGGCGAGGCCGATGGTGGGTATGCTGGAGGCGGCGAAGCGGGGCTTGGAGGCTGCGTCGGCAGCTGCGGGCTTGGCGGCGAAGGCGATGGCTGGTGGGGGAATGACGGGTATGATGGAGCAGCAGGCGAGGGTGGCATTGGGCTGGGAGGTACCGGTGAATGGGGCTCCAGAGTGGGCGGATATGAAGGAGGCGGCGAAGCGTGGCTAGGTGGTTGGGGCGAGGGCGATAGAGGGCTGGATGGGTATGCTGGAGGCGGCGAAGCGGGGCTTGGAGGCTGCGACGGCAGCTGCGAGCTTGGCGGCAAAGGCGATGGCTGGTGGGGGAATGACGGGTATGATGGAGCAGCAGGCGAGGTTGGCATTGGGCTTGGAGGTACCGGTGAAGGCGGCTCCAGAGTGGGCGGATATGAAGGAGGCGGCGAAGCGGGGCTAGGTGGTTGGGGCGAGGGCGATTGAGGGCTGGATGGGTATGCTGGAGGCGGCGAAGCGGGGCTTGGAGGCTGCGTCGGCGGCTGCGGGCTTGGCGGAAAAGGCGATGGCTGCTGGGGGAATGACGGGTATGATGGAGCAGCAGGCGAGGGTGGCATTGGGCTTGGAGGTACCGGTGAAGGCGGCTCCAGACTGGGCGGATATGAAGGAGGCGGCGAAGCGGGGCTAGGTGGTTGGGGCGAGGGCGATAGAGGGCTGGATGGGTATGCTGGAGGCGGCGAAGCGGGGCTTGGAGGCTGCGACGGCAGCTGCGGGCTTGGCGGCGAAGGCGATGGCTGGTGGGGGAATGACGGGTATGGAGCAGCCGGCGAGGGTGGCATTGGGCTTGGAGGTACCGGTGAAGGCGGCTCCAGAGTGGGCGAATATGAAGGAGGCGGCGAAGCGGGGCTAGGTGGTTGGGGCGAGGGCGATTGAGGGCTGGATGGGTATGCTGGAGGCGGCGAAGCGGGGCTTGGAGGCTGCGACGGCAGCTGCGGGCTTGGCGGCGAGGGCGATGGCTCGTGGGGGAATGACGGGTATGATGGAGCAGCAGGCGAGGTTGGCATTGGGCTGGGTGGTACCGGTGAAGGCGGCTCCAGAGTGGGCGGATATGAAGGAGGCGGCGAAGCGGGGCTAGGTGGTTGGGGCGAGGGCGATGGTGGGTATGCTGGAGGCGGCGAAGCGGGGCTTGGAGGCTGCGGCGGCAGCTGCGGGCTTGGCGGCGAAGGCGACGGCTGGTGGGGGAATGACGGGTATGATGGAGCAGCAGGCGAGGTTGGCATTGGGCTGGGTGGTACCGGTGAAGGCGGCTCCAGAGTGGCCGGATATGAAGGAGGCGGCGAAGCGGGGCTAGGTGGTTGGGGCGAGGGCGATGGTGGGTATGCTGGAGGCGGCGAAGCGGGGCTTGGAGGCTGCGGCGGCAGCTGCGGGCTTGGCGGCGAAGGCGATGGCTGGTGGGGGAATGACGGGTATGATGGACCGGTAGGCGAGGGTGGCATTGGGCTGGGAGGTACCGGCGAAGGCGGCTCCAGAGTGGGCGGATATGAAAGAGGCGGCGAAGCGGGGCTTGGAGGCTGCGTCGGCAGCTGCGGGCTTGGCGGCGAAGGCGATGGCTGGTGGGGGAATGACGGGTATGATGGAGCAGCAGGCGAGGTTGGCATTGGGCTTGGAGGTACCGGTGAAGGCGGCTCCAGAGTGGGCGGATATGAAGGAGGCGGCGAAGCGGGGCTAGGTGGTTGGGGCGAGGGCGATAGAGGGCTGGATGGGTATGCTGGAGGAGGCGAAGCGTGGCTTGGAGGCTGCGACGGCAGCTGCGGGCTTGGCGGCGAAGGCAATGGCTGGTGGGGGAATGACGGGTATGATGGAGCAGCAGGCGAGGTTGGCATTGGGCTGGGAGGTACCGGTGACGGCGGCTCCAGAGTGGGCGAATATGAAGGAGGCGGCGAAGCGGGGCTAGGTGGTTGGGGCGAGGGTGATGATGGGTATGCTGGAGGCGGCGAAGCGGGGCTTGTTGGCTGCGGCGGAAGCTGCGGGCTTGGAGAACGGCTGGGCGGCTGAGGCGAGGGCCCGGGAGATGCCGGATGCTGCGGAGGTGCCGAGGGGGGAATGGGTGGCGGCTGCACAGGATGCCCTGCGTCAGGTGATGGCGGTGCAGGAGATGGAGGGTAGGCAGGAATCGAGGGTTTCGGCGGCTGGGGAGAAGGAGGCGAAGGGGATGGAAGCGGATGGCTAGATGGTGTTGGCGATGGCGGTTGGGGGCTTGGCGGGTATGGAGGAGGCGGAGGCGGGCTTGGAGGCTGAGGAGACGGCGGCTGGGGAGGAGGCGAAGGCGTCGGAGGCTGCGGGCTGGGCGGCTGAGGCGATGGCGGTTCCGGGTTTCGTGGGAGGGTCGGAGACGGAGGTTGTGGGGAGGGGGGCTCTGGCAAAGTTGGTGTTGGAGAAGGCGGCTCTGGGGAAGGCGGTGCAGGGGAAGGCGGCTCTGGGGAAGGCGGTGCAGGGGAAGGCGGCTCTGGGGAAGGCGGTGCAGGGGAAGGCGGCTCTGGGGAAGGCGGTGCAGGGGAAGGCGGCTCTGGAGATGGCGGTGCTGGGAAAGGCGGCTCTGGAGAGGGCGGTGCAGGGGAAGGCGGTGCAGGGGAAGGCGGCTCTGGAGAGGGCGGTGCTGGGAAAGGCGGCTCTGGAGAGGGCGGTGCAGGGGAAGGCGGTGCAGGGGAAGGCGGCTCTGGAGATGGCGGTGCTGGGAAAGGCGGCTCTGGAGAGGGCGGTGCTGGTGAAGGAGGCTGTGGTGAGGGCGGTGCAGGGGAAGGAGGCTGTGGGGAAGGCGGTGCAGGGGAAGGAGGCTCTGGAGAGGGCGGTGCTGGAGAGGGCGGTGCTGGGGAAGGAGGCTGTGGGGAAGGTGTTAGGGGGCTAGGCGGCAGCGGAGAGGGAGGAGAAAGACTGGGCGGCTGTGGTGTTGATGGCGGGCTTGGATGAGGGGATGGTGATGGTGGAGGTGCCGGTAGGCTGGGTGACGGAGGTGTTACAGGTCTGGGTGGCGCTGGCGGACGCGGCGGCCGTGGCGGCGGTGGGGGCGATGGAGGATGCGGTGGAGTAGGAGGTGGATTCGGTGTAGGCGGAGGCGGCCGTGGGGAGGGAGGCAAAGGCGGCGGTGGGCGTGGGGACGGGGGCTGTGGCGATGGAGGATGACGGACTGGCGGCGGTGGTGACGGAGGCGGAAATGACGGATAGTCAGGAAAGCCTGGTGCAGTGGGCGCAATAGGCGCCGGGAAAGCAGGTGCATAGGGCATATCCGGCGGTGACGGTTTGGCTGGTGGAGGCGGAGGACGCGGTGGTTGAGGCGGCCTTGGAGGGAGGCGTGGGGCTCTAGGGGTCGGCGGTGAGGGAAAGTTTGGCGCAGCAGGCGGTAGGGTGATCCCCGGGCTTAATGGTGGCGTAGGAGGAGGGCTTGGTGGTACCGGCGGCGGTAGCCCCGGAGGGGGTAGCTCCGGCGGCCAAGGGCTTGGCGGCGAAGGCGTTGGAGGCTCGGGGCTTGGCGGTGAAGGCGTTGGTGGCTCCGGGCTTGGCGGCAATGGGCTAGGTGGAGACGGTTTAGGGGGCTTTGGGCTGGGTGGCGGCGGTCTGGGTGGAGGTGGGGTAGGGGGCGGCGGTCTAGGTGGAGGCGGACTTGGGGGCGGCGGTCTGGGGGGTGGCGGGCTGGGTGGCGGGGGTCGTGGAGGAGGAGGGCTGGGTGGACGTGGGCTGGGTGGCTCCGGGCTGGGTGGCTCCGGGCTAGGTGGCTCAGGACTAGGCGGCTCCGGGCTTGGTGGTTCGGGGCTTGGCGGTTCGGGACTTGGTGGTTCAGGGCTTGGGGGCTCGGGGCTTAGGGGCAGGTTGGGTGGCCCTGGAAGCGCCGGCGACCGCGGGGGCCGGGGCGGCCGATACCACCAAGGGGGTGGTGGCGGCCTTGGTGGCGGGGGTGGTCGTGGAGGTCTTGGCGACGGCGGTGGATTCGGCAGCGCTGGTGCATCCGGCGGTAGGTCCGGGTATGTAAACTCCCAAAGAGAGCGCTCCGACAGGCCCACGCGACGAGCTGTGCCTTCTTTATTGCCAGTTGCTTCAAGCGCTACATCGTCGTCAACACCTCCTGCGCTGGCAGCTAGACCGCGGCCGGCTGCATGGTAGCTCCTCTCGTCATCCTCCGTTGCCAGCAGCCACGATTTCATGGACTGCTGCACCTCCTTAAGCAACGCCGCTGTGTCCACGGGTTCACGCACAACACCGACGTCTGGAAGGGGCAGGCTCGTCATTGTGCTGCCAAGCAGACCAAGGCTGCAGTCTGCCCAATCATTACGCCGCTCGCGGATGCCATTGCTGTCTGTTCCGTCGACCTCTGCCGGGGGCTGTCGCTGAGGGAGTTGGAAGGCGAGGACCAGCACCTTGAGAGACCAATCATGACTACCAAGCGGTGCAGTCGTCACCTGGTCTGCGCTTGCAGTCTGCCACCCGCAGTGCAGAGTCCAGGACGATGCTGTTGTCAGGATGCGGTCAAACGGACGGGCGTCAGTGGTCACCGCAAGCGCCAGCACACCGGGCTGCGGCACATAGTGTGCTAAGCAAACTGAAGCATGGCCGTAAGTTGCAATGGCACCCCGAAGCTGCGTCGTCCACCGAATCCGTTCATCTCCTCCTACACTAATAAGCGTTCCCTGCTGCAGCTCCAAAACGAGGGAACCTGGCTCCTGGGCGTCGCTGCTGCCACAGCGGGACCGAATTGGAACACGCGGGAACTCGCAAGACAAGGTCCTGTCCCCATAAGGCTGGACAGCTGCGCCAAGCGCTACTGCATATGAGCTGCAACTGTATGCGCATCGCCAGAGCTGCAACGAGCTGACAGCTTCAGGGAAACCATCTACTGTAATGACTCCTTTGAAATCCCAGCTAACGAGAGCGGGGCTAAAGGTCAAACTGGAATTGATACCAGATGCGTCCTGTACATTGTGTACAATCTGGTGCGCCTGCTCTTTTCCGAGCCCTCCCCAAGCTGGCCCGGCTGTGACATCCGGAGTCACCTCCCCCGCGTAAGCGCCATAAGAAACAATCCATAAAAGTGCTGCCCATAAGATGAAGCCAATCCAGTTCTGTCGGCGGCGGCCAGCATGACCAGCGAAGGCCATGGCGCCACCACGCGCGTTAGCCCACATATGTGATGTCCAAACTCCCCATCCTCCAATATCAAGTGAAGCAGCGAGTTCGTTGAATAGCACCTATTTCCCTTAATGCAAGCTGCAAAGGTTTTATAAGATTAAAATGCGAAAGCGCGAAAGCTGTTGGCGGGTGCAGATGTCCTTACTTGTCTGTTATACGCCTGTGTTCAAGTTCTGCAACCTCACCATACAATCATTTTGTGTTGCGGTCCTTCCTCTGGCCACACACGTTCCAGCCATATTGAAAAGTGTACGAAGTGCCGTATGAATCTAGCAAAGCGGTTGCAACACCCAGCCCCTTTACAGACTGACACAGATATTTCCTCCTCCCGAGCATATAGTGTAATCAATTTTATGCTTACAGTGAAATCCCATCGGGCACAGGTCTTCAAGTCGCTATACCGCCATCGTCAGGCCTGCAAACGAGCATGTTGAAATGGGCAACTGCAACCTTACAATTGTTCGCACCGCTCGACCAATGTACATGCGCATTGTACGGGAGCATGTTGCAGGCAGGAGTTGCTACCTCGTACGCGAGCGTCGCAAACCCTCGTTAGGCGTATAGAAGCAACGTCAACGGCGCATGAGGAAGTACCTTGAAATGTAGTCGTAGGGCACAAACGGGTAGATTGACTCCAGCCACTGTTACTACGTGCCCTGGCCAACCTTAGCCACGGCATTCCAGAAAAAGCTGTAACGGATGGACACTCTATGCTCACCACTTCCCCGCCCCTTTTTGTCTCTGCATAAGGCCACAGCAGGGGCATTATATTCGGTCTAGATACGGCCTGCACATGCCGCCGTGACTTATGACCCCTGATTAGCCCCAAAAGACCTCCCGGTGACCCATTCTCCACTCGTAGTTAAAGTAGTTTCCTCCTCTTTATCCTCCTATCGCTCTTATGCACTGAGTGGTAGATCCCACGCTTTCTCGCCTAAGCCCCGCCTGCCGCGCCTTCCCTAGCTAGCACCACCGGTATCCCCGCTTTCCTTGATGCATGGCAACAGCGTCAAGTTCACTCCATCGGTTCCGGGTTGGCCTCCCGTGAGACGTGCTGTTTGTTCCGCCAAGGGTGCCTTGTCTGCTCCGATGCGCTAGCATGCGTTGCGGGTTTGCAACACCCCTGCCTCCCCACCAGCAGTAGTCTTTCGAGAGACGCCTTGACGTCGTCTGAGTGGGCGGCCCCTGCATACCAGAAGAAACTGCTGCACGTACCCGCCTAACGTCGTGTAGAAGCGGGTGACAGCTGTATGGCGGGTTGAGAGATAGAAAGCCAAGCCAAACAGCTTCGGCCGGCATGAACCATTCATGCATCGTACACAATGCGGGGAAAGACGGGCTTGCTTGTGGTGGCGGTGCCACGAAGGGTGCCGCTGTGTCTCTTTGCTGAGGCCTTTTGCAGAGAATGATACTTGGAGTTGGGCCGTGTGGTTGCGAGCAGGGACGAAAGAAATTGGGACAGGCGGTCTTGGGGTGATGGGACTTGCCATGCAGACGGTCTTACTTGGGGTGATGGGACATGCCATGCAGACAATAACCTGCAGTTGTTCAGGGTTACTTTGGGAGGCGCCCCCCTTACACGCCCCACACGACAGGGCCAAACAATCCACTAGCCTCGCTTTTCCTGCACGCCCTCCCTCGCCTTTCCGGCTTGTCACCAGCTATCGGTGCTGTCAGTCATAGTGTTACACCGTCCTCTGCCGCTCTATTGGATGCGACTCGTGGCCCTGAGGCACCGGCCTGGCAAAAGCCTCCGTATCCACCAACCCACAAACGATTCCACGATAAGTGCCGCCCCGGATGTGGGCTTTGTAAGCATGCAAGATTCCTTAAACACACCATAACGTTCACAACGGTTGTTAAGCACAATAACACATACAGGCAATCTTCGTACTTCCAGCAACTTTCAGACAGACCCCCGAGACTATCCTTTAGGGTTTAGAAAACACCATGGGAGTGGTCCAGACATGTAAGGCCCGCAAAAGGAGCTGCTCACAACGCACCATGTTTATTGAAGGTAAAGCATGCCCCACGCACGCACGTCGCTACCGTTAGGAGAAAAGTAGCGAGCTCGGCTAAGCATTAGCAGGGCCTAGGCCACAGACAGCGTACTTAACCCCATTAAGCATACGCAAGGGTGTTGAACTAGCACGCAGCCTTGCACCAGGTACGCAGCAACGCCCACAGAAGTCCGTATCGCAATACACACCCAACGGAAGACGCCGCAGCCACGCCCGTAACAGCCGTACGGCCGCCACCTTTTGCCTCAACAAGAACTACACATACCGGTAAAAACTCTTCTTGCTCCCGCGGTGCGCAGTCATGCCAGTCGCCTAAAGCTCACAGCGTACGGGGTACTGTTTTGCATCGCGGCGCGATGACATGCTGCCCATACACATGCAGGTATGTAAATTCTTCCCCCCCACTGCCCACCACAGGGTTCCCACTGGAGTGCTGGGAAGCCTGATGATAGCCCAGGAGAGGCCGGCCCCTCAGCCCACTCCTCTTCGTCGCTTGACATGTCCGCTGTGCACCCCGGCTGTGCAGCGATACCGGCCATCAAGAGGAACCCCGAGCCCCTTCACCACCAACAAGGTGTGCTTCCCCGGGGTCCCAGCCCAGAAGCTGACCTCCGCCCGAAGCAGCACATGTGCGCATCCATAGCAGCACCCGCACCTCCTACGGCTAGCTCGCTCACCGCTTCCCCCTGCTTGTCCCCCCCGCCCCCGGCCCCCGTATTCAGCTGCCCCAGCCCTGTCCCCCCATCTGGGTCACCTCAATCCCCCAGGCGCAGCTGGCTGGTCACCGCCCGCACGCCCTCACACGCCGCCGGCGCGTCCCGCTCCACCCTCAAGCTGGCCGCCAGCTCCTCCGGCGCGGGGGTCATGTGCAGCACGCGGCTGAGCACCGCCACGGCACGAGCCAGCAGCCGGGAGTCCCGCGGGTGCTCCTTCACCTGGGGAGGGGGAGGGGGAGGGAGGGAGAGATACCAAAACCACACGTTAGGGCAAAGCAATGGGGATAAAAGGAGAGGTAGAAGGCACACGCCCTCGCCCTCGCCCCCGCTCCTCCCACCTGCAGCAACGTCAGTTCCGCCACATGCGCCCACACAGCATCCGCCGCCACGCCGTGCTGGGTGGCCAGCCGCGCACACGCGCGCGCCTCGGGCCGCCGCAACGCGTCCCACAGCGCAGCCCAGGTGCCGTACATCAGCAGCGGGGCCTGCAGACAGCAGGGGTACGTACGGCAAATACAGATGCGCGTGGCGCGTGTTCATGTAGGTAAACACGTGGTTCTGGTGATGATGCGAGGCTAACCGTTGCGATGCTCTGCTCGATGAGGACAGAAGTCGGGGATTAAGCGAGGAGCGCGGTTGCAGCGTGGAAGAGGTTTTGCTTGGAGAGCAGCGACTACGCGGCACTGCATGCCGCTCAGCTAAGAAGCAGACAGCTAGACCCATGCGACGGCAACGCAAACCCACACGCGGCCCACGCTTCCGTCCATGGAGCCCTCCAGAGGCCGATCCATTCCGCCTGCTTCCCACCCCCTTTGGCTTTCCCCTCTTTGCCCACCCACCCCACCTTGCCCACGTGTTCCAGCAGGCTGTTCAGCAGCCGCCAGCCGCAACCGTGCTCCACCATCATGCGAGCCAGCACCGCCACCTCGTGGGGGTGGTGGCGCCAGTGGGGGTACCTGGGAAGAGGGGATAGGGCAGCAGGCGCCATGGGAAGGAGAGGGGAGAGGGGGTGCAAGCGGGAGAGGGTGAGGAGGGGCGCCTGCGCTTGGGAAGCGGTATCGTACTCAGTCCCGAGGTGCAGAAGCAGGAACAGCAACCCACACGCCCAGTGCCCCGCCCCAAGCGCTGCTGGCCCCGCCCCGCCCCGCCCCGACTACTTACTCCTCGATCACCTCCTGCGGGCAGCGGATAACGTCCACACCGCAAGGAGCCAGCACGTGCGGTAGCCCAGTCCGACAGGCGAGTAGGTGGGTCAAGGCAGGGCGGGAAGGGATAGGGGCAGGGCGGGAAGGGATAGGGGCAGGGCAGTAAGGGATAGGCACGGACGCGTCAGCACCAGTACGCAAACAAGCAGTGTGCTTCTCTGCCACCTCTCCTTTACCACCAGGCCCTACTCCCCACCCTAGCCCCTCCACTCCTGCGGCTAAGGCTGTGTGAGTTGTGACCCCAACTGCAGTTGACGCCTGACGAGCTGCGCCACCCAGCAACCCCGTAAGCCCTCCCCTAAGCGCCCTGCTAACCCCAACGCAACTGGGCCTCCTACCCACGGCCCTTCCCCCCAACCCTGTGCCTCACATCTCATCTATACCGGTAGTTCCCCACCACCACCCCTGGGTTCAATTAGCAACCCATGGTGACGCCTGTCATACAGTTCGTCAGCCTCCTTATTTTCGCCCGCCCCCTCCCGCACCTGCAGCTCGTGCCACAGCCACAGCGGCTCCGCCCTGCTGCGCACGATGGCGGCCAGCAGCAGCCGCAGGTACTCCACGTACAGGTAGGCGGTCACCGGGTCGTCGCGCCTGGAGTGGCTCTGCGCGCCCCAGATGATCTGGGAGGAGGGGCGGGGGGAGGGAAAGCGGGAGGACATGCGGGGCGGGGCAAGACGGGAGGAGGGCGGTTCGAAAAGGGTTTGCGGTGCAAGGGCTTGATATGGAGTTGCGGTGGAAGCGCCATGCAGTAGGCGACAAGGGCGCCGTGAGCATGCGTGGAAGGGGGGGTGGCGTGAGTGAATGCACAGGTGGTGGAAACTCGCCGCTAGCAGTAGTGCATGCACACGCGCACCCTTACGTGTTGTCCCATCTCCCCCCCCCGCGCTCCCCGTTCAGTCAAATCGTTCTCCCAAACCGTTCCCGCCCTTGTCGTGCATCCCCAACCAACCCCTGCGTACATTTCTGGAGGGCTCCCGGTCCTCGTGCCGCTCCCAGCACACCCGCAGCACGCCCACCAGCACGTCGTGCAGCGGCGGCAGCGTGTCGGGGGCCACGTGGCGCCAGGTGCAGAAGGGCGCGGAGAAGGCGCTGTGCTGCAGGTGCAGGGCCTCCGTGGGCGGCAGCGGCGGGGGCACCGGCTCCTCGGAAGCGGCGGCGCTGCCTTCGAGAGCCTTGCCGGGCTCCTGCTGCTGCTCCGGGTTCCCCGTCTGGGGTTCAGAGGGCTGAGGGTCCTTCTGGTCCTGCTGCTGCTGCTGGTTTTGGAGTAGCTTTTGTTGTTGCTGCTGCTGCAGGCGTCGCCAGGCTGCTAGGATGGCGGCCGGGAGCTTCTGGCAGGCCTGCTCCTCGGGCTCCTCGCCCGTGCTGGGATGCACGACAGTGTCGTACAGCCAGGTGCAGAGGTGCTCGAGCCGGGGGTTGCGTGGGTGGTGCAGCGTGGAGCGGTAGCGGTATGAGGTTATGAGGTGCTCATCACCGTCTTCGTTGTCGTCGTCGGCGTCAGCGTCGCCATCCTCATCGCTGGAGCTGCTGCTGCCGCTACTGTCAGAATCGCCGTCGACCTCCTTTTGCGGGTCTTCCTGTCCACCTGAGTTGCTTTTTGGCTCCTGCGCAGACGCGTTGGCGGTGTCTGAGGGCATAGCAGCGGCCTCACCAGGCGTGTCGCAGGCTACATCGTCAGCGACGTCCATCCACTCATCTACGCTAAACTGCAGTAAAAGTGGCACCGCCTTCGCAATGACAACGCCTGCTCCTTCGTAGTCGGCACGCCGAAGGTGTTGATTGATGGTATCCCGGAGGCGCTCCAACTCCTCCGCCATGTTTCTTGCGCAATAGATGCAACTTGTACAATATATATGTAATAGTCAAGATCCTTCACTGATAGTAAAGGACAATGTTTGGCAGTGGCCACCGAAACTTGGTTACCGGTAGTCACAACTGCCCCAAACCTTCCGATGACTGCCAGTATGCAAGCATTAAATGTAAGCAGCAGCAGCAGCTATGCGGTCAAACAGCGCTTCAGTTATGTCGGCCGTGACGTACCGGAATCGGGACGAGATGCACCTTGGCAGCAACGCATTCAGGGCACTGCCCGGGCCGCTCAAACCAGTGCCAACCTGTTCATGTCACTTCGAATTTGTCAGTGGCGTTAGTTTCATTACTTGGGAACTTGTCCCCCAGACCATACACACAGGGGCTGCCGTCGAGCGCTTGTACTACCGTATGTGCACTCCCATGATTACCGCGCCCTGGTTGCAGGTAATTAGCACGTTCCCACTCTTCCCGTGCCATCCGCGCCATCCATTGGCATCATTGGTGATGACCGTGGGCTGTACAGAACCCTAGGTCCCGGGATTTGTTGTAGGCCTTGGTAGGCACCTGTCCCCGGGAGGGACAGGGCTAAGCCCTCGAGACGCAGGCAGACTTCCAATACCTCGGTGCCACCGTGCAGTCAACTCTTATGAGCTCAGCTGCACCGGCAATCACCTTTCTTATCTATTGGTAGCTGCACCTGCACAACCGCCAGGGCCGCCTTCGTCCATCCCCGTGTTCCACTTACGCATGCATGCAATTTGGCCCATGGGCGATGCCCGCTAAGGCCCGCCAGGGTGCCTGCATGCAAGGGCCCATGCGTAGACATAGACCTCCCCTGTAGAACTGTGGTGCGCACAGGTAGATCGTATGTGTGTGTGTGACTCCAAACGCTTTAGGTGGTTGAGTAAATGGGCGTTGCAGGTGTACTGGTGCGGTAAGAGTCCTGGACATTACGGGTCCTCCAGGGGGACCATCCACGGACGTAACAGGGCTCGGCCGGCTTGTGTTCTTGCCGTATAGGGTAGGCGTGCCAGCTGTGTCGTACATCACGAGCTAAAGACGCTGTCCCCCTTATCGCTTGCACAGCGGTGCGAATTTTTTTATGAAACTTGGCTCCTCGCCGCTCTTCCCTAAGCAAACGTGCGACGCTAACACTAGCGGATAGGACTGACTGTCTAAGAGCAAGCAACTGGTGAAAGTACATAACTCAACAGCCATCCTCAGTATATTACATACGAGGTGCTAGGTCAATATGGGAAAAGGAGGGACGAAGTTCGTTGGGGACTCGGTAAGAATCCTTCCAACTGCTGAGCAAACTAGCTTCTACACTGACCGTCATTACATTGGACTCGTATGGTGCATTTCATATGGGTGACAAAAACATTGAGTGCCGTGGTGCCAGCATTACAACCCTGGGATGGCCCGGCCCGCAGGTCAGCGTCCGCCAAAAGGCGCCGGCGAATGACACGGTCCGCAACATTAAGCGCAATTTGGACAAGTTTCTGGAAACTGGAGTGCACCCCGAAATTGAGCGCATGCGCCAGGTGGGCCGCTGGGTTCATAGGCTGCTGCTCCCCTCTAACCCATCGCTTTTTCCCTCTCCTACCTCTGACGTGAGGACATCCTGGGGACGCCCTTCCTCCCCACCGCACCTCTCCTCCGCTATACTGCCCATACACCTGCTCCTGGTCATCACCACCCTCCCTCAACTCCTTTCCGCCGGTGCGGCTAACCCACCAACTCCACCTCCTCCCCGCTTCCGCTCCCCTACCCCAGGAGCATGCCAACCAGCTGCCCGCGCTGCCCGACCTCGACGTGCACCGTCCCTTCGTCTTCCTGGACATCGCAGTGGCGGGGAAGCCGCTGGGTGCGTGTATGCCGCGGATTTGCGGGAATTAGGGTTTGGGGGGATTACCGTAGGCTGGTGCTGGTGATGGTTGACGGCTGAGGAGCCGAAGCTTAGGAGGACGGTGTGGATGGAAGGATGCGGCTGGGAGGGCATTTTGGATAGGGGGTCTCTTGAACCTGGGAGCACCAGGCACGGCGCACACGCCCTTGACCGCGGCTCCTTACACCACACGCTCAGTTAATTTCGCACCCGTGGCACGGCGCCTGCTGTGCAGGTCGATTGGTGGTTGAGTTGTTCGAGGATGTCGTCCCCGTGGCCGCAAGCCACTTCAGGAACAGGTGCGTGTGCGGGGATGAACGCACGACATCATGTGCGGTGTTCATGGCTGCCATGGCCTGGCTGCCGTTGCATCCCTTGCAAGGGAACTGCAGACGCGGTACGCACGCACGCGCTCCCTCTCTTACTCTCGCCGCTTGCGCCGAACGCGGTACAACCCACGACTGGTTCCTTACCCCCTCTTTTCCGCCTTGGCGGGCCCTTCGCCTTTGTCAGGTGCATGCCGGGGTCCTCCGGCGGCATCGCGGGCACCAGCTTCCACAAGCTGCTGCCGCGGTACGCCATCTACGGAGGAATGAGGTGGGTGCGCGCTAACCAACCCGCAGGGGCAAGCCGCGGGACTGCTGTCTCTTGTTGTGAAACACAAACGCGGCGACGGTCCAACTCCTTAGGACTTGTAAAAGGGTTATCGCACCCAAGAAGCAGGCGTAGGCTTCCAAGCGGTGCCGTCCGCAGTCGCACAGCGCACCCACCTAACCCCACTCCTCCCGTCGCCCTCCTCGCCCACTTCCCTGAAAGCAGCTCCCGCGCCGGCGACGGCGTGCGGTTGCAGCCGCACACGGGCCTGCGGGCGGTGGAGGGCGGGCTGGTGGCGGTGGCGCTGAGCGGACAGGACTTCGCCATCGCACTGGACCGAGCGCTGGACCTGGACCGCTCGCACCAGGTGGGGGGGGGAGCGGCCGGCGTGCAGGCACACGTCGCCGCGCCCACACGCGGGCGGTTAGGAGTTAGCACGGGGAAGGGGAAGGGAGGTGTACAACAATACCAGCGGGAGGGCTGTGTTGGTGTGTCCTCCTCCTCCTCCCAGGCACCACCGCTCCCCCCTCCCTCCCTCCCTGCCAGGTTGTGGGTCGCATCCACCGGGGTCGGGAGCTGCTGGACACGCTGGGCGACCTGCGCACCCTGCCGGACGACTCGCCGGTGCAGCGGGTGGTGGTGACGCGCGCGGGGCCCACCAACCACCTGGGTAACCATGAGGACCTGGAGGAGGCGGCGGCCGCCGCGGCGGGGCCGCCCAAGGATGCGGCGACGCGGCTGCAGGAGGCGTCGGAAGAGGCGCGGGCGGCAGTGATGTGAGTGAGGGATACTGAGTGGGGTATGGGAGGGATTGGGGATGCCCGGATGAGGCTGGGCGTGTCTGGGGATTAGGGAGGAAAGAGAGGTGGGCGGCTTGGGGTGGCTTGAAGCGCATACGGATTTCCCATACGGTTTCTGACTATTCACCGATGTTGCTGCGTGCGGCCCTTGTCCGGTTGCCCCTAGGGATGCGCTGAGCGAGGGCTTGCGGCTAAAGCGGAAAGCAGATGCAGTTGCGGATGATGAAGGAGGCGGAGCAACGGCGGCAGCGGGGCCATCCACATCAGGGCGTGTGGGATCTGTGGCTGCTGGTGGGGCAAGTAAAGGAGCGCCGGCCGCAAGTAAAGGTGCTGCGGCTGCGGCACAGCAGGCACGCAACGTCAAAGCGAAGATGCTGGACAGCATGCTGGGGGATCTGGGCAACGACGATGAAAGCACCAGCAGCGGCAGCGAGGGCGGCGATGAAGGGAGCTAGGGTGCAACTCGGTGGTTGGCTGGTTTGCCCGCTGAGTTCTTTTGTTGACATGTCTTGTAATGGTGAAAAGGCAACCGGTGTCTTTGCCCGTGGTTCAGCCTGCTCCCGCTTACAAGTTCAGCGCGGCATGGCCGTGTAGCAACACGCATGTGTCGTATGTTGGCGTGCTTTGCTCGTTGGCCATGTTTGCAATGTTTGCAGCGCTAAATGGCTATATAACTCAAAAACCTCAGCACTTCAGCTAAACGAAATTGACGACAAAGGAAACAGACGTAGAAGCAATGAGGTTCACTTAAGGGCCAATGCACGGTTCCAGCACACACGCGCCTAGGGCCGTGTGGCTCGCATCTCAGCGCCAAACCTATGTTGCAATGCATGCATAACTACACTAGACGTTCTGGCTAATCCGAAAACTAAGCTAATGCCACCTCGCTCCTAACCTCCTACAACATCTCCTGCACTCCTTGCACCCCGTACATCAGGGCTTGATACTGCTCACCGGCTCCCGCACACCAGGGGCGAGGTAATGAGTGGCAGCAAGTTTCAGGCCCTGCGAAACCCAGCCCCGCCATGGTACCGGTAGATGCCCGCATGGTTGAAGCACACGTATCGCCCATGCGCTGAAGCCACCCATCAGCACCCACAGCGTTATCCTATTTTGGGTCAGCTACTCGTAGCATGGCCGACACCGTACCCAGGAAATAGGACCACACGAGAATGTGCTCTGCTCTGCTATGAAACTGCCTGAAAGAACTACCATACATGTAAGAAGATGAAGCCTGCTGTACCCTTGCCGCAATCCTGCTTCCTACCAGTCTAAATCTATGTTCCCTCTAGCACGCTACCTTGCACGCATGTGGTTAGCCCTCAATGGGCCGAGTCACATCTGCTCAATAGACCTCCTGCTTTACCAGCGGGATCTTGCCCGTTGGCTCGTACACGGCCACACGCGCCATCGCCGCCAGCAGGTCTTGGTTGCGGTTGTGCAGCGACGAGCTCTGCAGGGGCCGTGGTGCGGGCGGGGGTGGCCCTTGGCTGCGCGTGCGCAGTGGCGTGCCCCGCGGGCAAGACCGTGGGACGGGGGAGGGTGGCTCTTGGTTGCGCTTGTGCAGCGTGTTTCCTGAGGGCCGTGTCATGGAGGAGTGCGGCTCACCCACGGACCCTGCAAGCAATAAAAGCGCGTGTGTACGAGATTGGGTTGGTTTCGAGATGCTGGCATGGCACCTTGCGCAAACGGCAATCCGTATAACATGAAGGCGGACGGATGACCCAAATGGCCTGTTTCGCCCTCATACCCAAATGTTCCATTCACCCTGCACGCAAAAAATCAAAACCCATGCACCAGGCTTTCCCGTGAACCCTCACCCGTTGGTACACCGTTGACTGCGCCGTTGCCCTCCTTAGGCTGCTTGCCTGCCTGTTGCGCTGCGAACTCGAGCACCTGGTACTCCTGCGCCTTCTCCTGCAGCTCAAGCGCAGCAACCTTCACGTTGGAAACAGGCTTACCGGCCGCCAGCTGGACAACGAGGTTAATCCAGGCCTGCAAAAGCAACGGTAGCAGCAAAGGTATTAGCCTGCGAGACATGAACTGGGTTAGGCCGTCCCATCCACCACCACGTCGCGTACCGGCAGGGTTTCCAGCCCGTAATCCATGGGCGTGGGCGGCATCTCCAGCATCTCCTCCACAGCCCGCGTGAGGCAGATGGTGAGGCCGCTGCTGGTGAAGCACCAGCGTCCGCGGGAGTTCCCGAACTCATCCTTGCCGAGCTTCTGTGCGTGCTCCAGCAATGCGTCATGCTTGCTTGACGGGATCCTGCGCCTCCTCGTGGGTGTGGCCATGACTCCATCTGGCATTGCGGAGCTGGACATTGCGCTGAAGCCCTTGTTTGCTGCTGTTGTGTTGAAGTTGCCGTCGGTAGCATCGAAAAATGCTGTTGAATCATCGGTATCACCCGCCGCCTCCATCAAAGCGCTGCTTGCAGTTGGTTTGCAAGGTGCTGGCGCGCGGGCGCAAGGCCCTGCTGTAGTCGCGTTGTCCATCACTGCACCATTGCGTTGGCTTCCTGTCAACCCAGATGGCACCTGAAGGCGTCCACGGGCACAATCATTGGCATGTGGGTCTTCGATGGCAAGCAGATGCGCACGGTATTAAAACGGTCAACAGCATGGAGTAAGACGGCACGTTTCAATCACCCCCGGGCTACAGCGCCATGCAGATACGGAGTGCATGTCCCAAGCAAGAAACCATGTTGTTAGGCTTAGCGATTAAGAGCACGGACCTTCCCTGCTGGATGCAGAAGAGCAGTGTTCTCAACGTCAGCGCCCTCTCCGATGCCACGTGAGGCCACGAGACCAGTCGCTTCGGTGGGCATCTGCGAGTAGGATGACGAAGTGTCCAACAGGTTGCAGGCAGATATCGCAGGCATAGGTGTCCGTACCGCCTCTGCATCTAGAAGAATTGTTGAAAGGACACCACCCATCCTCTCCTTGAAGGAACTTCTGGCTGCACCTAGGTCGGCCGATGTTGATATGTCTGTCGCAAGCACAAGCCTTGCTTGGCCGTTCAGCCCAGAACACTTTGACCTGTAGCCAATTGACAAAAAACTTCATTACGGGTTCTTCGTTGCAGTCTGCCAGGTCACCTGCCATCCATGCCGACAGCTGCTGTCGCATACCGATAAGTAAGCCGCTACCAGTAATCAATACGATAGGGCAGCGAACTATTTCTGTCTAGTCCTTAGGCAGCGGTAGTCAGGTTTGGGGCGCCGAAGGGTGATATCTCTTGCAAAAGGAAAAACATGCGCTGCTCTCTCGCTGCTTACAAGTTTGGAAGGCTGCTGGAGCTGAACGATATGACTTGGCCCAATTTGTTAAGTATCCTTACTTTGACGTTTGACGGTCTACCTTCTATTTTAGCCCGCACCCTGCCATATTCGCCAGCACACACAGCATGGCGATTTTAAAGCGCCCGTGCGTCCGTACATTTTCTGGAACCTCCCTGCTTCCCTAGGAACGCAAAAGGCATCTTCCACAGCAGCATCAAAGGTGCGGTCTTTATATAGACCTACCCCAGCCTACCCCATGCTCTTTCTTAACAAGCATAAATTATCGCACGACGTGCTTTACCTTGCCGCGTCACCCGGCGTGCTAGTGTGGCGTCATGCTGTGCTAGGATTAAAGGTATCAAGTGGGTCTTAAACTAAGCTGATACGGCCGCTTACGGAGGTTTACATGGTAATGCACCCCGCTCTGGAGGCTCTCCTGGAAGAAGCACCGCTACAAGTTCTGCGCGACGTTGCAGCGAAGAGCGGCATGCACAGTAACGATTCGTTCAGCATCTTGACAGCAGTCTGAGCGCACATGGTGCAACTTCCATGCAGTCATCCTCTGTCGATTGTGAGGTCGGTCACCGCTGCGTTAGCGGGCTCCGGCAAAGGGGCCTAAGGCGTTCCGTTAGGAGGGACAGCGGGGTCCTCGGGTCGTAGCCAAGCACCAGCTTTAAGGAGAGAACCCAGTGGATGCTTGTACGCCTGCCAAGTTGTAGATGAATGAACCGAATTTGCTTGCTTGCGGCATTCGTACGAACATGGGTCGGGTAGGGTTGCCCTCACTTACATCCAACCAGCAGTCCACCGGTCCACCTGCCAAAACGGCTACCATCCCCGTTCAGGGGTTGGGGAAGGGCGGTGGCACGGGTACGTCCATGTTCAGGTGTGGGCGCAGATCGGCGGCAGGGGTCCCATTTTCTGCTATCTTAGCGGGCCCCCATTCCAATCCCGGTTGCCCGCAGCTCGGGACATGTCGGACCCTCACTCACCACCTTGGGACTCGGTTCTGCCCATCTGCCGCACCCTTTCCCTTCCTTAACACCACCGCCGCGTTGCATCCCTATCACGCCAGCCAGCCATGTGCACTAGCTAGCGCACGCGCACAGTCCATGGAGTGTCCTGGACTGTTGCTTGGGTAAACCAGCTACTATATGCCGCACTCGTCGGGTACATTGAAGCCATCCCACAACACTAAGTGTGCGCTAGTGGCACACTGGTGCAACAGCTTGCATCTTCATACAATGAGTCGAATTGGTAGATGGTCTAACGTTAGGAGAGAGCGATACGCGACTTGAGGGGTTGTAGGGTAGGCGAGCGGTCGGGCACCGTCGCCGTCCTGGCCCCTTGCTTGCAGCCACTTGCGGCTCGGCAACATATGTATATGATTAATTAATTTAAGGTGACCGCATGTTATTTCCTATAGGATAGACCCGGACAGGTACATCTGACACAAGGCCCACTTTCATACATCCTGGCCTGGCGCGAACTAGATAACTTGCCGCTTCAACTCTTATCCACATAACCTCTTCAGGCAGCTTTTCTTTCCGCCGATAAACTGAAGCTTAAAGCACTTTCTATCTCAGGGTACAGGCCAAACTGACGCGCGCCCTTTGCCACCAGAGCTTCAACCTGCAACAAGTCCAATACGTACAAATTAGAAGCACATCGCGTGATCAAGGTGTGTTCGCGTTTACCGTGTCGCATTTCCTTGCTTTCTGACTCCTCCACTGCCAGTCCAAGGCTGGGCCACGCACCTTCCAGACTGTGTGTTGCCTAGGATGTAACCGTAATCACATCAGTGAACACCTGGATTAAACAGCTGCCAGCCGATGTTTGTTAAGACAAGGGTTTCCTGGCGGTTTGGCCTCTTTTGGTATATCGGTTTGCAAGCGAGTCGATTGGCACAAATCTGCGAATTTTGTTCCTTGCAGTAAGCGGTAATGGAGGCAACCGCTTCTTCACTTCCCTCACCGCGCGACGACCGCGTGGAAAATGGGTGGACGCTCATCGAGCGGCCTGCGACTGCGCCTGACGTTACAGAGGAGCCAACTGAGTCCAGGTAAATCGAAACGTGGTTTATTCGTTGCGTCTTTTGAAAGAAACCTTATCCTTAGGTGTGACGTCGTCCGCTCGTGGTCCATCGTATGCAGGCCGCGCCCTGCCAGCCCCACTCCAGAGGCAACGCCCGAAACTCCTGCGGAGCGAGAGGAAATACCGGACGGCTTGAAGTCGCCTGAGGTAAGACTTGCTTGGTAGCGTTGGCTCTGTTGAAACGCGGTCGTTGGACCCTGACTTAACAGTCATGCACTTCTCGCTCGCGCTTTCCCAGAGCGAGCGCCTGGCTGACGATTTGCTGCGGGAGCCATTCCAAGCTGGACTACCGGTACCTCTGCAACTTCAGGTGGGGATAGCTTCATAGTGTAGCCCGCGCGCACTTGACACAGCGCTTCGCCTTGCTTGGCGAATTTTTCGTGCAGAGCTATGCCAAGCTGTAGATGCGTGCACATCTCTACTTCTAAATAATTTCGTCCCATTAACACTTTGGCCCTTTACCCTGCCTTTCACAAGTTGCATTGTGGTCGCTCCCAGCATACAACACTTAGTACGCGCCCTTCCGTCTTCACAACTGTCTCTGGGTACCCGTGAACACCGGGGTTAAACCGACGAAATTTCTGTTTTCATCTTCCCCCGCAGCTCCCAGTGGCTCCCGCCATCGCCGCTGTGGAAGAGCCATCCACCCCCACTGGCGCCTCCGGGCCGCACCTGGGCGGTTCCTGCGGCGATTTGGACTGCATGCACCTCCTGACTCGCGATGACCCCGTCACCTGCCCCGGTGAAGACGCCGCGGCTGCAGCACCCAGCTGCTCCAGCTTCACCGGCAGCGCATGGACGTTTGAGCGCCAACGGGAGCGCATGCGTGCTGCCAGCCGGTTGTCCGGAGAGGGCGCGCTGGAGGGCTTCCAGGACCCGCAGGCACGTCCTCAGGGTGAAGTAAGTTCAACTTGTGTCTTTGGCCAAACCATGACCTAGCCTTAGCGCTAACCCTTACTGGCCGTCTGCAGAGGGCTGCAGGCACGCGGTGCGGTCAATGTCTGCTGGACCGTTTGTCGTCCCCCTAACCCAATTGAGTCTGTTGAGTGCCGGAAAACATTAATCGACTTGCCAGCACTTGCACGCACTAACGCTTCCGGCATGCTCCCCACCCTCCCACGACCCAGATGGACGGCGGTGATGCAGACGCCCACAGCGGCACCGACTCGGCAGCCGAGGCTGAGGGCAACGCCAGCGACTCCAGCTCGGCCCTGCGCGGCTCCGTGCTGTCGGCGTCCCTGGGCTGGGACGTGCTGCTGTCTGGCATGTGGAGCGACATGGTGCGCGAGTGGGAGGATGTGCGGGCGCTGCTGGCCACCTCGGCGGCGGCGCTGTGGGAGCGCATGCAGGAGGGGCGCCTGGCGGTGGAGGAGTGGGTGGCATCGGTGCGGGCGTCGGCGCATCAGGTGCGATGGGGTTGCTGCTAATGTGGACAAGCAGCGGGGCAAGGAGGGCTTAGTGGCACCAGCTGCTGCCTTGGCGCCTTGCACCTTCCATTTGTAGGCAAACATGCTTGTAATGGAACGTTTACTTATGGTTCATACGGTATCAGCGTAATCCTCCGTTTTCCGCACGTCTTCCCCTCCCAGGCCGCCAAGTCGGTGGGTCGCAGCGGCTGCCCGCTGTGGGCGCTGGTGGGGGTGAGCGGGCTGGCCGCCATGACGCTGGCGGCGCTGGCCTCGCAGATGGTGACCAACCGCCGCCTGGCCCTGCAGCTGCGCCAGCGGGACAGGGTGAGTCGGCGGAGTAAAGGACTAATGACGCTGGGACGGGACCCTTGGGTCGCTATCTTTCCCCTGCTACCTGGGTTCCTTGCCCTTGCCGGTCCCTTTAACCCTGTCGTTACCCATCCCTCCTGCCCTCCCTGCCGCCGTAGGACCTGGCCCGCCTGGTGGTCAAGATCCTCAACCTGCAGGACGCGCTGCAGAGCGCCGCACGCGCCGCCGCCGTGCCGCTGATGCGCCACCCCTCCCTGGAGCGCTTCGCCACCACCACCCTCATCGGCATGGTGTGAGGCACACCGCGGGCGCCCAAGGGCGACTCGGGAGGAGGGATGAGAACACGTGCCGAGGGCTGGCGGGAAGGCCTTCCATGCGCTGTGTTTGCACTGCTGTGCTGCTGTGCTTCTGATTGTCATCTTCGACGGAGAATTGCTTCGTACCCCTTTGGCTTAACAACCTGTGTACAAAATGTTGAATGTTGCTTCGTGCGCTCCTAAATGGTGTTTGTCTGCTGCCATCCTTTGCTTTTATACTTGCGTGTGTAGAGTTGTTGCACTAGTCAAGCTAGAGGGCTGTTTTTTAGTGTGTGTTTTGAGGAGAGCTTTATCCCCCAGTCGGTTTACTGCTATCGGTGCTGCATTGGCCATGTAACCGACATTTCGTGTTGGGCCGTTCTTGCGCACTGTGGAGTGCCTGGGGTCTGTCCATACTGTACCAATCCTGAAGTGTACTAAATGAGGTGGTGTGATGGGGCTGTTGAGTTGTACTTGGTTCCGGCTCCGCCCCGGGCGGCATAGACGCACCCCTGCGCAATAGCTTGGTCGAGGCGTAGGAGTGTGCCGTTGTACAATAGCGCTTCGGGAGTGTTGGAGCGTTGCAGTTGACGTGAAGTGTTGCCTGCTAGTGTGTGGAAGAAAAAGAGTGAGACGAGAGTTGTAGCGCGCTGGGGCTTTTGTACCATTATGTCAAGTCCGTGCTTTTACGTTGCGTTTTAATTGTGTCCGGTTGCTGCACGGCCACACGACACAGCCTCTTCTTAAAGGGTGGAGCTCTGCTGTCATCCTGTCGCAAATATCATTCCCTTGCAGTACCCTCTGTTGCGGAGCGGCGGGGCGCTTACAGCGCAAGGTTTGACGGGCTGTGCTGACGTTGCTTGACACATTACAGTGGAAGAAAAAGTACTCGAGGGGCTTCATAAGGCCCCGTTGACGTTTTGCAGTCATTGCGTCAATATACATTGTCTAGGGGTGTGCCGGGGCTTTCACCTTGTTGCCGACTGTAGCGGTTGTTTGTTGCAGGCGGTTGGCCGGACAAACTGTTGAGAGCGTCTGTTTGGTGCCCCTGCGCTTCTTTCTCCCTTCCTTCCTCGGCTTACTATGCCAACAAGGTTCCCACCATGTGCTACTGAGGGCGTTCCGCAGTCGTTGTACTTTTTTGTTGCAGTTGCTGTTGCCGCTATCAGCCCACCTCCACTCCTCAACCGTGTGTACAGTAATGGTGGTTCCAATGGAAGGAGGTCGAGTAGGGAGCATATCTATATCCCCAGGTTTAAGCTTACTCAGGCATGACGCTATTGCCAGCCTGTCTTAGGAATGACTGCCCATCGCCTCTGCCCGTCATTGGAGGGGTGTAGTTTGTTGCTAGTGATGGCCGAACTGTTGAAACCTGACTGGCCTCCTTCTATGGCATGGGGTTAGTAGTCGGTCGGTTCTGACCTAGTCTTCTTGGTCACTGGAAGCCCTTGTCACTGTATCATAAACGGGTACAGAGCCTGGGGCAAGGCCCCCCAACCCGTACCCTTTTCTTCAAGGGCCGGTGCAAGTGGACATAGGCACGTCTCCAACGCTATTGGGATTCTCAAATGGCCACGGTTACGGGCACACGACACGATGTGGCGGTAGGACTGACGTAGGTTACGGTTTGCCGGAGTAATACGGTACTTCGGCACGCATGGAATTAAGCTGTGCCCGCTTCCTAAGCTGTGCCAGCTTTTGGGGGCACAGCAATGTCGTCACGGTCCCATGTGCGAATTACTGTGAGCAGGTGGTGGTAGGAGTCTGGTTGTTTGCCATCTCAACAAAGTGGGTGGAAGGACTCACTCAGGGCAACGAAAGTGCATGTTTGCTTTCGCCGCCTTTTGAACATTGTACGAATAATGTCAGGAGAGATATGTTGCGTATTGCAGCTCGCTCTGTCTATTTCCCCATGTAAGTACCGGTATTGGATGTGGAGGCCTGTCGCATACGCAGACACGCTAGGCTTAGGGTTTCGTTGCAGACATTAACCAAGTGATGTCAGAGGCCCAAGGCGGCATGCGCACGCTACACGGTCAAGGCAAGCCCCAGCTATTCCCACAGGTGCCATCATGATCTTTTAGTCGTTTGCGTGATTGGGTTTCAGCAGCCCGCTCGAGGAGAGCGCGAACAGCGCTCAAAACGCACAAGAGGAGCCACAAGGGTATTAGCCTCCGCTCACACCTTCTGAGGGCGCTACTCTGGAGCGGTAGCACCAGCAACACTCTCGAGAGAAATATCTCATTCACCTAGAAGAATTCCCATGGGAAACAATTGAACAGCGGTAACTACAGCCACAGCCTCACCCAAACCTAAAGATTTTGCCTTACACGCTTGCATGCATCGCACTTAACGGCCTCGCCAGCCACAACTACCGGTACCTTGAAATACAGTCCACACGCAGATACACACTCGCCGTATCAAGCTAAAAGGCTGCTACAGAAATGCACCATGTTGTCCGGTAAAGAGCATAAACCCTGCTCGACAACGCTCTCCACAAAAGAAGGCAACACCATTTCAGTCCGGACTTTATGCGCACGTGCGCCGTACGGATCACACCCCTGCCTGCCGAGTTGGAGGGAGGGAAGCCGCACGCGTTTACCATACACCTGCAAACTACTACGCTTGTGGGGACTGGCTCGCCCCGAAACCATCTCCGCACCTCCCCCCCCAAACCGCCGTTCCAGCACTCCTATTAGACCAAGCGTCAACACAACAAAAGGCACCTGCCACTCAGATCGAAACAAACAAACAGGGACAAGTGATTCAACACACGCCGCGCCGCACTTCACATCGCGCGCGCGGATTCAGTCCGTGTTCTGTTCCTCTACCTGAGCAGTGTCCGTACGGATGACAATGTCAATCTGTTGTCTTGTACGAGCGAGCGGAACATGGGCCCTTCAATCACACGGTACGAACCCCTCACCGAGAGCTGCACCCATGCGTCTATCCTCTGGACAATCGCCGCACAAGAGCCCTTCCTCACCCAAAGGATGAAACCCCCATATCTTCTCATCCCTCCTCCCCAACCCCTAGCATCAATCGTCTCGCACCACACATACCAACCTTCGCGGTGTTCCGGCGGTTCTCCCAAAACTTGACTTCATAGGGTCTCTACAGGGGCCTCCCCGAGTCTTCGCCCTGCTAGCACCATATGCAGTATATTTGCCACTAATCGAATCCTACCTACTCACATTGTCTCTAGGGCCGTGGCCGCAACAAGCAGCACAAACGAGCTAAGAAACATGCACAACAAAAACACTACAGGACGCTATACACCGTGGAAAAGGAGACAACTGTACGGTGACGCCAATCACCCCACCACCACCACCACACACGGACGCACACTCACAGGACAAACGAGCTCTAAACACGTTCGGAACGAGACACAATCCAAGCTGTCCGGCTGCCACCTCCATATTTCGCTCTACCGCTCCCCGCGCCAATAAAACACCCCAATCGCGCCACCCACGGCTCATCCGCATCGCTGAAACACTCCTCGCTATTCGCTTCGTTCCTCTTCGCGTTCACATCGGTGCTTAGTTCGCAGGCACACGAACGGGTGGCAGGACTCTGTACGGCGGCGAGGGGCCACCTCACTCCGTGTCCGAGTCACGCCCTGCCACACATCCCGACGCATGGCGACATACAACGTCGCGAAGAAGTGGCACAACCACCATTACCAGAAGCACCTGTGCCCTCGCCCAGCGTCCCTCCTGCCGTCAACGTCCGCCCGCCCCCGCCGCCGCCGCTACTGCTGCTAACAAGGGAGGACCCGTATGCCAAACCCGCCGCCACCGCCACTGCTGCTGTACTGCATCTGCCGCCGCCGCCGCCAACGCCAGGATGCACAGGAGCGCTGCCACGCAGACATCGCACCAGCTTCGGACATGACCCACATGAAGCATCATGTCATAGCATGTTCATCGCTGCCGACCTCGATGCTGTTGCTGGCTGCCTGCTGCCAGTCTGGGGAGCTGCACCTGCGCCCGCCCCCGGCTGCCCGGCCGCCTGCCCGGCTGACCCGCTAGCTCCCCTGCTGCCCTGGCCACCGCCACCCCCACCTGCCTCTGCTGCGGCTTCTGCTGCTGCTGTTGGTGCAGGTGCTGCTGCTGCTGCTGCTGTGTTTGTTGTTGTCGTACCAACTGCTTTCTCAGCGCATGCTCACCCTTCGCCTGCAGCAGCTGCTGCTGTTGCTGCTGGGGTCGTAATGTCCGCTGAGAGGGCTGCTGCAGATGCTGTGGGTGTTGGTGGGGGCGTTGTTGAGCGTTCTGAGGCGGGGAAAGCGTGTTCGCTCTTGCCGCCCTTGCAGCCTGTGCCGCTGTCATGGTGCCAAAGGTTGTCGTCGTTTTGCCGGTCGCTATGGCAACCGCGTCCCTGCGGCCGGTCTGCATCCCGCAAGAAGGCCCCGGACCCGGTGCTTGGCGACGAGCAACAGGGGCGGGGACGGCTGCGGTGGCGGCGGTGACGGCAGCTGCGGCTGCAGCATTAGTGGCGGTGGCGGCGGTTGGCTGCTACGGAGCCCCGCTGTACTGCAATCGTACGGCAATGACGGTGGTGTTGTCCCCCGACCCGCGGTTCCGTACGGCCTCCCGTACAAGCGCCTCGGAAAGCTTTGTGGCTGAGAGCTGGTGCTGCGCCCGGCAGAACATGGCGACCTCCTCGTTCGTCATCACGTCCTGGGGGCGGCAGCGAGGGGATGCGGGGTGTGTGCGGCGGCCGGTGTGTGTGTGTGGGGGGGGGGTGTTCCGGTTTGCAAACACAACAGCAAAACAGGGATGAGGATTCAGCCTGCCAAGAAGCAAGTTCGTACTTTCTAAGGCTCACACTTGCAAGTTTGCACCAGGGAATACAGACAGTAAACACAGGAACCACCCCTGCCACCAGCCACCCCTAAGCCATGTCCGAAAAGCCAAGCATTCCTCACTGCTTTTGTCGCTACCGCACGAGCCCCGTACGTACATAGCCCTCTCCCGGACTCACCCACAGCCCATCCGAAGCGATAATGAGCCAGCGGTCCCGGCGCTGCAGCTGCCGGCACTGAACCGTGGGTCGGCAGGACACGTAGCGCGCGAAGTCGCTGTCACCAATGGCCCGGGCCACCGCCAGACTGCCGTCGATGCGCCAGGTGCCGAACAACTGGATGACGGTACCGCCGGCAGCCTGCAGGTCGGTGTACGGAGGTGTACGACACAGCCGGAGGGGTAACTAACTGGTTAACCGTCCACTTTAAGCCATACCTTTCAGCCCTTCACTTCTCCTTTCCTCTCCTCCGTTTCCTCTCCCTCCCTCACCCCCATCCTCCCACCTGCACCCTCCGCGTCTCCTCACTCGTCTTCGCCGGCCCCAGCTTGTGATCCACCGACAGCTGCGTCGCCTCCGTGCGCCCGCCCAGCGCACTGCTCGGCCCGCCGCCCGCCATGCCCGGCCCATCCATGTCGTCCCAGCTCACCAGAATCGTCCGGCTGTCCCCCACATTCGCCGACAACACCCACGGCACCCCGCCCGACTGCACCAGCAGCGCCATGGCGACGCAGGAGCCGGCTGTCATGCGGCCCGCTGCGGCCGCGTTGCCGCATGCTGTGAAGACGTCGTCCAGCACGCTGGCCACGTCGTTGGGCGAGCCGCCGCCCGTGATGAGCTGCTGCACCGCCTCCATGGCGCGGTTGAGCAGGCAGTAGGAGGAGGAGAGCCAGTGGGACACCTGCTTGCCGCCTGGGGGAGGGGTGGGAGAGGTGGGAGGGGAGGTGGAGGGGGGTGAGAGGGTGTGGCAAAAGGTGGCGGAGAGGTGTCGCTATCAGCTGCACCGCTACAAGGCAGCCAGCACATGACACCCATCGCACCCATCCCTACCCCTGTGACCAAAGTCCTGCCCCTACTACCGTAACCCCCTCATCCTCCTCCAGTCCTCCCACTCCTCCCCATTGGATATCTCCTCCTCCCCTCCCTCCGCCCCACCATGTCCGTCGTACACCGCCGCCCCCAGCATCACATTGGGCAGGTGGCTGAGCCCGGGTGTGGTGCTGCTGTCGGCTATGGAGCGGTAGTCCTCCTGGTAGCCGCGACTGCCCATGGACTGGTTGGACCCCACGGAGAAGGTCAGGCCGGGCACGGTGGGGTGGGTGCCGCCGCCGCCGCGGTGGCCGGCGGGAGGCACCGGGGCAGCACCGCCACCGGCGCCTCCTCCAGGTCTCCCGCCGGCGGGCATGGTGGCCAGCAGCCCTCCATGGTGGTTGTGGTGGGTTGTGCCGCTGCCGGGGCGGCTGAGGGGGACCGTGGCGCTGAGGCCGGCAGCAGCAGCGCCGGAGGGACCTCCGGAGGTGCTGTTGCGCATGGTTCCGGAGCCGATGACGCTCAGGCTGGTGCCGGGGGCGGCGGCGGCAGTGGTGCCGCTGGTGGATACGTTGGGGCTGCTGCGAATGGTGGCGTCCACCAAGCGGCCGATGCCGGCGATGACGCCGCCAGAGGCGGTGTTGTTGAGGGAGCCGCTGTTTTTGCGGGAGGGAGTGGTGGTGGTTACGGTGTAGCCGGGCATGCCGAGCTTGGCTCCGGAACCCAACGGAGCGCTGCGCCCTGGTGTCTGAGCGGAGGGGCGACCGGCGGGTAGGGAGTTGTTGGGGTTGGCGGTGGGCGTGGGGGGGTCGCTGTTTGTGCGCGCCCCAGCAGGGGCTTTCGGACTTGCAAAGATTGACGGTTGCAAGTAGGGGATGCCATTGGCACCGTTGGGCAGCGTCCTGCCATTGGTGCCATAGCCGAGACCGTTAAGAGCTGCATGCACCCCTGCCCCTGATAAGAACGTCTGCTGGTTGAGACCTTCGGGCTGCTTCTGCGAAGGGAGGGCCGCGGGACATTGAGACATGACAGGGATAAGCGATCGACAGAGCTTTAGGGCGCCGATCTACTCACTCTGCCTGCTCCGAAGGGACTCTGAAAGCGTTGGTTTTGACGACTCATGCCCAGAATGAGGGCTGCTGGATATATCACTGATGGCGCAGCGCCCTAGGGCTGCAGCTTTGCACTGCTATATATGATCTAAGCTCTAATTACGGCGGCCCCATGTGTGAACGCGTGCGTACAAGTGGAGGAGATAGCCCTAACAATCCTCGCGACTAGAGTCTCAGTCGCGGTTTGAGCGCTCGCCAAAAGGCTATTATTAAGCAGGAGTGAATTCACTGACAAAACGACGAGAAATCAGGAATTGGAACTGCGCAAGAATACTTTTTTAGTTTCCGTCAAGCCGGATAACCTATCCACTTTAGAACTATCCAAAGCGCCTACAGGTGATCGGTGCAAAATTTGCAATGTGCTGGCTTTGTCTTCCGAAATGTATAACTCGCTGCGAGCTATGCGCCTACACCGCGGGCCCGCCGTACAGATAGGCTTTGCAGCAGACTGCACAGCTTTGGCGATTTCCCCACAAAAAACGTGCCGAACTCTCTTGGCAGCAAAGTAAGCTTCTATCATTTCTTTTCATGCACACGCGACTGTGCCAGTGCAAGCCGCCTCTGAGGACCCGCGGGACAACGGAGTGTTTGGGGCTGACCCCTGTGCGTTCAGCTAGCACTTGACAATGTCTATTATCACAACCACCTTCTAAGGGTTGGAGTGCCGCCGGGTAATACGCCAGGTGAAATACCAGCTACGCAAAGCTTGGTATCATCATTTTTGGGCAGTAACACCCATAACCCTTGGCTGCAATCTTGAGGACACGGCCAAGATATCGTGCATAGTCCGGGCTAATGCGCACCTGTAACATATCTGCGTTATCTCCCCGTTAACCGACAACGGCCAGCCGTACTCATCAGGAGCGTGCAGACCTCCTGTCCGCCACAGGACCCGCTTAGCGTCCTCCTAACACAGAGCCCCCCCCAGAGGACAAGGACGGCAGCAGCACTCCCCTCCAGCCATCCCCCCTCTCACTGTACAGAGCTGCTCCACCGCGACCTGCTTCGCATGCGGCTTCGCATGCGGCTTCGCATGCGGCTTTGGAGGCTACCTTCCGCGGCTCAGTTTATCTAGTCCCCCACTCGATCAGCCGCCACCACCACCACCACCGCCAGTAGCTCTCCTCCCCCCCCACCCAATCCTCGCCCCCCAACCCCTCGCTTCCGCCCTCATCACGACACCATGACAAGCCCCCTCCTCCTCCACTCCTCTCCACAACCCCCTTGTATATCACACAATCCTACCCTCCCTCCTTGCCCTCCTCAAGCCCTCCTCCTCACCTCCGCCCCCTCGCCCCCGCCCCCGCCTGCCCCTGCCCCTGCGGCGGCACCTCCGCCCGCCCCAGCCTCACGTACGGCGCCAGCATGCTGCCGAAGAGTCCCACCAGGCTGGCCCCCTCGTAGTGCCGCCCCTCCGCCACCCGGCAGCTCGCCTCCACCACCCACCCGCCCACTCGCCGAACACTGCCCGCGTCGCGCAGCACGTGCGGCTCCTGCAGCGAGTACACCACTGCGAGGATCACCTGGGGGGGGGAGGCGGAGGGGGAGGGGAAAGAACAATTACCGGTATGGCAGGCGAGGCAAGCACCTGGGGGGGGGCACATGGGCGCCCGAGGCAGGTCGAGTGACATGTGCGCTGCAGGCGGGCTGGGCGCCTGCCCCGCACTCCCCGCACACGCAGACAGCGCCTGCAGTACGTTCCTACTCGCTGCCAGTTTTCTCAACACACGCACAGACGGACGCGGCAGCCGCAGGTGTATGCAGTGGGCCCTGCTGCTCAACGCCGTCCCCCCCAACACCACAGGCTGGCTGGCCGCTGCAAACCGCGCGCTGTGCGGCTACCTTAATCTCCTGCCCGTGGAACACGATGTTGTACTCGTTGCCCTCGCGGTAGGTCTCGTACTCCAGCTTGCCGCCCAGCGTCTGCAGGGGGAAGGAGTGGGAGCAGCAGCAAGGGGGGGAGGGGAGCAGCAGCAAGGGGGGAAGGGGAGCAGCAGCAAGGGGGGGGAGTGGGAGCAGCAGCAAGGGGGGGAGTGGGAGCAGCAGCAAGGGGGGGAGTGGGAGCAGCAGCAAGGGGGGGAGGGGGGCAACGAGGCAACTGAGAGCTGTGTAACGAGCAGTGGGGGCGGAGCAGCAGGTGCGGGAGCAAAGAGGATCAAGCGGATCATCCGAATCCTCACGTCCTCCTACCTTGCTCCGTAGGGTTTTTCGGGGTTGATTCCCGCCCCGCCAGCCCCCCCCTCACCCCCCTGGTGAAGCCTCGTCATGCAGCTCGTCACTTTCTCCCTTCCCTCCCCCCGCCGGCGGCGCGGCGCATGTCTCCCTAGTGTTACCACGCAAGGCGGCTTCTTCCTCAAGTCGTCTCGGTTTACGGTAAGCAACGATTCGGTAAGTAATTTGAGATGCGTGTTATTAGTGCCTCCGAATGCGCTCACTGCATGAGTCGGGATATGGGATTGGGATTCGTTGTTTCACTTTTATATAATTTTTCCCCCCTGTTCCCCCACCTTCCAGAAGTCCAGCACGCCCGCCCCCCAGCACCCCGCCTCCGCCACCTCGCGCATGGAGGCGGGCAGGCTGTTGAGCGCGGGGCCCTGCAGCGGGGGGCCCTCGTAGCGCACCTCCCACCTGGGGAGGGGGGAAGGTGGAGGCGGGGTGGGGGGCCGGGGGAAAGGTAAAGAGGGGAGGGGAGGGGGAGGGACCCAGCATGTCCGACTCCACACGCGCCCGGACACTCCTCCCGCCTCCCCTACCGCACCTCTGTCCCCACCATCACCAGCTCCCCACCTCCCCCTGTACCTTGCACCCCCCCTCCCTCCCCACCCGCCCCCCCGCCCCCACCTCTCCGGCGGGTCATCCAGGAAGGGGTGTCGTGGCCCCCCCGCCCCCGGCCCCCCGTGGTGGCTGGCGACCACATTCCCGGGCAGCCGCCGCACCAGCCGCAGCTGCGTGCTGCTGCCGCCCGGAGGCGCACCGCCCCCAGCTGGCGGCGGCAGCGGCAACCGGAGTACGACAGTGTGGGTTGCATGGGAGCTGTACGACGCGCACAGGGAGCGCAGGAGGTTGGCGAGTTCGTTAATGGCTTCGGGGCGTTCAACCACTCCAACTGCCCGGCATTCGGTGATGGTAGGGGTGGCGGTTGTGGTGGTTGGGGTGGTGGTGGAGGAGGGGTTGGTGGCGGCGGCGGGGTTGGCGGGGAGGCTGGCGGAGGAGGGGTTGCCGGCGATAGCGGCGCTCATGGCTGAGGCGCCTTTGGGGGGAAGAGGAAGATCGGAAGTGGAGGCGGCAAAGAGGAAATGTGTGGGAACGGGCGGGCCGAGGAAATAAAGGGTAGGGGGTGGAGCAGGCAGACAGCAGGAGGGAGGATGCAGTCGGCAGAGCTCGGAGGTGCCGGCGGGGCATGTCGCCCTGGGACGTATGCCTAGACAGCTGAGCCGCAGGTATGTTCTTGGTAAAACCTACCTTCGTATACCGTCGCAGCGCCTGTGCGTCGCTTTAGACAGACGCTGTTCGTGCGTTAGATTTCGCTGCTGTCGTGCCACAAATGCCCAATGGGCGTTGCGTGTCTCCCGCCGAAGGCAAGAAATGACTGTTTGCTAACTAAGCTTGATCACCCCGCAGCGTTAGGATGGAAGCTAATGGTGATCAAGCCCTTCGCAGCTGTCCCTTGAAGTGATGCAGACCTTCGGAAACGCCCAGTATCTACTTGACTTAGAGAATAGAACGCATCTCCAGCTATGAACTAACTGTGCTTTTAGGATTTGCAGCTATTGCAGGGGAGACTCACATACATCCAAGCAAGCTTGCACAATCAGTTTGCGTGGCCTTGTATGAACATGAGAACTGTTTACAAAGAGAACTAATGTGACAAGCGAGAGGTTGCCCGGGGCAATTGGCAATTGCCAATGACGCACATGCGCGCACTCTCTGCTGGCCAACCAGTCCTGCCGCGATCACAAGCCTGAATATGTGCACATATGCCCTTACAGGCACATAAATTTGCCGTTGCACCTCGACGTTGGTGTTCACATCTACAGATACCACCGAATCGAGTCTGGAACCAACCACTAAGCTGGAAACCCTAGTGCCGTACACTAGCGCGGCAGGGTACATGCATGCCGACGACTTCGTTTGGCATGTCAACCTGCTCACGTGAAGTTCATTAAGGACCTTACCCTGAAGACTTAGCCATCTTGCGCTTCTGTGGCAACGTAGCAAGTTGGCAAAGTTAACCATGAGCCACGTTGGCAGGCACTACGCGGAACCGTGACATTTAAGTATACAGTAACTGCCAGATAAAAAATTCTGCTTGAAACCCTTGCTCGCTTAGGTAGCCCCCGATAAAGAAAATGCAAGGTTAGAACCGACAGGATAACTTTGAAAGCGGGCATACCTCGTCCTTCATACAGTAGCTTCCAAGGGCATTTGGCAAGGAGAACAATGTTAGCTGCAGCTATTTTGGCCAAGATGGTTGTCCTTGGGGCGTTCCTGGGTGTTGCTGTGGGCTGGCTCCTACGAAGCGCCTACACCAACTTAAGCGCCCAAGAGCACGGTCCCCACGGCACCTGCGGACTCGGCAGCGACGGCACGGCATTTCGGGACGAGGACTTCACACCAGCGCGGAGACGCCGTGGCGGCCTATCAGGCAGCAGCCGGGAAGCACAGCCAAAAGCGCCAGCACACGACAGCGGCGGCCTGGATGGCGCGTGCGTGGTTTGCCATGACCGTACGGCAGTCATGGGATACGTGCATGTGTATGCCGTACATTGCTGTCTGTGTCGGGTATGTTTGCGGGAGCTGCAGAGGAGGGGCCAGGCGCGGCGTTGTCCGATGTGCAATCAGGCGGCTATGCCGGTTCAGGTTGTTGGGACGTAAGTTCGCATGGAAGATGCGGAAGGATAATCTGTAGGGCCCGGCACCTGGATTTTGTAGTACTAGAGCATGTGTGCGTTTTTCTGTAGCGCAGGCATCAGGCGGTTGTACGGCGATTGTAGGATAGGGCGCTTTTCCCAGCTGTTGCCAACATGAGAGAAGATATATCCGTGAGAAGGTTGGATGAAGTTGTCATGTTAGCAACCAATTGTACTTGACAGTTTGCAGATCGGTTTCGGAGGAGTTTCTTACTGTAGCTGGTTGTATTATACGACAGTTGGGTTGCGCCAGATGCGCGGGCAACTAGATATGGGCGAGGGTGACAGGTTGCCAAGATACGACCCATGGGCCATGTTCACATGGGCACAATGGCTCTCCCCCCTTCCACCTCCTCCCCCTCGTCCTTCATTTTAAGCATTTTATTTGGATCGATGCTCACGCCGGCCCCTTATGGCGGTCGAGTCTTTACCCATGTGTTACTTCGCCACACCACCACGCGGGGTGGTTTAATAACGGTACGAATAACGGTACGAACGGATGCATGCGAAGGGAGGTGCTGAAGCTTTGATGAGCGAGGGAGCCAGGCACGCAATCACACAGGCATTGCTGCCTTGCTTGTGTCCTTCGTGGGTTGTCAGGTACCCTAGTACCTGTGAAGAGCTTACTGCTGGAGGTGCTCCCTTTAATATGCTTTGCTGAATGCCTCGACCAATCGTATGTTAAATAAAAAACATCGTGTGTGTGAGGAGGTTCAGCGTTATGAGTCCTCAACTTGAATGGGCTGATGTGCTCGGCACTTGCTCCCCGCGGCTAGCTGGCTGCGGTGCTTACTCGGATGCAAGTGTGCATTGGTACCCCGGGGGTGCCTCGCAGTTTTGGGAACCTCCTAAGCAGCTAGCTGCACCCAGTGTGCTGCTGCGGGATGCTTACGCCTGTCGTACCGGCATTGCTGTCACGCCTGTCAGGTTGTCGAGGGCTGAGTAGTGACATGTCGCTGCCTCATGTGGGTTGTAAGGCTCACCTGGCATGTTAACGAGGCTTTAGACCACCCTGTAACGCATGTTGTGGGTTCGTTGGTAAATTGGTAGATGCGTGTGACCCCTCCGCTGCAGAGCAACGCTCAGCACGAGTCCTGCCATTACAGAACCCGGTTAATTTCTAGGGTTTAAACACCCGTACCACCACCTGCCTCCTCCTTAACTGCCCTTTCTCTACCCCACGCACCGTACGGCCGAAAAATGGGACCGCACCTTTGTTCTTCTCTAAACTGCCGATTGAGTGACAAACCAGGCTATGTGGCCTCAAAGGAGGCCCAACGCCGACGCCCGCAAGGCTGTATGAATGTGAAACGAAAAGATACACACATGGATGGAACGCGCTGTAGGTGGGTGCGGGGCACGCCCCCTTCCCATCAGACCGGCCACCACAACGCAGCTCTCAGCCGACCCGACAATGGGAGATCCCCACAGAAGGTGAAGGATACGAGCACCCCACATCCACGATAACCACATGCACAGCATACACCATTAGGCGTACCTAGGAAAGAATGAGCAGGGAAATGAACGCCAAGCAACGTTAAGCTGGTCCTCCGGACGCTACGAGGGGTTTCGCTTCCCCCGCAATACCGGTGACTGACACGCACACAGTTAATACTCCTCCTCGCAACCACACCTCATGGCAGGCAAGTGCTACCGCCGGCGGTGGACAGCGTAGCATAAAACACACCAAGTGCCGGCGCCCAGCTCAGCTCAGTACTCACAGCTGAGCTGCTAATACAGAAGCAGCATATCTTTATCATGTTGCGTTGTGTGGCCTGCGCACAGCCCTTTACCGGCTGCATGCGCCCTCCCTCGCCCCTCTCCCAGGGATGAAACGCAAACCCAACATCCACACACCCACGCAAACACAAGACTCGCGGCTAGTCTTAACACAAGACATCAGCACTCCAAAATTTGCACGCCCGCAAAAGCGCGCAGCGGCACCCCGCTGTTAAGCGGGGGCCGGGTTACTACCAAGAGGCTTCAACCGGACTCGCTACAGCAGGGACAGCGGCCCCCACAGGGAGCTGCAACAGTCCGGTCACCTCGTACCCCCAACTCAGCAAGGTCGGAGGAGCGCCAGCGCCCCCCCCCCCCCCAGCCAACACATGCCCTCTCGAGCAACAGCAGCAGCTACCTTACTTGAGCATGAGCCTGAACAGCAGCAGCAGGGAGAGCAGGCAAGCTTGTGAGACAACAGGGCACGGACCAAGGGAAAAGGACGCTATGCTACTACAAGGGAAGCACGAAAGGAGGCCCTGCCAGCAGCTATACGGTACCGCTCGCCCACCCAACCACCCAGCCCGGCTTCCAAACGCAACCCCCCTCCCAACCTCATCCCACCCTAACCTTAGCCGTCCCATCCCACCACCGGCACTCACTCGAGCGAGTCATCGTAGTAGGTGGGGAAGAAGTCCTGCAGCGGGATCTGCACCAGCGGCCCCGCCCGCATGGCGCGCAGGGCGGCGGTGGTGGCGCGCGCACCCGCCACGGTGGTGACGGTGGGGATGGACATGCTGAGCGCCAGGCGGCGGAGCTCCTTGCCGTCACGCAGGTCGGCCTCGTCGCCGCTGGGGGGGGGGGGAAGAGGGGAGGAGGAGGGGAGGAGGGGCGAAGCGGAGTATTGAGAGACCTATGTTGCAGCATTGCTTTCTTACGGGGTCTTAGCTGACAGCAGGCTTACCCCACGCACCCCTACCCCTAAACAGCGCTCCCTGCTCCAATCTCCCCCCCCATCTCCCCACCTGGACGTCATCATGACCAGGGTGATCTCCCCGTTCTTCATGAGGTCCGCCGGGTTGGGTCGCCCCTCCTGGATCTTGAACACCTGCTCGCACGGCACTCCGGCGGCACGCAGCGCCTGGGCGGTACCGGCTGGGGGAGGGAGGGGAGGAGGGAGGGGGGGAGACGAGCTTAAGTTGAGCGGTCGTGGAGCAGATCGGTGTTGCACAGCACAGCAGAGCACAACACAGGACTCGTTCGTCACGGCTCGGCTGACAAGCGCCGCAGTACAGGTACACGCACTCAGCAGCTCCCAGTCAGCATGCGGAGCCACCACCCCACCCCCCACCCACTCGGCACATGAGACTGTGCTTCCTCTCCGAATTCCTTGTCCCCACCCACCTCCCACCCTCCCTTCCCAGAATCTTCCCCCCCCACACACACACACACGGTTCGTCAGTCGTTTCCTCCCCCTTCTCCCCCCAATCCCTTGCCCGCACTCACTGGTAGCCACCAGCCCGAAGCCCAGGTTGCCCAGGTCCCGTGCCACTGCAATGATCTCCGGCTTGTACTTGTCCGCCATGGACAGGAACACCTTGCCCGTCTTGGGCAGCCGCTGGCCCGCAGCGATCTGAGCCTTGGCGAAGGCGGCGGCGAACTCCTTGTCGATGCCCATCACCTCGCCCGTGGAGCGCATCTCAGGACCCAGCAGCGTGTCGGCACCTGGGGGGAGGGGGGAGGGAGGGAGGGGGGGACAGGAGGAGGGTAGAAGTAAGAAACTGATAAGGGAGGAGGGGGGGTCAAAGACCATACCAGACCATAGGAAACCACAGGCTAGGGCAAGGCAGTGGGGATAGGAGGCGGCAGGGTGCCACAAGGCAAAGTACGGAGGGGGGGGGGTAAATCTGATTCCTGCCGCAGCTCCCTCCACTTGGTGAATCACCCTGGCTCTTAATTCTCGGGTTTACGTCAGCTCCCGCCCCTTCCTGTTCTCCCCTCCCGTTCTCCCTACCCGCTCCCTATCCGCTCCCCCCCACCTGGGAACTTGTTGAAGGGCAGCACCACCTCCTTCACCGCCACGTGGGGCGGGATGGGCTCCTCGGTGAACCCAATCTCCGCCAGCGTCTTGCCTGTGAGTTGGGTGGAGGGGGTGGAGGGGGGGGGGGAATGTCAGGAACGGGGGGACGCCAAAGCTCGGTACTCGCGCACCAACAACAGAACCTGAGGACGGACCGTGCCTTACTGCTGCGTGCCCAACCCCGCCCCCCGCCTGCTGTCCCCGCCAGCCCCTCCCTCCTCCCCCCTTGTTTGTTGTTTCACTTTTATATAATTTTTTCCCCCCTTCCAGCTCACCCGACATGAGCAGCGAGGCGTACTTGGCAATGGGGTGACCAACCGCCTTGGCCACGAAGGGAACCGTGCTGCGGGGGGGGAGGAGGGGGGTGGGGGAAAAAAGAAATTCCAAAGTGTTGTGTGATAATGATACAAGTTGCTGAGGGGGAGGGGGAGTTGGGGTAGGAGGTGGGGGCGAAGGGGCGAGGTGGGCAGGGCAGTGGGTGGCATGTGGGGGGGTCATACGGGATTAACACAACGTGCATGTAAACTGGATTGGCCAATCGCCTAAACACGCAGGTAGCGTCCCACGGTACCGTGAAGAAACCGTGGGGGGAGACCTGGCCGCCTCTCCCTCCCCCCCTCTGCCCCCCCTTACCGCGATGCACGCGGGTTGGCCTCGATGATGTAGGGCGTCTCGTCCTGCACCGCAAACTGGATGTTGATGAGACCCACCACGTCCAGCGACTTGGCAACCGACACCGTCCAGGCCCTGAGGGAGGGAGGGAGGCGGGAAGGAAAGGGAGGGAGGCGGGATAAGGGGGGCAGGGAGACATGATAAGAGTGCCGAGTAAGGAGGGCAGAAGGATGGGAGTCATGGGGCAAGCAAACCAACAATACGCGCACACAACACGCGCGCATACCGGTCTGTAAGAAGATCCCATGTCCCGTATCCTCGCACCTCCCCCCCCTCCTCGTCCTCCTTCCCCCCCATTGAAAATGCATTCGGAATCCTCCTCCTCCTCTCTCCTCAACGTTCCTCCCTTCCCCCCTCCTCCTCCTCCCCTGTCCCCCCCCCACCTGATCTGCTCCAGCACCTTTGCGCTGATGTTCTGAGTGGGCAGCGAGCAGGCCGAGTCGCCCGAGTGGATGCCCGCCTGCTCAATGTGCTCCATGATGCCCGCAATCACCACGTTGCCCTGCACGTCGCACAGCGCGTCAACGTCCAGCTCCACTGCGCGGTCCAGGTACTTGTCGATCAGCACGGGGCGCTCGGGGTCCACCTCCACAGCAAAGGTGACGTAGCTGAGGGGAAGGGAAGGGGAGGGGGGGAGGGGAGGGGTGTTTGTAAAACTCGTGGAAGAAGAGTGAGTGCACTCTTGAGGACTGTTCAGATGCGGCCGTCTCCCCTTCCCAAACTTCCTTTGTGCCTCTTTAGGCGCCTCCAACGCACCTCCCTTGGGCCACTCGCCCTTCCTGGACGCCCCCTCCTGCCCCCCCTCCCTCACCGCTTGAGGTCATCATTGTTGTACAGGATCTCCATGGCCCGCCCGCCCAGCACGTAGGAGGGGCGGATCATGACCGGGTAGCCCAGCTTGTTGGCCTTGTCGAAGGCCTCGGCCTCGGACCTGGGGGGGGGGGTAGGGGGGAGGGGAGGGAGGAAGGGATGGAGGAAAAGAGGAGGTGTCAGACGGGTGGATATGGTACGTGACGAGGAGGCGCACCTCACACATAGGCGAGGGATGTCCGAGAGGGACAGCGTGCCCACATGCACCCCCGCTCCATGCCCACCCACACCATGCCCCGTACCCCCGTTCCATGCCCACCCCTTCGCCCCATGTTCCTTAACTCCGCCCCCGCATGCAGATCCCCCGCATGCAGATCCCCCGCATGCACCCCCACCTTGCCGAGCCTCCCGCCGGCTGCCTGATGTTGAGCTTCGTGAGCAGCTCCATCCAGCGGTCGCGGTCCTCCGCAATGTCAATGGACTCGGGCGAGGTGCCCCAGATGCGCACATTGCCGTTGCCTGAGGGGGAGGAAGGGGAGGGAGAGGGTTAACAAGGGGAGGAGTTGGGAGTCGAGAAGGGTCAGCGCTACCACCTGATTGCCGTACAACTACCAACCGTGTTACTCACTACGGGGCATTGGGATTCAGGTGCTTCGCTTGTCTTCTCCATACTTCGCTCCACCTCCCCACCGTCATAGCTGGGTATGCGTTGCGCTCCACCCCCCTCTCCCCTCTCCGCCTCCCCTCCCCTCTCTCTCGTTGCTTCACATTGCATTACATCCCCTCCCTCCCTCCCATTGGAATTTCTTTATTTCCCCTCCCTTCCCCTCTCACCCGACGCCGCGGGGATGGGGTTGGCCTTGAGCGCCCGGTCCAGGTCCATGGCAATCTTGAGCGGCGTCTGTCCGCCGAACTGCACGATCACACCCTCGGGCCGCTCCGCCTCGATCACGTTGAGCACGTCCTCGACTGTGGGGCAGGGTTAGGGGGGGGGAGGGGTCAGAGCGAATCATGTGGAACCACAAATTGGGATGGGAGAGGAGGCTTTGTGTTGTTTGGCCCATGCCGGGAGACTGGCTCCTAACTCCCACACGCGCAGCCAGTCTCCCTCGCTCCCTTCCTCGCTCGCTCGCTCCTCCATCCTTCCCCCCGCCCCCCACCCCCATCTCCACTATCATGGACAGCTTCATGCGGCACAGTTCATGCACCCCCCACCCCCTCCCGCAAAAAGCCTTGTCATACAGCTCGTCAGTTGCATCGTCAGTGTCTCATTATTTTTCACACCCCCTCCCGCACCCCCCATCCCCTCCCGCACCCCCCCACCCCCTCCTCGCACCCGTGATGGGCTCGAAGTAGAGGCGGGTGGAGGTGTCGTAGTCGGTCGACACGGTCTCCGGGTTGCAGTTCATCATGATGGTCTCGAAGCCCTGCTTCCTGTGTTTGGGGGGGAGGTTGGGGGAGGGGAGGGGGGAGGAGGGGAATAAAGAGGAGACAACGAACTGACCGTGTGATAAGGCGTCATCATGGGAGGTTGGGGGGAGGGGAGGGAGGGCGACGAGGGAGGAAGAGGGGTTGAGGGCATGGTTGGGGATTGCAGGGAGGTGTGCGCTGGCGGTGGGGTGTGGGTTACCATGCGTGCGTGACCGCATGGGGCGAGTGGGCGGGCAACCACACGTGTACGACAGGCGGCAGGTCCCCTCCCCCTCCCCCTTACCTCAGCGAGAAGGACGCGTGGCAGCAGCAGTAGTCGAACTCGATGCCCTGCCCGATGCGGTTGGGGCCGCCTCCCAGGATGAGCACCTTGCGCTCGGTGGTGGGCGCGCACTCGCTGTTGCCGTCGTACGTGCTGTACATGTACGGCGTGTTGGCCTCGAACTCCGCGGCGCAGGTGTCCACCCGCTTGTAGGCGGGCACCACCCCCAGTGACTTGCGGTAGGCGCGGACCTCCATCATGGTGGAGCCTGGGGGGGGGAGGGGGGAGGGGAGGAAATTAGAGATGGGGTGGCAAAGACCATACCGTACTACAAGTTCGGGCAAAGCGATGGGTATAGGGGATACCCCCTCTCCCTCTCCAACCTCACCCGTGTATCGCGCAATCTGGGCATCCGAGAAGCCCTTCTGCTTCACCCAGCTCATCTCCTCGCCGCTCAGCTGGCTCAGCTGCCGCGTCTGCAGCCACTTGGAGGTGTCGAACAGCTCCCGCAGCTGGGCCAGCCACCAGGGGTCGATCTTGGTGAGCTCAAACAGCTCGTCGTTAGTCAGGCCCTCCTCCATGGCCTGGGGGGGAGGGAGGGGGAAGAGGGGAGGCGGGCGGGTTAGCAGTGCGCCGGTGTGTATGTTGCTGTGTTCTTGGGTGGCCCCTTCGGCCCTAGCTCCACCCTGCTTCCCCTCACCAACGCACAATGGTCAGCTGCTTCCCCTCGGGATGTGGGACTCCGATGCCTCACTTGCTCATTCACTTCGCCGCCCATCCCCACACCCCTCGTAAGTTCCCTCTTTTCACCCCCAACCCCCACCCCCACCCCCCCCTACCTGGAACATGGCCACGATGCGGTCGGGGTTGGGCACCCGCATCTTGAACATCAGCTGGTCGCGCGGCAGGCGCTTGTAGCCCTTGGGCAGCCCCCAGCCGTCCAGCCCCGTCTCCATGCCGCGCAGCGCCTTCTGCAGCGACTCCTGCCAGGTGCGACCCATGGCCATCACCTCGCCCACCGACTTCATCATGGTGGTCAGCTCGGCCTTGGAGCCTGGAGCGGGGTAAAAATAAGAGTGGGGGGGAGGAGGGGGGGAGACATAATTAGAGGTAGGTATGACGCAACGAGTCCCAATCCCATATCCCGACTCAAGCAGTGAGGGGAGAGGGGGAGGGGAGGGGCGACGGAGAGAGGTAAGGAGGATGCAAGTAAGCAACCGTATGACTGCCATGTAACAAGGCGGCTTCGCCATGGGGGGCAGAAATGGTGTTGCTGCACGCCCCATCCCACACACCCCCACCCCACCCCACCCCGCCCCTGCATCCCTACCCGGGAACTTCTCGAAAGCGAATCGCGGGATCTTGGTGACCACATAGTCGATGGAGGGCTCGAAGGAGGCGGGGGTCTTCTGCGTGATGTCGTTGGCGATCTGGTCAAGCGTGTAGCCCACCGCCAGCTTGGCAGCCATCTTGGCGATGGGGAAGCCGGTGGCCTGTGGGGGGGAGGGGGAGGGGAGGAGGGCAGGAGGATTAGGTAAACTGAGCAGTGGAAGGGCCGATCGAGGGGAGTTTTGGGAAAGCCGTGGGGGGCGCTTTCCTCCGCGGAGGCCTTGATGTCCCTGGTACTGGCCGACGGTCCTGTAAGCCAGGTAAACCTCATTGCTACCCCGCAACGCCACTTCTTGGCGTTTCTTCTTCGCTTCATCCCCCATCCCACCCCCACCATGGGACGCCATCATCCCCCCCATATACTACGGTCAGGGTCAGTACTTTCCCGCCGCTCAGTTTGCCCCTCCCCCACCCCTCTCCCCACCTTGGAGGCCAGCGCAGAGGAGCGGCTGACACGCGGGTTCATCTCAATGATCATCATCTCACCATCCTGGGGGGGGGAGAAGAAATCCCAATGGGGAGGGGAGGGGGTAAAGGGAAGGCCAGAGGAGAAACAAGACCTCCTGACGCATGGCGTCATGACGCAAACACACGCCCCGTTCGCGCCGCATGCCTGCCTGCATTCGGTCGACGGGTCGCACGCCACCCCAACCCTTTTGGCCCCCACCCTCCACGCTTCATACTTGCTTAACCTCCCGCTCCCCATACCCCTCTCTGCCCCTGCTTCCTCCCTCCCCCTTTCCCCCCTCCTGCTGATCTCCTCCCGCCCCCCCCCACCCCACGTACCTCCGGGTTGACCGCCATCTGCACGTTGCTGCCTCCGCACTCCACGCCCATCTCGCGGATGATGGCGATGGAGGCGTCACGCAGCCGCTGCAGCTCCTTGTCGGTCAGCGTCTGGGCGGGGGCCACGGTGATGGAGTCACCTGGTTCCGGCGGGGGGGGAGGGGGAGGGGAGGGGGGAGGGGAGGGTCAGATGGGTGTCAGGAGAGGGAAACGCGCACGCGAACGCGCTTCGTCGGAACCTCCCTGCTACCCGCAAACCTTTAGGGTTTTCCCTTCCTCCTCCCTCCTCACTGCATGGATATGGGACTGCGCTTCACTTGTCTCACTCCTTTCCTCTCCCTCCCCCCCTTTCCACTCCCTCCCCCCCTCCCTCCCTCCCCTCCTCCCTCCCCCTCCCACCCGTGTGCACGCCCATGGGGTCCACGTTCTCGATGGAGCACACGATCATCACGTTGTCGTTCAGGTCGCGCATCACCTGCGTGAGGGGGGGGGGAGGGGAAGGGGGAGGGTGATACGGTTAGGGGCGCAGGAGGAGGAGCAGGGCTTCACGCACATGTCGCACGACGCGTGGGTGTGGGTGCTGTGGTGGTGGCGGCGGTGGCTGGGTGTGGGTTCCTCCTCCGACGAGTGCCGGTTAGGTGGGTAGGTGGGTGGGTAGCTCCCCAGGCTTTCAAGTCTGTCGGTCCCTGGGCTCCATGTGCATACACTGCTGTTGCGAGCTGCCAGGGTGGCATATGTCGGGTGGGGGTATCTGTGAGCCCCGACACGCTGCCCCCAGCTGCTGCTGCCGCACCCCCACCAGCTCGCAGTGCTCGGGGGGTAATCGGGCTGTGTGTTATTAAACCGGGGCGTGTCACGACATGTGCCCCCCCGGGTCCCGGAAGCTGCCCCCCCACTAGCTAGCAGTGTGAGGGGGGGGGGCGTCGGGCGCGCGGAGGTGGGGTGCTGCCCCGTACTGGGGGTGTGCATATGATACGGGTGTGCTGGTGAGGGTGGTAGCTGGTGAGCTGTTTGTGTTGCGCCCGAGGGGACCAGGCAAAACGGCAGGCAGCTCCGTCGTTATCGTAGCGATGTAACCCTTGCCTCTTTCCACTTCCCTCCCTTCCCCCCTAGATCCCCTGCCGCCACCTATCCCTTTGCCCTAACCTGTGGCTTCCTATGGTACGGTATGCTCTTTAACCCCCCAGCAGTTCATCGTTCCCCCTTCCTCACCTCCAGCTCGAACTCCTTCCACCCCAGCAGCGACTGCTCCACCAGCACCTGCGACGTCATGGACGCCGTCAGCCCGCCCGTCACAATGTCCTTCAGCTCGTCAATGTTGTAGGCGATGCCGCCGCCCGTGCCGCCCAGCGTGAAGGCGGGGCGCACGATGATGGGGTAGCGGCCAATGTCGGCGGCGATGGAGAGAGCCTCCTCCAGGGTGTTGGCGGTGGCTGGCAGGGGAGGGAGGGGATGAGTGAGAAGTGCAGGGGAGGGGAGCAGGGTTGAGAAAGGGTTAGGAGAGGAGTGGAGGCGGCAAGGACTTGGGAGGGGGGCAAAGAAGGAGTGGAGCACTGGTGAGTTCCAATCCCATGGGGACGGTGGTGTCCTACCCTCCTCCTTTTTTGCCTAGCAGTCGGCCCCCCGGGAAGCATTGGACACACAGTGGGCTCCTAGGCCTCCCTGCGGATTCCTATGGTTCGGCATGGTCCTTGACCCCCCTCCTCTTCTCCCCGCCCCCCTTTCCCCCCCTCACCCGACTTGGCGCACTTGAGTCCGATGCGCGTCATGGCCTGCTTGAACAGCTCGCGGTCCTCCGCGCGGTCGATGGAGGGCAGCTTGGCGCCGATCAGCTCGATGCCGTACTTGGCCAGGATGCCGCGCTGGGGAGGCGGGGGGGGTGGGTGGGGGCAAGAGGGGAAGGAGGTAGGGAAAGGATGAGGGGGGGAAGCCGCGTGGGTAGGGGTTGCATGAGGGCATGAAGGCTTAGCCGCATGATGGGGGCTTAGCCGCATGGATGGGGAGATGTGAAGAGGAGTATGGGGATTGAGCAGGGTGGGGTGCTCGAGCGAACGGACTGCTAGGGTTGTTGGTAGTTGGGCTAGTTGGGCTGGGTTTGGGTCAAAAGAGGAAGAGGAGCCAAGGGGGACGTAAAAGCGATTTGGGTCGGCGTGAAATCAGCTCCACATGTTTCCTGCTAGCGAGCAAAGCACGATTGACAAGGTGTGGCAAGCTAGCCGTGCAGACCCGGGGAACCCGAGGGCGTGAGGTGCGCAACCTTTCAACGACCACTTTAATGACCACGGTAAGCCTATCACGTGGACATCATATACTCCTCCTAGCGTCCTGAAACCTGCATACTTCGCTTTTAGTCTCACCTCCGCCAGGGTCTTGGCGAGGTTGAGGCCAGTCTGACCACCCATGGTGGGCAGGATGGCATCGGGGCGCTCCTGTGGGCCGACAAGGGACAGCCATAGGCGTTAGCACGCAAGCAGCTAACAGCGTATAAGCAGGTGGATCGGTCGCAAAGGCGTGAAGGTTTGCGTAAAGTATGTGCTTCTATGATACTTTGATGCAACGATGCGATGCAAGTCGACGCACCTTGGCGAGAATCTGCTCCGCCAGCTCCGGGGTCATGGGGCCGACGTACGTGCGATCGGCCATGCCAGGGTCCGTCATGATGGTAGCCTGCAGGAATGCGAAACAGGGCCCAACAATTCCAAATGTTTAAGTAAACCCTCGCGACGGACGACTAGCGCCCAATTGTCCTCATAACGCAAGGATTTTCTAGTAGAAAGCTTACTGGGTTGGAGTTGAGGAGGATCACGCGATAGCCCTCCTTCCTGCAGAGCAAAGGCAAAAAACCCTGGTGATCACGTTTAGTAGGGTTGGCCGCTTGCGACGACCACTTACTTTAGCGACTTGCATGCTTGGGTTCCCGAGTAATCGAACTCACAAGCCTGTGGGAGGGCAAGCACATTAGTTCGACGCGGGTAGGGAAGACGCTGCGACTCATCACGGTACCTGGCCAATGACAATAGGGCCGGCGCCGATAATCATGATCGTCTTGATATCGCGGCGCTTCTTGATCTCCGACATAGCCGCCTGCCATGGCAGAGGCTGAGACGAGGTGACAGCAGCGCAGCGCACAGACTGTGCTCCACGTGACCGTGGTGCTTGCGTGCGCGTGGCCGCCAAGGGCTTCAGGCCCAGCTCCGCCGCAGTGCCCACAAAGATTGGCCGCTTAAACATAGCATTGCGCTGCGAGGAGGGCGCGGCAGCACGGCCGAAGCCGCACTTAGCGCCGCCCGAAAGGAGCTGGGTCGACATCTTGTAACGCGACACTCCAGCGTCACGCAGTAACAACAAGTACTATCCTCTATAATCTATATGCAGGCCTGAAGCGGCCGCTCTTAGTAAATTAAAGGCTGCCGGCCAGGGTTCATTGACAAATTGGGGATTTAATACTCGTGCATGGGATGGAAACCGTTGGCCAAAAGGTCACACGAACAACATAACAAATTTTACTTAATATTCTGCTTCTACTCCTAGACATTGTTTCCATATAGCGCAAAGGTCACTGCCATCCGATTGTCACTGCAAGCCTCTCTCCTTGAAACCAATATCGTGTGAACCCGATCCTTCCTTAATTATGCTATGTGGATAGCCAATTGCATTCTTCTGTAGCTGATATCTGCTTAGCTTTCACCGCCTGGGGTTTGACGTGCAAACATGAAGTTCAAGCTTAGTAACCTCAGCGCTTACGCCAAGCCAGAGGCGCATCTGGTACAGCAAACAATTCACGGGGCATTAGGTAGGCGGCCGCTGGGTGGAGGGTGTTTCAGTTGTTGATCTTCCTTGTTGGACAAGACTCTTACTAGCGGCGCTTGGTTGGCGCAGTTACCATATGTGGAATTCTTCTAGCGTCTGTCCTATTCGTCCACGAGATGGAGACGTTTTATCGGCAGCATCGGGTGACGAAGGTACGCCTCCTACCTGACACGCAAGGCTTCTATTAGAGAATTGTCGACTTGGATCAACTGATTCGTTTCCACCCTATCACAGATGTCAGTTGACCTAGCTCGGCGTCATGCGCTGACCATTAACCTGGACATAACCTTTCCTGCGGTGCCGTGTGCGGGTGCGGAGGGAGTGGGCGGGCGCCGAAAGGTCCCCCTTGGGCAGAGCGCTAGCAGAGGGGTTTGAAGAATGCCAGCGGGGTTTCGCGGAATAGGGTGTACGGAGGGTTTGTGGAGGGTTTGCGGGACTATCGCATGGGCGGCCCCTTCCGCGTTCGGGCCCCCCCACGGTCCAACACCACTAAACAATCCCACGGCCTTTCCCTATCTGGCCATGTTTCCCAACCCCTTTTGCGTAAACACGCTTAGACCGCATGAACACAAGGGGACGTGGGTCCGCAAGGCTTATACGTGTGAACGCGCGGTCCTGGAGCTGAGAGCCCTGCCCTCTTCCTCCCTCCCTGCCTTCCTCCCCCCTGCCTCCTCCTCCCTCCCCTCCCCCTCCCCTCCCTGCAGTCCTCTCCATCGACGTGTTGGACATCTCCGGCACCGCTGAGAACGACGCCTCCTTCGCGCGGCACATGCAGCTGCACAAGATGCGGCTGGACGGGGCGGGGCGGCAGATCGGCAAGGCGGAGTACCACACGCCGCAGAGCCAGCAGATCATGGACACGGGCGCGGAACAGCTGGTCAGCGTCAACATACAGGAGGCGATGCAGGTGGGGGAGGGGGAGGGGCAGGAGGAAGGAGGCCGTGCGGTTGCGAGAGACGATGGAAAGGCACATGCGGGGACGAGGAGGGCGGCAGGCAATATGCAAGCGGTCTGGGCAGGGCGTCGGCAATCCCCCTTCCTTACCCGCCCCCCTCAACCACCTAAACAACTTTGACAACCCTATTCCCCACTCCTCCCTCGTATATCCCAATTGCATTGCCCTAACCTGTTGTTCCGGTATATCTCTGCCCCCCCCCCTTCCCCCTCCTTGCCCCCCTCTTGTGCCCCCCCCAGCACCTGGTGGACATGGAGGACGAGTCGGAGCACCACGAGGGCTGCCGCGTGTCGGGCGCCCTGGAGGTGAAGCGGGTGGCGGGGCGGCTGCACCTCTCCGTGCACCAGAACGTGGTGTTCCAGATGCTGCCGCAGCTGCTGGGGGCGCACCACATACCGCAGGTGGGGGAGGGAGGGGGGGACAAAGCAGACCAAACCGTAGGAAACCACATATGGGCAAAGTTGTTGGGGAGGGGTGGAAGGGGGAGAAGGAGCTTTAGTTTCTAAGCTAGAAGCTCGACCAAGGAACCAGCGGGTCCCTTCCTAGGATGGTGTTTGTCTTCTTCTCCCATCTGGATGGTTCCTGGTGATTCTGCTACTGGGGCGGGATGGCCACTGCTGGGGCTGGGGCGGAGGCCGCCGGTGCTATTAGAGGTGGTGGAGAGTGTCCGGGACAGTGTTCGTGGGTGGCAGCAGTGTGGAGCCACCTGTCCATGTTTACTACGCCCATGACTTCACCCACTCCTCCTCCTCCCCCCATCAGGTCATGAACATGAGCCACGTGATCAAGCACTTGGGCTTCGGGCCGCGATACCCGGGTCAGGTCAACCCACTCGACGGCTACGTCCGTACGGTGGACAAGACGCCGTACAGCTACAAGTACTTTTTGAAAGTCGTACCCACGGAATACTACAGCCGCTTGGGTGAGTGGTACGGCTGCCCCTCAAGGGCGTATTATCATGTTAGGGGGTTTGTGTGTATAGGGTCTGTATCCCTGTGATCTCTACCCACGTGGGGGGTGGGACGTGCATGCTCTGTACGGCCTCTGCCCAATCGCGGCCCCTCCCCACCATGACCTGCATTACATTTGCAGCCCCGTTGCGAATACCTAACCCCAATGTCTCCCTCCCCCTCATCCTTCTCTCCCACCAGACCCCCGTTGTGCAGAACCCCACACCCCCTCCCCTCACTCCCTATAGGCTTGGGGCTCCAGTTGCTTCACTTTGCATTATATTTTCCCCGTCACACACCCCACCCGGTCAGGGTCAGTGTTTCCGCGGCTCAGTTTACCTAATCCCCCACCCCCTCTTCAGGCGGCGTCACGGAGACGCACCAGTACTCTGTGAGCGAGTACGCGCAGCCGCTGCAGCGCGGCTACTCGCCCGCTGTTGACGTGCACTACGACCTGTCACCCATCGTGATGAGCATCAACGAGCGGCCGCCCTCGCTGCTGCACTTCCTGGTGCGCATCTGCGCGGTGGTGGGGGGCGCCTTCGCCATCACACGTGAGTGGGGGCGGGGAGGGGAGGGAGGGAGGGAGGAGGACGGGTGCGTGGTTGGTAGCGGCAGTGCTGCGCATTCAAAGCTTATGAAAAGTTGCTGCCGATGGTCCAAAGTCCACCGGAACGCAACGGAAGATGGTTGAGGGAGTGTTTTGGAAGGCCCATGGTGCTCCTCGTGGACTACCGGTACGTTTACCCCTACCCCCACGCTCCCCCCCCGCCCACCCCACCCATTACACACTTTGGGATCCTTCTTCTCCCACCCCACCAGGCATGACGGACCGCTGGGTGGACTGGTTCGTGCGGCTGGTCACCCGCAGCCGGTGAGGAGCTGCTGTCGGGGTGCGGAGCCGCCCGGGGGGAAGGCAGCCGTGACGTACAGGGTGCGCCCCCCTCACATCACACCCGCAAGGCTGCCAGACACGCCACCGGGGAGGTACGGCGGGCGACAGCAGTTGGATGCAGGTGGTGTTGTACGGGAGGGGCTGTGATGGCGAGCTGTGAGGTGCATGGTGGTAGGGACAAGGACGAAGTTGTGTGGGTTGGAGGGTGCGGCTTGCGTTGGTGATCTCAACAGCTTACGCGAGCATGTGGCCGCACTCCTTTGCACGAGGCATGTGAGGAGGGCCGGAAGGAGAGTTGGGGGTGACGCTGCCGGGATCCGGGGGGCAGTGCGGAGAGCTGTGGCGGTTGCGTGTTGTGGTAGCCTTGTGGTGCTAAGATGGCAGCAGGTGTCGTCAGGCCATACATTACATGCGGGTATCGCTGTAATACGGTACTTGCTGAGGGGGAGTTGGTTGCGAACAACTCCTTAGACGCTCCTGCATTGAATAGTCTGACAGCAGCCCTGCAACTAAAAACGCATAACAATACCGACACACCCTCCCGGCACCTCGGAAACAGAGGGATAGGGGCCGGAGGGGGCCGTCGGCATACCCAAGAGCCCATCAGACTGCATGCAAACCCTAACACGCACTGAAACCCCCACACTCCGTGTATGCACACCTAACGATAAGTAACACGCGTCTGCATGCACCGCTCTCCACCACCACCACTACTGAGTTGTTGTTTGTCTCGGCTGTTGTCGTACGGCAGCTAGGATGGAGTCCACTGCATCCGCCAGTCGTACGTAGTCCTGGATTGTGTTGTACACGTGTACGGAGATGCGCACGTAGAGGCGGCCCTGGATGCACTTGACGGGGCACTCCACGGCGTGGCGGTGGTGCAGCAGGTCCTGCAGGTGGGGGGTCAAAGACCATACCAGACCATAGGAAACCGCAGGTTAGGGCAAAGCAATCGGGATAGGAGGCATGGGGGGGGGAGATTAAGGAAAACTGACGTTGTGTATGATGATGCTTCACCATGGGTGGCAGAGAGGGGGTGGTGGGTTAGGTGTGCACATGCCGCACATGGGCTGCTACCACACTGGCTCACCTGCACATACTTGGCATCGGTGGAGGTGGCGGGATTACACTCCGCCAGACCCTGTCGGATGGGAGCGGGAGGGGGATGAGTGGTGGGATTGCATGAGCGGGAGCTGAGCGGGTTGCCACCCTCATCAGCAGCAGGTGTATCCGGCATGCCGGCGGCACACAAACAACACAGAAGCAACCCCGCTCCAACACCCCCCCCCCATCCCACCCAGCCCCCCCACCTCCGGCAGCTCCACCAGCGCCATCCCCGGGGGGCACATGTCCAGGGCGGGGGCCAGCAGCCGGGAACGGGGGGGCTGCTGCCCGCCCTGCTGCCCCCCCTGCTTGCCAGCCCCCTGCTGCTGCCCGCCCTCCTCCTCCTCCTGACGCTCCTCTCCTCCTGGCTTCCCCTCCTGCCGCTCCCCCTGCCGCTCCTCCCCTTCCTGCCGCCACCTGGCCTCCAGCAGCTCCACCGCTTGCCCCAGAAGGTCCCGCATGGCTGCCCGCACCCGCACCGGCCCCAGCGCCCGCCACAGCGCGAGTGCGGAGGAGGTGGCCAGGTAGGGGGTATAGTCGCGGCAGCCTGCAGCAGGGGGGGTGGGCAGGGGGGGCAACATGTTGTCGCCTCGAACATGTTGTCGCCATTCCAAGTCTTCAACCCCTGTAATGCTCATCTTCTACTATCATCGCTATCCAGTACCACTATCACCACCCACCCACCCGCCCCACCCACACCAAGCCCTCCACCCGCCCCCCCCCCACAACCCGCTCCTACCGTCCCAAATGAAGTCCGATGCGAAGCCCGCCCCCGAGCCGTGGCTCACCACCAGTGGCCGCACCGCCCCCCGCCGCCCACCCGCCACCCACAGCACCGCACTGCCGCGGGGCGCGCACAGCCACTTGTGGCAGTTGGTCACGAAGTAGTCGGGGATGCAGAGCGGGTCGAAGGAGGTGGTGGTGGTGGGCTGGGTGTCGGCGTCGTCATGCGGCTGGCCCTGCTGCTGCTGCTGCTGCTGTTGTTGTTGTTGTTGTTGTTGTTGTTGTTGTTGTTGTTGTGGGCGCTGCGCTATTGCTTCCCCCCCTGCTGCCGCCTCCCCTCCTGCTGCCGGCTCCTCCCCTGCCCCCTCCCCCGCCTCCCCCCCGAACACCCCCCTCCGCAGGTCCAGGTGCAGCTGCCCCAGCGCGTGAGCCCCGTCCAGCAGCACCTGCACACCCCTGGGCGGGCAGGCGGGGGCGGGAGTGGGGGGGAAGGGATGGGGAGGAGGGAGGGAGGGGATGCGTTACCGGTACACAGGGAGGGCGGAGGCAGCCGCAGGTGGCGCATGTGGCCGCATCAGGAGTACATACCCACCCCCCCTCCCCCCCACCTGCTCCTGCACAGGCGGGTTAGCTCCGCCACCGGCAGCAGCAGCGCGGTGTTGCTGGTGACGCAGTCGAACACCGCCAGGCGGGTGGCGGGGGGCAGCGTGCGGGACACCAGGTCCAGGATGGCCTGGGGGCCGCTGGGGGGGGAGGCGGGGAGGGGGGATGGAAGGGGGAGGGAAGGGGGAGGGAAGGGGGAGAAGAGGGGGGGAGGGCACATGACGAAGACCTGCTGGGCAGCGGGTGGCGGCAGCAGGTACGGCAGTATATGTCTGGCACGTTAGATCCCCTGACAGCGCACACCAGTGCCCTCCCTCCCCCTCACCCTCAGCTCCTCACCTGATGGGGAAGGTCACCTCGCCGTACACCACATTGAGGCCCCCGGCCGCCTCACCACCACCGCTGGCACCAGCACCACCAGCACCACTCCCCCCGGCTGCGCGGCTGCTGCTGCCGCTGCTGGGGTCCCAGCCCGCCCCCCGGCCCGCAGCCGCAGCGGAGGCCGCCTGCGCCATCTTCTTGACGCTGCCGTACCTGCGCACAGCGGCGGCACGTGTACGGCGGCACGTGTACGGCGGCATGTGTACGGCGGCACGTGTACGGCGGCACGTGTACGGCGGCACATGGCGGCATGTGTACGGCGGCACGTGGCGGTACCGGTAACATGCATGCATGCAGGTCAGCAAGTGGGTGGGTGGATGATTGGCACATGGTGTACAGCTGTCTGTGTGACGACATATGCCGACGAAGTGCGGATGACGTGCGGCAGAAGCCACCGTGCATGGGTGTGTTGGCTAGCTTGGGGGGCGGGGTCAGGGCGGGGTCTGCCGGCTTTAGCCAAGCGGCACAGGGTGGTACACAATTCTACAGCACGCTACAGTGCTCTTGCGAGCAAGGGAGCCATGTCTTAACAACCATCGAGCCCATCCCGACAGCCGCACCGAGGGCCCGCCCACCCATCCCCATTCGTGGTTTCCTATGCGTTGGTCTATCTTGACCCATCCCCGTAACAGCCCACCCTATGTTTAGCATGTAGACCGTATCTCCAGGCCGCAGACCTGAACAACGGGGTGGGGGACGGGGGGGGGTTGCAGACGAAGGAAAGAGTGGATTGGTTGTAAGTTGTTAAGAAGACACGGGGCAAGCCCCTGCGCTGCGTGTAGCGGACAGACAGGTAGCTACCGGTAGCCAGTAGCATGCTAGGAGCTGGATAGGCTGTAGGGTGGCCCAACAACGGGTGTTGCTGGGTAGGGCGGGCAGCATGCAAGCCCCCAGCAAGCCACCCTGAGAAGGCAAGCCAGCCTGGGTAAGAACTCCTCCTCTCCCCTCCCCTTCGATTCGGGATTGGGACTCCGTTGATGCATTTTATCTACAATTTTCCCTCCCTCCCACCTGCGGCCTGTATCGCCACATTGAGGCCGGTGGTGGCGTTGGGGACGAACACCAGATCCTGGGGGTGGAGGTCGAGCGAGGTGGGGCGGGCAGGGGCCGGGTGGGGTCGTACAGACTGGCAAAGATAGCAGCTTGTGGGGGACATGGATGGGGCGCAAAGGAGTGGACGAGGTCCCTTGTGTGTTGTGGCAGAAGTTAGGAGCCCTAGCCCCTAGGAAGGCGTGCAAGCGAGCAGGCTTGTCGGCGGATGCATGGACTGCGTTGCTGCACATCAGGGAGGGGGTGCATGTTGCAGCACCCCTAGGGCACGGTACCAAGCAAGATATGTGCACACGCACACCGACCCGTGGGTCCGCCCCAATGAAGTCCGCCATCTCCCGCATCACTCGAACCATGTGCGGGAAGAGCTCCCTGGAGCAGCACACGGGGCGGTGTGGGAGTGAAGGGGAGAAGGGGAGGGGGCAGGCCCAAGGAGGGACTACGTAACAATCAGGGGTAAGACGACGTCAGGCCGGATGTCGCACGTACACCTTGCAGACGACAGTCCAGTTTACGACACGTACTCCCACACGACTATTTAACCCCGGCAGGCAAGCATATAGTCGCCTTTTGCACACACCAGCTGGTGCCATACGCTGGTGGCGGTTCCTTCGCAACAGGTAGACCCGCTTGCTTGCCTGTCTAGGAAGCGCAGCGGCTGGGCCTCGCAGTGCTCGCGCCACTGGTTCGCCTCCTCGTGTGCGGCCCGACACACGGCTCCGAAGGCACCGTGGTTGATGAAAGTCCAGCGCTTAAAGTCCACCATGAAAAGCTGACGGCAAGGCTCGCCGAATTCCATTGTGGATGCTTGCTCCAGCGACGGCGCCGCGAAGGGGCGTTCCGGAGGAGTGTAAGCTTCAGGTGGAATTGCTATCATGTCTTCGACATTATCCGTGAAAAAACTGCCGAAATTCTGATAGCCGGTGCGGGCAATAGAAGACATGGTTGATACTGATACAGAGCCGATCAAGCCGCGAGGAGTTGTCCTGATATACGATTGTGTTACAAAGCTTAAGGTAGCAAATTGCAGTTTTGGGTCGCGCGATCGACAAGGATTGGTAACAATGTGCAAACGTGATAAAGCGACGGCTTATGGCCACGTGAATCTCGCCTGGAAGGTTGTATCTACAATGAATCTCGTTGCAAGGTTAGGTATAACAATTTGTCGGCAAATGCAAGCATACGGCTTATCCCGCCATGAATGCCACATGATCATTGCCAGACGATGATGGTGATTTCCCAACGCCGAGTGAAGCATAGTATCCGTATAAAAAATATACACTGTATCTCCATACACAGCTGTGCATAACGGTGCCTCTTGCTTTACTTGGCAAACCCTTAGAAATAGAACTTTCTTCTGGGATGAGCATGTACTGATCTGTGACGACCCTTTTAAGATAGTCCTGAACAAAGATGGATACAATTGAGCAGCTGCTGCAAAGAGGACAGCAGGCGCAAGGAGGAGGCGTATCACAGGTCACTACTTTGACCGTCAAAGCTCCATGTACTGTAAGCAGCATAGATCTGATGTTTAAAATTGGCGATTGGTGTGCGTGTACAGGCGTTGCTCAGTGCTCCTGAAGCGGAGAGGATTATATGCCAGCTTGCTCCGTTGGACATCGCCGAGGTTCGTTATGGGCATTTGTACTCTATAGTATGAGGGCAAAAAATTGAAAGAATGTATGACTGATGCCCCACTAGACGCGTCTCCATCAAATTTCGAATGCGCGGGCCTTGCTAACCTTCACTGTTATGCACATCTACCTACTCCCATTCTCAAACCGTGCTCTACAAAGCGAAGGAAGGAAAGTTTATGTGCTTTCCTGCTTGCCGAACCGCGGGACGCGGGCACGCGTCCCCGCCTAGGCTGCACTCCAGGCATCAGGCACCTGGCACTTCCTCAAGCATTCCAATCTTCCCCCCTTGTACCTCTCCTTTATCCCAACTGACGTTGCCCCTCCCCCACTTCTCCCTACATACCAGGTTGGAAGTGCCAAATGGCACACGCAGCACGAATGGATGGACCGACTGAACCTTCAGGTGCGCAATGGCGGTGAAGCTGCACAGCTGTATGGGCAAGGCGGAAGGGATCATGTGCAGATTTAGTGCGGTGGGGCCGTTAGAAAACCAACACCGGTGGCTCTTCAGCCTTCCCTCACCCGCCTCCAGCCTCCCTCTTATCAACCCCTCCCATCCCTCCTCCCCTCCCCTCCCCCTCCCCCAGGCCCACTACAACGCCCAGACCCACTCCGACGAGTTCGTGGTGGAGCTGCTGGTGTCGTGCGACAAGCTGCCGGTGCTGCTGCACGACCTGCTGGTCACCGAGGCCTGGCAGACGCACCTGTACCCGCACCTGGCCGCCCACCTGGCGGAGCGGGTGGACAGCGTCACCGCCTACCTGCTGACCTACCACCAGGTCACGGTGGCCAACCTGCTGCAGGTGGGGGGGGGCAGGGGGGAGGGGGAGAAGGGGAGGGGGAAAAAATTAAATATGTGAAACAACGAGAGGGGGAGGGAAGGGAAGGGAGGGGGGCTGAGCCGCGATGCATAGCCGTGATAACTACTGCGGCCAGGTGGGCCAAGGGGAGCAGGGAGGGGGAAGAGGAGGATGGGGAGCGCGTGCTCTGTGGGTGGGGTGGGTTTGCCCTACCCGAGCCCGCCTCCAAACCCCCCTTTCCCCCCACCCCACCCCTGTCCCCCGCAGGTGTGTTTGTTCCACTCCCACGCCACCGAGTCTCTGTCCGAGGACTGGGCGCTGGAGCTTGCGGACTGGTGCAGCCGCAAGCTGACACGGCTGAATGCGGAGGGGGCGGCGCTGGCGGAGCACAAGGGTAGGGAGGGAGGGGCGGTAAAGGGGGCAGCAACGGAGCTCTGGCTAGCTTGCGGGGTTGGGGTAAGGGCTGGCTGGACGGGAATGCTGCATGCGCGCCCTTGACACCAGCTGACATGGCAAGCTAGGAAATAACCAGGGGGGCCCTGGCCTCCCCCCCCCCCCACCTCCCCGCCCACCAGCGCTGCCCTCCCGGCCCCTCACCCCTCAACCCCGTACACCCCCTTCCGCCCTCACCCCTCTCCCCACACACCCCAGAGCGCAGTGCCGAGGCCCTGATGCGCATGAGCCGGCTGGAGGAGCAGGAGGAGCAGCGGCGGGAGGTGGAGTTCTCGGTGCTCATGTGCAGCCTAAACATACTGCGGTGAGAGGGGGGGGGGGGGAGGGGAGGAGAACGGGGAGGAGGACGTTAAAAGGGCGGTAGTTGTGTTGATGTGCGGTTTTTTGGGGATGATGATAAGGCAGGTGGAGTGGTTGGACGCACAACACGACGGCCGGTTGCTTCCATAAGGCGCGCCACGTTAATTCCCCCTCCCCCGACCAGTCCCTCACCCTCCTTAACAGCTTGCTCTTCTTCATCTCCTCTTCTCCTCTCCCCCTCCTCCCCTCCCCCCCCAGCTACCTCACCGACTCGCTGCCCCGCCTGCCGCTGGGCGCCCTCACCCGCCTGGTGTCCACCAACGACACCCTCATGGGGCTGCTGCCGCTGCTGGACCGCCCGCCCTGGCAGCGACACAGGATGGCACCGGTGCCAAGCGGGCCCCCGCCTGAGGCCGCTGCAGGCAGCAGCAGCAGCAGCAGTGGTGGTAAGGGTGGCAAGGGGGGTGGCGGCCAGGCGCCCCGCATGCGGCCGGTGCTTGAGAGGTGGAACGGCACCCGCTGGGCGGCGGTGGCGCCGTCTGATCGGCTGCGGCTGTGTCAGAGTGAGGGGCAGGTGTGGCTGGCGGTGACGAATCTGCTGGTGGAGCCGAGGTGCAGGGCGAGGTAGGGGGGGCCGGCCGGGGGGGGAGTGAGGGGAGGTAAAGAGGAAACAACTAACTGACTGAGGGATAAGGCGTCAACAAGTGAGGGGACGGGAGAAGGAAGAAGGGGAAGGCGGTTGTGGGGTTGGTTGCATGCGCAGTCCTCCCTGCTCCTCTGCTACGGATCTTGGGTTGCTGTGTTCAGCCTGCCTGTCAGCTTGGCCCTCATCCCTTGAGGTGTTCCACCGCCAACCCCCCGCCCACCTCCAACCCCTCAGGTACACCCTGGACGAGTACCGGCGGGAGCGCATCCTGGGGCTGAAGCGCCACCTGAATGAGATCATGTTTGACCAGGTGGGGAAAAGAAGAATCCCAAGGTGTTTAATGATGCTAGCAAACAAGCTGACGAGCTCCTTGTGACCTGAACCGAGTTAGCCGAGCCTAAACGTCTACATCGGGACGTGCATCCAACCTATCGAACTGGGGGGGGGAGCTGAGGCGGGGAGGGGAATGGGAGGGCACAGTTGAATGGGCTTGGGCTGTAGAAGTAAGCACCACGCCTTGGCTGTGCACTACCCAGTTTCTTCCAGTTTCTTCCATCCCTCCGTTCGAGCTCCATTACCCCCCCCCCCCTCCCCCCCATCAGCTCCCGGTTCTCAAGGACCTGCAGCGGGTGCTGGATGAGCTGGCGCTGGGGGTGCTGCCAGACCAGGTGGGGGAGGGGTGGGATGTGAAAAGAGGAAACTGAAGAGCTGTATGACGAGGTGGGGGGAAGGGGGGCTGGGGGGGGGGAGGAGAAGGAGACTGCCATGCGGCTGTGCGGAGGGGAGGTGGGGTCGGGGTTGTGAGCGGGCGAGCCAGGTTGGGGGCGAGCAGGACAAGGGGGGGGAGCAACATGGAGTGCATGCGGCACATGTGTGGTCGCGGGAGCGTAGCGTACCGTCTTCGCGTGCGTCAACGTAACGTTAAGACGTACATGTACCGGTAACACCTCCTAAAACCTACGCGCTTCCTGCCTTCTGCCTTCTTACACAAGCTCACCTCTTCTTCCCCCCCCAGTCCTCCTCCGGCCGCCTGGGCTCCTCGCTCATCCTGGAGGCGGTGCCGGTGCTGCGGGAGGCGCTGCTGCGGGGACGCGACTGGCGGGCGCTGGCGGAAGCGGCGCGGAGGGAGCAGTTCGGGCAGGGGGCGGGGGGCAGGGCGGCGAGGGAGAGGCTGGAGGCCATGGTCAAGGTGGGGGCGGGGGCGGGGTGGGGGGCCGGAAGGGGATTGGAGGGGCGCAAGGGAGTGCAGTCCTGGTGATAGGAGGAGGGACGAGCTCCTCTTTCCTCTTGCCTTAAGGGGCTCCCAGGCTTTCTTGTCGACTGTCCTCTTCCCTGCGGGCAAGCCCCCAACTCTCTATCCCCTATGCGTTTGTCGTCAACCCTCCCCCCTCCTCCTCTCCGCCTCCTGCCCCCCTCGCCCCCCCTACTCACCCCCCGGTCGCAGCACCTGGACTTCCTGTGTGAGCTGGAGCCGGAGCCCCCCGCCGCAGCGGAGGGGGCGGGCAGTGGGGCCGGGTCGGGACCCGCGGGTCTGTCGGAGCCGCACCCCCCGGTCAAGGTCAGCACCTGGCGCAAGGTGAGCACCCGCCAACTCTCCCAGCTCCCCCCATCCGGCTCTCCCTCTCTTGACTCTTCTTCCGTGTGCCGCTTCTTTGCTCGTGTGCCCTTGCCGTTGCTATCCAAGGAGCGCGCTCTTCATCCCTTTCCTTCCCTTGCACTGCTCCTCCCCTCTCCCCCCTCTCCCCCCTCCTTCTCCCCCACCCCCCAGGTCCACGACAGCGGGGTGTACGAGTCCTGGTACGACTTCTCCATGCAAGTGGACGACTCGCGACCCCCGGAGCAGGTGGAGGTGGCAGCAGCGGCAGGGGGAGGGAGCAGCAGCAACAACAACAAGGGCAGCAGCAGTGCTGCTGCCGTACAGGGGCTGCGGTACCGGCTGCGACCCATGGACGTGGAGAGCACCCGGCCGCTGCCGGCGAATGGCAAGGTGAGTGGGGCAGGCTGGCTGACTGGCTGACTAGCTGGTGGGCTGCGGGAGTGGAGTGCACTACTCCCCTCCGGCCCATTACCTAACAACCTCTGCGTCCCCCTGCCTGTCAACACGTGGATCCCACCGTCCCCTCCTTTCCCCTCGTTACCTTCTCCACTCTCCACTCACCTCCCCCCCGCATCGCTTCCTCCCCTCCTCCACCCACCTATCCGCCCTCCCCCAGGCTGTGGTGCGCTGGGGCGCCTCCCTGCAGGCGGAGGCGCTGCTGCAGCTGCCGGAGCTGCCCACACGCGACAGCGGCGAGGGGGCGGCGGTGCTGTGGGTGACGGTGGGGCTTCTGGCGGTGGACGGAGTGGTGCTGCAGATAAAGCTCAAGAAGGCGCCAAAGGTAGGGGACCCAGGGGGTACGACACACTCGCTGCGATACTGCGCCACTGCGGCCATGCTAACCTCCTCCCCACTCTCCACCCCCCTCTTTGGTAACCCCGCTCTCTTGCTCGGTTACTCCCTCACCACTCCCAAACCCCCTCCCTGTTACCGCGGCTCAGTTTGTCTAATCCCCCTCCCCCTCTCCCGCCCCCCCTCCTAGCCCAAGGAGCGCGACCGCGTGGCGGGTGTGTGGTACGCCTACCACCCCGTGGCGGGGGCGCTAACCGTGCTGCGTGGGGAGCAGCAGGGGGCGGCAGCACAGCAGCCTGCTACCACCTCCTCCTCCTCCTCTTCCAATGGGTCTGCCGCAGCCGCGGGCAAGAAGCCCACCTGGGGGGGCAGGCTGGAGCCCACCCAGCAGCAGGGGCAGGGGCAGCAGGGGCGCGAGCCGCAGCTGCTGCATGTGATCCAGTCGCTGCAGCAGAGGGAGCGGCAGATGGAGGAGGAGCAGCAGCAGCAGCAGAAACGACTTCAACAACAGCAGCAACAGCAGTACCAGCAGCAGCAGAGGTTACAGGAGCAGCAGCAGCAGCACTCGGAGAAGGCGGCGGATGAGGGGAAGGTGGGTGTCAGTAAACCGGCGCCGATTGGCGGAGCCGCTAGCAGAACGGTAGTGGAGGTTGCGGTGGAACCGTCAACTGCATCACCGGCACAAGAGGCAGCGGTAGCGGAGCCGGCAGTGACGGCAGAGGCGGGTACAGGTAGCAAGCGAGGGGCTGTTGCGGCGGCGGCTCCAAGTACGAGCGGCGGCGGCGCTGGGGATGATGATGTACGGCAAGCGACGGTATCAAATGCAGGGCCGCCGGAGTCAACAGCCCAGACGACCAGCAGCACGGCCACCACGGATGCCGGTGCCCGTGGCAGTGTCTCCAGTGTTCCAGTGTTACCGGTGGAGGTTCGAGAGGGCAACGGATGTACGGCAGAGGCAGCAGCGGTGGCAGCGACGGCAGAGGCTCCATCATTGACGTCGTCGTTGCCGCCACAACAAGCGGGAGCTACGGTGGCGGAGGAGGAGAAGGGCGTTACTGCTGCGACGCCTCCTCAGGCTGTTGCAGCGCGAGCACAGCCGGGGTGCGTGTCATCGCCTGCAGCAGCGGTGGTGGCAGCGGCAGCGGGTGAAGCGCCTGAGGAGGAGAAGGCAGAAGTGGGCGTGGAGGAGGAAGAGTATGACGGCCCTGGCCTGGACGACCCAGAGTGACCCATGGGTCGTTCACTTGCGCAGTGATGAAGGATTGTGGAACTCGCAGCGTTGGGGAGCACCTTCGGCTAGACTTGTGATCTGGGTTTGTCGCTGCTGCTATTGGGTCACCCAAAATCGCAAGAAACATGGCGTAAATCGGTATTGTACTGGTGAACTCACGTAACGTGCGAGCCGGCAAAAAGCGCTGGCATTACCAGCGTGCTGCTGCGGCAAGCTAGGATGGCGAGCGCACTTTGTGCTGGACAGTGATGTGGCAGAGCGGGTGGCAGATCCTCTTCCTTACAGGATTTGTCAGGATTCGTGCTTTGCTTGGCGTGCATTTGTAATACCCTGCAAATGTACAGAAATCGTCCAGAATTTCCGTACCCCAGAGCATTTGGCGGCAACTATCGCAGCATCTCTGGGTCAATGTCCCTGACGTCGGTGTGATGTTTGGCTGCAAACCCAATTCCTAAGTGTAATGAGTCTGCTTACTTGTGCCAATTCGTGGTAGCGCCTTTCGAAAGCACCGGTTCAGGAGATTCTATTCTGTCAGCACCAAAGCTACCCTACCGTATACTAACGTTGTCAACCTGATATCATTGGGGAGGTTAGACCTTTGGCCACAACTCAGCTAGGATGCAGAGATCGGGCTCGGGGCCGGGAGGTGCCGGTCAGTCTGCCCGACCACCGCCGCGGACGTCTAGCGCTCCACATTTTGCCAACTTCAACTTACAACAACAGCAACAACAACAACAGCAATTTGCTTCATCAGGCCCAGCAAATCCGCGCTACCAAGCCCCGCAGCGGGCCGGTTCGTCGGGAGCTCTTCCGACGTTCCCATCGGGACTTGCTGCTCCAGCAGGACTACGCAACTCCTCGCAACAGCAACAGCAGCAGCAGCAACATCAGCAATCCCAAGCAGCCTTTACAAGAGGGTCTGGCCAGGGACAGCTGAATTCCCAGCCGCAATCAAATTTCCAACCGCAGCCACCTCCTGGCCTTCCTCTTCCTCCTCCCTCTCAAGCGCGACCGCAGCCTTTGCCGCAGCAGCTGCTACGTAAAGCCCAGACCCTAGCAGATCAGCTGCAAGCGATTGGACGCTACGACGACTCGCCTCCACGAGGATTCAAACCCCAAAGACGAAACGACGATGACACGGATGAGGAGAAGGACGCAGCAAAGGAACAAGACGAGGATGAAGAGAGAGGAGCTACCTTGGTTGTGGATGGAGACGACGACGGCAACCAAACGCACGAAGACATCCGCAAAAGCAGCGTACGAGCAGCTCGAAAGCAACAACCCGCGAAACAGCAACCACCAACACCCTCTTCCGCCGACATCTCCGATGCCCTCGTGGAACAGCTCAAGTCCGTCCTAGCAGCCCTTCGCGCTGCCGCGCCGCGCCGCACGGCGGCTCCTCCTCCTCCTCCTCCTGCCGCCGCAGCAGCAGGCGCCGGAAACACCGCTCCCGCTGCTCACCACCCCCCAGCCGCCCTGTCCTTACTTCCCGGAGACGAGGCCGCCCTGTGGCACGTTGCTGTGGGCCTGTGGAACCACGCGGTGGAGCTAGCTAACCTGGAGGCGCTGCGGGCGGGTGGGGTCAGCATGACCGAGCGGCTGCAGCAGCAGGGGGCCGGAGCGGGGGGAGGAGAGCAGGAAGGAGAGGAGCAGGAGGAGGAGGAGCCGGGAGGGGTCGCAGGCGCTGATGATGCCATGGATGATGGCACCGTGGCGGCGGCTGACCGGCAGCGGCAGCAGCAGCGGCGGCAGCAGCGCAGCCGATTGGTGGCGGAACAGCCGCATCAGGCTCGAACGCAGCGGCGGCGGTTGCGGCGGCGTGTGCTGACCCACATCGCCTGGGTACGGCACCTGGCGTGCGACGCAGCGGCACTGGTGCCGCCGCAGCGGCAGCTGCCTCCGTCTGCTGCTCCTGCAGGTGGCGGCAGTGGTGGTGGCGGTGGCGGTGATGGCACGTCCTCCGCGCTGTCACATGCAGCGGTTGAGAAGGCGCGGTGGCGGCTGCTGTTCAGCTCGGGGTCGGGTCGTTGGTGGTTGCGGCTGGGGCAGCTGGAGAGCGCGGAGATGTGCCTGTCACGGGGTGAGCGCTGGGCAGGGGTTTGGGGAGGAAGGAGGCGAGGTCCAGGGAGTGGGATGTGATAGGAACGGATAGGGCAGGAGACATTGCGAAGGTTTGGATGTTTGAACGTTTGGGTGGGTGTGGGTCATCTGGGGTTGATTTGGGTCAGAGCCGGGAGGTGCGCGGGTGCTGCGTGCGGGTATGGTTGGAAGCTGTTGGGTTGACGGTTGACGGACACGGAAGCGCCCTGACCCGGATGGGCCCGCTTGAGGTCTGCTACTGCCCACAGAGCCGCTACCGATGAGGCATGGTGGGTGCGAGGGTGGCGACCGTTACCGGCACCTCCTCCTGCCCATCCCGGCTCCACCCTGCCCCCTTGCCCCCCCCCTCACCCCCCTCCCCGGCCTTCTCCCACCACCCCCCTCCCTGTCCCCCAGCCGCCCCGGTGCTACCCCTGCTGCTGGGACTCGCCACGGGGGCCGCCACCGGTGGGCCCGGGAGCGGCGGCGGCCAACCCACATCAGCAGCAGCAGCAGCAGCCGCAGCTGCTGGCGGCACCGGCAAGGGCGGAGGGGCTGCCTCGTACGACAGCGGTGGTGGTCCCGAGTTGACCGACGTTGAGCGCGAGGAGGTGCTGCTGGGGGTGTTAAAGGTGCAGCTGACGCGAACCCAGGTGCTGTGGCGGCTGGGGCAGCAGGTAACAGCGGGTTGGGGGCGGGGCGGTAAGGGCTGGTTGGGAAGGGGTAAAGTAAATGAAAAACGGCGAAAAGGAAAGGAGAGGGGTTGAGCAGGGGTGTACAGGTGGCGGCAAGCGGTGCAGCCGCTGTGATGCGGGCCCATGCGGGCTGCGGATTCAGAGTTAGGCACATGCTGCGAGAAGTGTGAGATGTGCTGCACTCCTCAACACCCGCCTCTTGACCCACTTACCGGCACGCTCCCATCAATCCCCCCTCCCTCCCCCCCGCACCTCCTCTCCCACCCCTCAGGCGCTGGCTCGTCAAACACTCGCGGAGTGCTCCTCGATTGCTAGGGAGGTGCAGGACAGCAGGTGGGTGCGCGGGGGCAGGGCGGGGATTTAGGGCGGGAAGGATGGTCACGAGCAGTTGTGTGGGGTAGAGCGAAGCGGGACTGGGTACACACAGCCGGCGGGGTCTGCTGTTTTGTCCAGATGCACCTCGTGACCGTCACAATGCAATGCGTCATAGTCTTGCTCTTAAGCTCTCCTTGTTTCGGCACACCACGACTCCCTCCCCTGCTGTGCTGGCTTGCAGACCCGACCTGTCGTGCGTCATGACAGCCTGGCTGGCGCAGGTGGGTTCGGGTGGAGCGGGAAGGTGGTGGTGGGGGCGGGTGGCTGGGTGATTTGTAATGTGGGTCGCGACTAGACAGACGGGCAGCACGAAAGGTGCCCTGGCTGCTGCTGCGGTGTTGTCTTCCAGGATGAAGGGATGGAGGAAGTACCGAGGAAGCACCAACTATTGAGTGCTGCATGCCCGTCCAACCCCCCTAGCCCTCCTTCCTTCCTCTCCTGTCCTCGTTCATGCAGACGCTGCTCGATCACGCGGTGGATGTGGCGACGGGGAGGACGTACGGCAACAACGGAGGCGGAGGAGGTGTTGGCGGGGGAACGACAGCGGCATCAGACAGGGGGCAGGGGCTAGGCCTGCCGGGGTGGCGGCGGCGGAGCCGGCGGCGGCGGGCGGCCAAGGATCTAATGTACGGCAGCCGCCCCGGCGGCGGCGGCGGCGGAGGTGGCGGGAGTACGGCACATGGCGCCTCCGCCGCCGCCTCCGCTGCTGCTAACGGGTGGCCTAATCATGATCGGCCTTTCCTACTTGAGGAAGAGGAGGAGGAGGGAGAGCATGAGGAAGATTTGGAGGGCTACGAGGGCAGCGAAGGCGGAGATGACGATTTGGCGGGAGATCAGGAATACGACATGTACGGAGACGCCGTACTGCAGGAAGATGACGTGGAGGGGAAAGGAGCGAAGGCGGCGGTTGACAGGGGCAACGGCAGGGTTGGCGGTTGGTCGTTGACACTGAAGGAGCCCGCGGAGGCGATTCCGTTGCTGGACCAGGTGAGTGAGAGGTGGCACGAAGAGTTACTCTTCTATTCTAGGCGGCAACACGCCGTTCGTCCGAAATCCGTAGAGTCAAAGCTATATGTAAAAGGTGTGGACTTCACTTCCCTCTCCCTTGCTGCTCTTATCATTTAATGATTCCTCCCTTCTCCCGTCCATTCCTCCCTCCCTTTCTCCCCCCCCCCGTGTCGCTCCCTACATCCTCACCGTACGGCATCAACCGTACGACACTGCGCACGGAACCACGGAACGGATTACTAACCCATTACACGCCAGCTGTACGAGCTCGTGACACATGCCGTACAATGTCACCAAGCCAGCTGCGCCGCCATGGAGGATGAAGCCGCTGCTGCTGCTGCTGCTGCCGCTGCGGGTGGCGAGGGGGGAGCAGCAGCAGCAGCGGCAGGGGGCAGCGGGGGGGGCGAGGTGGCTGACCCCGCTGCGGTGGCGGCGCGGGAAGATGCGCTGGTGGACCTGCGGGACCAGGCGGGTGTTGCGGGGTGTTGGTGAAACACGAACCCTAAATGACACGGCTACAGACGTACTCGGTGCTCTTGCCATGCCGTACTGTACAGCACTGTACGACACACCTCACCGTACGCCACCCCTCCCCTCCCCTCCCCCCACCGCCCCCAGGTCCTGTCCTGGCTGGCTCTGTGCCATCTGGGTGCGGGGGACGCGGGCGCCTGCCTGGCATGTGCGGGGGCGCTGCGGGAGGCGGGCAGCGGGCTGGCGGAGGGGGCGGAGCTGGCGGCGGTGGAGATAAGGTGCGGGCGGGGGGGGATAGTTGAAATTGGGTTGAATAGTTGGGTTCTATAGTTTGAGGTATTCATGATGGGGGCAATGCTAAGGGGGTAAGGTTCCGGTGGGTTGTGAGGGCGCGTAGGGTACCCTGGTGACGGCCCTGCGGCCCTGCGGCCATGCGGCAACCTCACTGTGCTCCGTCTCGTCCCAATACGGTAATGTGGTGCAGCAGACTCCTCCTGTCAACTCCATGAACCCCCCCCCCCTCTCCATGTAAACGTAGGGCCCACTCCGCTTCCGGAGACACCCCGGCGGCAGTGGCGGGTCTGGAGGCGCTCGCGGGGCGGGAGGACGCGGGTGTGGCGCTGGTGTGGGAGACGGCGGAGGCGCTGCTGGCGAGCGACCCACGGGTCAGGCAGGCACCCGAGGCGGTCTGGCCCGCTATGGCGGCGCTGCAGGAGCGGGTGCCGTACGATGCGTCCATAACACTGGAGTTCGTACAGGCTGTGTACGACATTCGTACGGCAGTTGCCTCAGCGGTGAGCTGCCGTATACGTTGGGGGTTTTGGTTGGTTGGTTGATTGGTTGGTT